ACCTCTGTGTAGGGACCATTGGCCGTGTGCACGTCCTCCACCAAGGTGCCAGCTCCATGTACACCATCTGCGCTTCCCTGTGTGACCGCGACCTCGTCCTCGCCCATATGCGACATCACCACCAACCACACACCATCAAAAAGCCCATGCCAAGGTACTTCAATTTCAATCAAACATTGACAAATCTACATACCGAATCTCACTTGTACATGGCCACAGGACCCCCCTACCATCGCGACTTAAGAAATGGCATCACAGCCTGCTTTACACCGCGCAACACACCAATCTAGATCTTCAGCGAGGATGAACAAAACTAGTTTCTTCTCCATTTCCCGTTGTGACGCAGTGTTGCGCCATCAGTCTACAAAAATCCGATTCAGTGGCCAATGGCGCTACTGGCGGAAGCCGCCTTAAAGACGCCGAGCCACGCGCCTGTTGCCATCACAAGCGGCAACTCGATTTACCGGCCTGCCGGTGTAGCAGTGCATGGAAACAGAGCAAAGGCGGAACTGCGATTGGCCCACTCAAACACACTTTCCCCTTTAGGTACAAATTGGGCTCCGTTCCACGATTCTCACCGACAAACCCGCGCCATACCAGACACATGCCGCCCACTGTGTCGAATAGAAACATAATCTTCAGTGTCCAAGGACAACACTGTGTTGTCCTCCCCCACCCCATCTCCAGTCACAGCTCCCTGTTGTGGCCAACGTGGGGCAGGAGAGGAAATGCTTCCTGTCCTGCCGCTCACTGCTCAGGCTGAGGCACTCAAAGCCTGGCAAGGCAAAGAAGAACGCGATGAAAAAGATTGTCTCCCCCGCCGGGATTTGAACCCGGGTCGTCCGCGTGACAGGCGGAAATGCTAGCCAACTACACCACAGGGGATTTGTTAACTTGTTGGCTGCCTGCCGCGCCAAACTCGAAGACGGCCACTACGCACTCTTTAGTTTGCTTGTTGGGTTGCGGTGATGATGGTGTCGAGAGCACGTTTCATCTCGGCGCGCGTGGCGGCGCCGGTGTTTGAGCCGATCCGCTGGGGCATGCCTCCCGCAGGCAACTTGCCCAGGAATTCGCCCACTGCATCCGCACACACTGCACACACGAACACTCCACAATCTTGGTACATTCACATGCACGGGTGAGGAGATGCAACCTGTTGGATGGAGCACTCACGACGTCAGAGAGGCACAGTACCAGAGCCGTTGCCTTGCTGTGGGGTATGGACAGCCTCTATGAGGGGTTCTCCTGCACCACCCAAGACCGCATGCATCTGCAGGTCACGAGGCCAATGCGTGAGCATGGGCGGAAGACGGATGGGTGTGTATAGGTACCACTTTGGCCGTGCGCTTGGCCGCCGTGCAGACTGTGGCCTGCGCCGAAAAGGAGTCGTAGTGCCTGAACTTTCCATCTCGCTTGGTGTACACAAGCAACGTCCTGCAAGAGCACAACGACTGGTGTGAGAAGTGCACTTGGAGTAGGTGGACGGACGTGGTACGAGGCCGGTACCAGTGGGTTCCGCCAGCATGATCAATGCTGGCGTTGTCGTTGATGGGCATCAGGATCATGGACCTCTTCTCCAGCTCCAGCGCTGCCATCGCCTCGCGCACCTCTTCCATGTCTGCACATTGCGGCAAACCGTGCGCAACGTTAAAAGTGGTTCACAAGCAGAAGGAGCACTCCCTACCGTCGGAGAAGTTGATCATGAACATCGCGGACGGGTCGATGAAGAGCAGGTCGTCTTGGTGGTCCTTGAATCGCTCCTTGGCCAAGTATCTGCAAAGGACAATTTCAATGACGGAAGGGTGTTGCGATGTGCAGAAGATGGGCAGCAAGTACTCGAACCAAAAGGAGATTACGGAATCATTGAGCCACTCCCCTGGTCGGAGCAGCGCCACGTCCGATTCATAGAGCGTCGTGTCCCCATACGTCACAACCACCTTGTCTTCCATCTGCGATGAGAGAACAAAATAAAAACACAATCTTATTTTTACATTTCTGCTGTTTTTCCGTTCAGAAGTGGAGAAAATCGCAGCTCTTGGATTCACTCCGGTTCGGACGGAGAGCATCGAAGCATTGCTATTGAGGAGGATTGATTCCACGATCATGCCGAAGCAGAGGAAGGGAGGAAGCGCTTCCACGGGGAGGTGGTCACTTGCGGGGAAGGGCAAAGGCAAGAAGGACGATTTCGAGGGATCGCGCGATGCGGCGGGTGTAGAAGGTTTCGTGCCCGGTATGGACGAGCTGAAGTGGAGAACGGTCAAGATCGACGACGCCCTGCGAGGTGAAGCCGGTCTAGTAACCTTCGAAGAGCTGGATGCCTCGGAAATCGCTCATCTCCTTCCCAATAAGCCCGCTGCTGCCGCACCTACCAAGGACCAGGCAAAGAAGGGCAACAAGCGGAAGAGAGGAGGCAAAGAAACCACCACAACTGTACACGCCTCCTCAACTTTACCTCTTCTTATTACGATTTATCGATTTAATCTCTCAATTCCTTCCTAATCTCGCGATTTTCATTTCAATTATTTTAATAATTGTTTTTTTTGTCAGAACGAGCCAAAGGAGGGGAAGCCAAACCCGAGCGGACCTGAAGGGGTGGAGTCGAAGCGCGCGAAGAAGAGGAGGAAGTCCGCCGAGCAGAAGGCCGCCAGGCAGCAGAAGCAGCAGCAGCGCGCGACCAACGCCGATGGCGAGGCTGCCTCCACGGATGCCAAGCCGGACGAAGAAGCCGTGGCCGAGGAGCCTCTGGCCACCAGCGCTCCCGCCAAGAAGGCGAACAAGAACAAGAAGGCAAACGCGAACAAGGACGTAGAGGGGCAGGGCACCACAAACGACGAAAAGAAGACGGCGACGGCAACGAAGAAGAAGAACAACGCCAAGAAGAACCAGCAGCAGAGGGAGAAGGAGAAGAAGGAGAACGAGTACGTGCCGGCGATCGTGCCGACGGCCAGCGTGGAGGACTGGAAGCGGAAGTGGGGCCGCCTGAAGTCGTGGCAGCACTTCAACCTCCACCCGACGCTCATGGAGGCCATCAAGGAGTACAAGTTCTTCTCGCCCACGCCCATCCAGGAAAAGGCCCTCACCGCCGCCCTGCGCGAGGACAAGGACGTCGTCGGCGTTGCTGAAACGGTATATCACCATCTCGTGCGTGCGTGTGCGTGTGCAGTGCGTGATCTAACAACGACAACACACACACCACCACCACACACACACACACACAATGCAGGGTTCGGGCAAGACGCTGGCATACGGACTGCCCATCCTGCACAAGCTCACCAAGAAGCGCGAGCAGGAGGAGCGGGACGGTGTGGAGAAGGACCGCCGACTGAAGGCCCTGCTGCTTGCCCCGACGCGCGAGCTGGCGGTCCAGGTCTCCGACCAGCTCAAGCTCATCGCCAAGCACACGCCCATCACCGTGGTGCCCGTCATCGGCGGTCTCGCGCCGCAGAAGCAGGTCCGTCTCCTGTCCAAGAAGCCCGAGATCGTCGTCGCCACTCCCGGTCGTCTGTGGGAGCTCATCAACGGGGTATGTCTGCACCGCACACATGACACACGCAACACGACACACGCAACATGGCACGACACGACACTAACCAGTGTGTGCGCAGGGTGACCCGTTCCTGGGCGATTGCACGGGTCTCGAGTTTTTGGTGATCGACGAAGCCGACCGCATGGTGGAGACGGGCCACTTCCGCGAGCTCAAGTCCATCATCACCCTCATCCAGCACCCTGCCAGCCGCGAGCTCATCGTCCTCCCCTCCACCCCGGTACCATCACAGCCCAATCGCACACACCGCACACACCGCACACATGGTTCGTGTGTCTGATAATGTTTTATCACGCGGGTCTTTTCTTCGTTGCAGGATCTGAGGAAGGTGCTGCCCCCGACCGAGGTGGAAATCCAAAACGGCGAGGAGGAGCGAGACGACGTTAAGGCCGAAGATGACGAGGACGGTGAAGACGTGAAGGAAGAGGAAGGAGAGGAAGAGGGGGAGGAGGCCGAAGAGGAAGAGAAGGAGGAAGACGAGGAGGATGTTGAAGTCAAGGAGGAAAAGGACGACAATGATGAAGAGGAGAACCTTCCCGTCGTGGAAGACGAGGACGACGAAGCGGAGGTCAAAGAGGAAGAGGATGAGGATGAAGACGGCGATGATGCTGCGGAGGAGGAGGAGAAGGAAGAGGCGGTGCCGGGGGAGCCCGCCAAGGAGTTCAAGCGACAGACGTTCATCTTTTCGGCCACGCTCACGATCGCGTCGCAGGGTCGAGCCAAGCTCGGACCCAAGCCCAGCACCAACAGCAACAGGGCCGCCGTGAACGCCCTCGGTACTCCCCCCCCCACACAGACCGACGGTTCTCGATTCGAGCCAGGTGACTGACCCATCAACGCGTTGTGTGCGGTGGTGCGTGTGCGCGTGCGGGGGTTGCTTGCGACTGAGCAGCCCAAGTTTCGAAGTTGGTCGGTTTCGAGCGCGAGAAGAAGGTGATCGACCTGACGACGAAGAAGGTGGTCGTCTCGACGCTCGAGGAGGCCGTCATCCAGTGCCTCAACGAGGAAAAGGTTTGCCCCCTCGAGGACCCGCACGGCTTTGAGCGGAGCTGCTGACATTCGCCCTCACCGCGCGTGTCGTGTGTCGTGTGTCGTGTCGTGTGTTGCGTGACAGGACTACTACCTCTACTACTTCGCGCAGCAGCACAAGGGCCGCACGCTGGTCTTCTGTAACTCGATTTCGTGCATCCGCCGCCTCGTGCCCATTCTCGGGCTCCTCAACGTGCCCGCCTGGGGTCTGCACGCCTCCATGCAGCAGAGGCAGCGTCTGAAGAACCTCGAACGGTAATTTGACGCTTGCAACCGTGTGTCGCGTGCTGTGCGTCGTGTCGTGTCGTGTCGTGTGGTTAATACGGAGTTGATGATGCGGTGGCGGGGCAGGTTCCGTAACTCGACTGAATCTATTTTGATCGCCACCGATGTGGCGGCTCGTGGTCTCGACATTCCTCTGGTCGACCACGTCATCCACTACCAGCTCCCGCGAACCGCCGAGGTCTGCCTCCGCTCCTTTGGCCTTCTTCTTCTTTTCTTCTTCTTTTCTTCTTCCTGCCTCCCATTGAGCTTGAATTGGGTTTGGGTCAAAGCTGACATGCGCGCGCAACCCGAACAGTTGTACGTGCACCGCAGCGGACGTACGGCCCGCGCTGCGGCGAGTGGTCTCAGCGTGATGCTCGTCGGACCCGACGACATGAAGACCTACCGTCAGATATGCTCCGTCCTTCGCAACGGTAACCGTGTTCTCAACGCACACGACGCACGACACGCGTGCACTTACGCCCTGTGTGCGGTCGTTGTTTGTTTTTTCGTTGGCTTCACATCCCAGGGCGTGAGGTGGAGCCGTTCGTGGTGGATCGCGGTCTGCTGCCGGGCGTGGCCAAGCGCGTCAACCTGGCCCGAAAGCTCGACGCCGTCATGCACGACGTCCGCAAGAAGAAGACCAAGAAGGACTGGTTCCAGCAGGCCGCCGAGGAGATGGACATCGACATCGACGACGACATGTACCCTCCTCCTCCTCCACCACCACCTTCCACCACGCACGCGTGCACGCAACTGACTCGGTGCGCTGGGCGGCGGTCTTGCAGTTTGTCGTCGGAGGACGAGGAGACCAAGGACGAGAGCATCAAGAAGCAGCGGGAGATCACGGCCCTCAGGCAGCAGCTGGACGGCCTGCTCCGCCAGGCCCTGCTCCCCAAGGGCGGGTTCACGACGTTCTTCACGCGATCCCTCTTCTACGACCCCAACCGGCTCTCGGAGGAGATCTCCAAGGCCGCCCTCAACGGCCCCGCCGCCAAGGGCAAGAGCAAGGGCGCCCAGGCTCGTCGCAGGAAGGGCGGCCGCAAGTAAAGAGTCCCCGACGAACAAGTTTTTCGGTTCAACTTACCATCATTGTTTGGGTTGTGTTTATTTCTACACACGAGTGCACTGGTGGTTGCTCACCACTGTCTATGTACATTGGCGGCCTGTTGATGGTGAGCAACCACCACCTTGTGTAACCTTCTTCTTGTGGGGGGGGGAGTAGACGAAGCTGAGCTCAGGCGGCGGGGCTGGGCTCGGGTGAGGGCGCGGGTGAAGTCGAGGGCGAAGGTGAGGCCCTACGGCCCCACGACGAGGTGGCCACCGTGTGGAAGAGGGTCATGCCCATGTCGATCGTCTTGTGGTCCCACCGCCCCAACCCGTTGAGGCCCATCCACATCCGGAACGCCAACGCGCCATCGCCTGTCATGGCATGCGCGCGGCGCGCGGGTGAGTGAACGTTGATCGTGTGCGTGTGCGCGCTGGTGCGTGTGCGGTGCGTGTCGGGTTGTTGGGTTGTTGGGCGGCGGTGGTGCGTACTGGGGGAGGTGCCGGCTTGGGCATCGGCCTGCGTCGCGTAGGTGAGCCGGAGGTTGGTGGTTAAAGCCTGCGGGTAGAGCGCATCCGTAGGTCCGATGCCGTCATCAAAGTAGAAATCCTCCCACAGCCAGTTGTTGGTCGTCATCTGGTCGTGGCCGACGACAAGCGATGGACCGGTTAATTCACAATCTCTCTCTCTCTCCCCCCCCCCCAATTCCTCTTCGGGTATTGTGATGCCATTGTTGGCGACAGGGAGGAGTGGGGAGTGTACGTTGAGGACGGTGGCGCTGGACACATGGGCCAGCACGGTGTCGACGCGATCGAACAGGAGTCGGATGTCGCTGATCGACTTCGGCACGTACTGCGCATCGACGATCAAAATAACGGGCGGTAAGTAGCAGTAGAAGGGAGAACTCAAGACTCGAGTTTGTAAAGGTCAAAGCCACGAACCTGGTAGACGACATTGCTGACTTCAACGTGGTGCTCGTAGTGAGCCACGGAGGTGGTCAACTCCGGCACGAATGAGTACACTGTGCGGTGGATAAGGCATGAGCCCCCTGCAAGAGCGAGTTGCGTTGCGCTGCGTTGCGTGCGAGCGCGTTAAGGGAGGGAGGTAGGAGGATTACACTGCTCGAGTCGCTCCCTTCCCTCGTCGGCTTGGCTGGCCGAAGGATCGATGGCCGATTCGGTGGCGACGACCTGGTCTCCGCTGCGGAAGATGAACTCCACCGTCGACTTGCCGGCCATCGCGGGGCCATTGCCCGATGACGAGATGAACGAACGAACCCGCAGCGATCCTCCCATCGCCGCGATCGCCTGCACCACAATCGCACGACACGACACGACACGACACGACACGACACGACACGACACGACACGACACGCACAAGCGTCAGGTTGGGTGCACGCCCATGCGATCGAGGAAGGAGACGGGGCGCGGGCAATGTGTGTGCGTACATTGTCGGGTGTGTCGTAGTAGACCTCGTTGAAGATGCGGGTGTAGAGTTCCTTCGAGGTGTGCACGAACCGTACCAGCAGCGGATTGTAGGCGTTGGCGTAGACAAGGGTCTTGTTGGCGGCCACGGTCTGGAGGTAGCTGTTGAGCGAGGTCACGGCGGCAGCTCGGCTGGTCCAGTTGTGGGCGGCCAGGTCGAGATCGACGACGTAGGTGCGGGCGACGGGGATCTCAGCCGGCGGGCATCGATCGTGCAGAATGACGAGGCCGAGCGAGAGCAGGCCGGCAAAGACGGCCAGCGCCAGCACGCCGCACACGAGAATGGGGATGGCACCGATGGCCAGGTATTTCCAGAGCGGGCTCGTGTGCTTGCGTGATTCGCCCAGCTCCTTCTCCATGCCGCGCACATCAGGGATTTGCTCATAGCCCCGCTTCCAGGACGACATTTCCATTCACGCTTTGATTTGCCCTAGAAATAATTGTGCAAGCAATTAGGATGCAATTGGCAAACTAATAACTGCAGGGGGCGCAAACCTTGATGAATTGTATGAAGTCCTGCCGAAGGCTGATCGATGCTGTGAATGAGAAAGCCCCCCCGTCGCGAACCTGCAGATCTGGCTTCTGTTCTTTCTCCGCTGCCAAGCAACGCCCGAGATAGTTTGCATTCCCGCGATCATGCCCTACTTTTGAAATTTGTGTCAAGTGTTTCGCAAACGCAAACAACAGACAAAATGAAAATCACAACCTGGCGACGTGGCGCTTCGCCGAAGTGATGTAGCGGTAAATCGCATCATTGAACGCAATAGGATTACATTCCGATTTACCAAACAAATCAACACCACAAGGCCAAGCCTTGGCACGGTGTAGAACTGACAAAGAAAAATGGGAAATGGAGGATCTGCGCCCGCTTCATCCAAGGGCACGATGACCAGCGCCTTCCTCACCTCCCAACACGGCGCGTCATTTGTCTCGACTCTGCTCACCAAAAAGGGCAAGGACTCTGCTCTGCCCGACGGCACCCTTCTCACGCACGCCAACGTCGTCGGGCTCTATCAACGCTACGTCGACCTTTACGCCGCCAGCGAGACCAGGTCACGAGAGGTGGCCAAGGCCAAAGACCTCTGCTTCCAGTTCCTGTGCTCCCACTTGGCCGAGGTGCTGGCCTCGGACGCCAGGCAGTCCATCTTCGAGCTCTCTGCCAAAGGTACCTTTCAACCTTCATATTTTATTATAATTTATTTATATAAAAATAAATTATAATACCAATTTTAACGGTATATTCTTGTGTTTCAGCTCTGAAGAAGCTGCTGAAGAACGACGAGTTGGCGATGGGAAGCGAGTTCATGCTCTACATCCTGGTCGGTGTGTGGGCGGACAGGTACACACACACACACGCACGCACGCACACATTCTCTTCTCGCCCGTGTATTCCCCCACAAAGGCACCAGCGCGGCTGACATGTGCGTCCGGGTGCGTTCGTTCGACATCCACAGGCAGGTGACCCTGGCCGCAGGCGAAGAGTGGAGCTTTCCTGACGTCGCCGCCGAGGCCGGCGCAGGTACCACCGCCGCGCCCATCGCACACACAACCGCACACGCACACGCGACAGCACACACACGACGGCACACGCCTCTGGTGTGAGCTCAGCGCACACACGCACGCACACTTGGAGCTGAATCGCTGGGTTGTGCGCAGAGACCGAGATGGAGGTGGAGATCCCCGATTGGAAGTTCGACAAGGACTACACCCTCAAGCTGCGCGACGCCATGGCCCCGCTGCTGCCGCACATCCGCTTCCCGCTCATGTCGGTTAAGCACCTGGCGGCCATCGAGGAAGAGGGCACGCTGGTGCCCCTCTCCTACATCACCGAGGTTCTACTTCTTCTACTTCTCTCGGTCTCCTTACTGCCTCCCCGCTAACGCGTACGTCGTGTGGTGTGTGCGTGTGCGGCATGTGTGCGGTGTGTCGTTGGTCATGCGGTCTAGGCCTACCGACACAAGGCGCTGATGGGCATGGACGTGTACACGCCGGACGTGAAGAACAATCCGCGACTCAGGGGCCGGCGCTACGAAACCGTGGCCGTGTGGGATCCCTCGTGGCACGGCCAGCACGTCACGGTACGTGCGACCTTTGGCGTGTTTCGTCTGCCCAATTGTGAGCTGGTCCATTACAGTTCGTTTCACTCACACGACACGACACGACACGACACACACCTGACAACGCAGGTGAGTGCCGATGGCAAGACCGTGTCAAAGTCGCAGGCCTACTGGTACTGCCTCGCTATGGCCAAGGAGGGATACAGGTAACCACCGCCCAACCACCACCACCACCACCGGCTTGGCAGTGCCTTTGCTCACTGGGTTGGCGGTGCATGTTCGCGTGTCCGTAGCTCGGGGCGACACGCGTGGGCGATCAAGGTCAACGGCGATGAGGCCTACATCGGGGTGGCGCGCAAGGAACTTACCCAGTTGGATAATTACCTGGGCGCCGATGCCAACTCATGGTCGGTCAACAACACGGCCTACGCGAGCAGCGGCTCGGGCAGCAGCAACCGATCATTCGGTGCGTGCGCGCTCTCATAATCTCATGTACCACGAATTGCAGTGATGGCCTCGTCTCTGACTTGCGTGCTTAAATCTGGGGCGCCTGCAGGCGAGGCGTTTGGGCGAGGGGACGTAATCGGGCTGGTGCTCGACATGGTCGAGTTGAAGCTCACCTACTACAAGAACGGCAAGACGCTCGGCGATGCCTTCACCAACCTTCCCGCCGGCGTCAAGCTGTACCCCCCCATCCGTCTTTCTTCCCGCTATTTTTTTTTTTTTTTTGGCCGCTCCCCGCCAGCTTTCCTGACCGGTTCGTCTTCTTGTTCTTCCTGTTAACAGGTATCCCGCCGTGGGTTGGCGAGATGGCACCATGCAGTTCGTGTCCCCCAACTTGGATGAGTAGGAGGAGGTGCCACCACCTTTAATAATAAAAGACCCAAAAGTTATGCAGTCGCAGCCGCTGCTGTTGGCCACAGCCTTGTTGTTGGTGTGTTGCTCTTGAGGTGTGCCCCGCGTGATCATCTGGTGGAGGAGACACGGAGGGTCAGCAGCGAGCCCCTGGGTCAAAAGAGAGAGTCCGTCGGGTCATACACGTCCATCCGGTTGGCGGCACTACAGTGCCCGAAGGGCGGCGGGCTTGAGCGCGGTCCTGTACTCCGAGGCATCCGCTTTGCCGCTAGCAGTAGAGAGGCCAGTGTCATCATCTCATCAGATCACATTCAGTGTAGGATAGAGATAGCCCCCCCCCGCACACGGGTTCCGGAACGGGCCTATGGGTCTGCAGTCCAAGAGCTGCTGTGGTGAGAACACGGTTTCGTCCAGCATGTGGCACAGTTGTTCCAGGCACCCTGTGATGAAGTTGAGCGCCGCCGTGTCCTCCACGCAGTGGTGCTTGCTCAGGGCCGGTCCGTCGATGAGGTAGACGCACTCCAGCCGGCACCGGATGGTTCGCAGTAGCCAAGACATGCGCATGGCGTCGTTGGAGAAGTTGATCGTCAGCGACACCAGATTCTCGATGGCCTGCTCGCACTCGTGCGGCACGACCTGCTTGAAGCGCAGTGCCTCGCTCGGCCCCGCCGTTGGCCAGGTGCTGGGCCAAGGGGATGATGGCGCGGCTGCCGAGGGGGATGGCATGCTGGAGCATCTCCACACGATCCACTTGCGCGCAGATCGATGAAGGTGCCGTCATTGGCGCAGGTGTAGGGCTCGCCATTGGCCGGGCCGCCTGCCGTGCACATCGTCTGCGCGGAGCCGGAGAAGCTGGCGACGAGGAAGATCGCAAGGCAGATGACGGGGAAGCTCCTTGACTCGACATGACGCTTGGTGGTGGCGGTTCTGGCGGACCCAGAGGTCCTCACCACCACGGTGGACCTCAAAAATTGTTTTAGAAAAGGAATAATACAGAATATTTAGTGTAAAATAATAACGAGGGCGTGGGGGTGCAGGAAAGGCCGAGGGCTCCACTCTAGTAGAGCTTGCCGAAGAACTCGCCTTCGTCGTCGGAGCTGTCTCGTGGATGGGTGGTCGGCGTGGCGGACGGGTCCTTGTTGGAGGCCGCCGCGCTGCTGCCAGACACGCCGCTGTTGGTCTGCTTCTCGCCTTCGCCTCCCGCGGCCGCTCTTCGTCGCGCGTGGCTGGCCGACCGCGCGGCGAGGTACTTGTCGATGACCACGCTCTTCAAGATTCGCCACTGGTCCTGGTGGCGTGTGCGCATGTCAGCTGCTGCGTGCGTGTGTGCGTGTGCGGGCAAGGTACCTGGCACAGGGCAATGGGCGAGGTGGTGGAAAGCATGGCCTCCTTGCTGGCCTGCTCGTGGATGCGCTCCACCATCTGTGCGATTTCGGCATTGGGCAGCGTGCTGTAGACCCACTCGACCGCACCGATCAACCCTATATACTGGTACCTGCAGGAAACGCTCAGTTAGTCCGTGTGCATGTGTGCGTGTGTGTCGTGTGTGTCGTGTGTCGTGTGTGTCGTGTGTGTCGTGTGTGTACCAGGTCTTGGTGCAGAGCGAGCGGGCAATCCAATCGGTGACCAGTATCCACAGTTTGAGATCGACGGCCGGAACGGCCATCATTTCGCTCGACGAGGAGGGTGTAGAGGGCAGCGAGGAATACGAACTGCCCGGGGTGGAGGACGAAGACGACCCCGACGAACCCAGCGAAGTCGACGGCGATGGCGGAGGCGCCTTGAACGGCGAAGCAAACCCTGGCCGCGTCGGCACCGAACCGCCTGCTCCACCACCATCCCACTCGTGAGCGACACGACACACACGACACACACACGACACGACGTACTACTGGAGGCAAAATAGATAGGATAGGGCGATGAGGCCGAGGGGGCGTAGTAGGAGTGGGCGGTGGCCAGGGACGACGGCATGCCGTGGCCGTGGCTGCTGTGTCCGCGGGGCGACGTGGGAGTGGACCGGGAGGGCGTGGGCGAGGGCGTGTTGGGGATGGCGGTGGGCACGGACATGCGGAACGGGGGCAGCGCGCCGAACGACGACGAGGGCGACGGCACCGGCGACGATCCCGATGACAGCGAGAGCGACGTCATCTGCGCCCTGCACGACCACCTTTTTTTAGCTCCGAGCGCACGCAACGTTGACCCGGGGGGGGGGGATTTACCCGACGGCGGTGGCCGTAGCGGGGGAGTGGAGGCGCCGCAGGAAGGCGACGCGGTTGTGGAACCACTCGTCGACGGTGGGCAGGGCCGCCTCGCGCTTCTGGTCCTTGAGGTTCTGGGTGAGGAGGAAGCGGAAGAGGAGCGCCAGGCAGAAGCTGGGTCCGCATTCGTTGAGGTCCCGGAAGGCGTCCCAGGCGACGATGTCACTGATGACCGTCGCCACGAACTTGAGGGTGGGCGCCTGGGTCAGCAAGCGGGAGAAGATGGAGAGGGCCGGCGTGGCGGCGTCGTCGCCGCCGCTCTTCTTTCGGGGGAAGAGGAACATGCCGGCCATGTCCAGCACCCACTCGAGATGGGTCTTGAGCCCGCCGGCGATGTCCCAGCCTGCCGGACCCTTCTTCTCCTCATCAGCCTCCTCCTGCACGTACGCTCGCTGATCAAACTAGAGCCCATGACACGACACACGACACGACACACGACACCACACGACACACGACACACGACACACGACACACGACACACGACACACGACACACGACAGTCGTACATAGAGGTCCCAGAGGTGACTGGTGAGGCGGTAGAGGAAGAGACAGGCGATGATCGTCGAGGAGAGCTCCTGCCCGTCGTATTTGCTGGAAATCTGAGCAGTTGAGATTAATAAAAGATAGATAGATAAACAAACAATGGGTGGTGGTGGACCTGATCCACGATGATGTCATCGAGCCGGTCTTCGGTGGCTTGGTAGTGCATCAACGCCGCCCACAGGTGGAGGCTGATCGGATGGCGGTACTCAATGTACGCTGCGGTCTGCGAGCAGTGGGTCATGAGCATGAAAACACACGCAACGCACACGCAAACGCGACATCGAGAGAGAGAGGGAGGGAGAGAGGAAGAGAGGAAGAGAGGAAGAGGGAGAGGGATTGAAATCGAAAGAGAGAGAGAGAGAGAGAGGACGTACTCGGGTGAACAGGCGGCCTTCGTTGAGCTGCGAGCCCAGCCGGTACTGCAGCTCCTCGGAGAGGTGCACGATGACCGTGTTGTTCTTGGGGATCTGGATCTCCGCGATCACGGTCAGGTCGTGCTGCTTCAGGCAGTACACCAGGTTGGCCGCCCGCTGACTGTGGCGCACAAATACCGCCCAAAAGGCGTTCCATTGAGTCTGGTTGTTTTGAAAATGCAACACTCTAATCAAATAAAAACACCCAATAACAAATAGGAGATTTCAAATAAGGCTAATATGTCTTATCGTTGGGGCCTACTCGGACTTGAGCGTCATGGGTCGAGTTTTCTACCGCCCAACGATAAGACCTGTAAATACTAACAATGATAACAATATGGGGAATTGTTGGTACATTTCGAATTGGTCGCTTTGGCGGTGGTAGGGCTCGAAGACGGGCGAGAGGAAGCGGACGTTGTACTTCTGCGTGTCGTTCTTCTTGATCGATGCGCGTACGTACTCCCGCGTGAACAGGTGCTGTACACAGATAGTGACTGTGAATGATCCGTGTGCGTGTGCGGTGGTGCGTGTGCGACGTTGTCGTAGGAGATATGAAGACATGGACGTACGTAGCGGAAGAGGCGCGTGAAAGGCTGATTGCAGAAGAAGCACTTCATGGAGATGTCCAGCAGGCGCTGGCCGCACGGCTGACACACGGCGTGGCCGCACGAGTTGAAGCACACTGTGCACGGACGGATCTACCATCACCATGAGCCCAGATCAGCAACCAGTTCAAACAAGCCACGGCAGCGGGGCGGGATGGCAGTAGTACCCCGCAGAGAGCGCAGTTGGAGGCCGAAGTGGGCTGGAGGTCGACGAACCGGTGGAGACAGTCCAACAAATCGACAACGCCCATCTGGAAAGAAGGGAAAAGAGAAAGGGTCAGACTGCTGACGCCGAAAAGAGAAAAGAAAGAAAGCGATCACTGGGTGTGTTTGGGGGGGGGGGGAAGTGCCGAACCTGCTGGAAGGAGAAGAGGGCGACGTGGAACTCCTCGCACAGCCGTTCGTGGGTGATGCCCACCTTGGCCTTTAGGTACTCGCCGGGCCACACGGCTGGCACGCCCCGCGTGAAGAAGGACTTGAAGCGCAGCCACCAACCTTGCAGCCCAAACGACCAGAAAAGTGAGCGCACACCGCGCACACACCGCGCACACCGCACGTGGAGGGAGGCGCCGTACCGCCCTGGGTGATGATGTCAACCTTGAGGGGGCTGCGGTGGGCGGTGTGGCCGGAAAGAAGGGTCTGGGTGCAGTAAATGTCGCCCTCGCCTGAGTTGGTGCCAAAGTCACAGAGGGCGTCGCACGGCCACGATTTCTGTAGCGACGACAGCAGATTGTCCAGAATCCAATCCGCTTTCAGAGCGATAGATTTGTCCTGCGCGCCGCGTGCCGCGCGGTAAGCGACCAGGTCGAGACCGGGGGGGGGGGAGACTTCGGTGACTAGCAATGAAAAGAGCACGTACATGGGTCTTGGTCAACCGATCTTTCCTCTGGGCCTCCGCTGTGTCGGTCGTTCCTGTTGTGATGCACACAACATACGCGATAAGTAATTCTCACAATCATCAAGGAGACGACTTACGACCGCACACGGTCATGCGTACATACCCTCTATCGGAGGGAGGCGGGGCTCCCCGTTCTCCTCGGTCTTGTTGGTCCACACCCAGAGCGCCGCCAAAAAATGCACCGCTTCAACGCAGAATTTCCTGTGTTGTGTTGCGTGTGTGCGATGAGAAGGGGAACGGTCGTGTGGAATGTGTGAGAATGCATTAGCGTACTTGAATTGTGGGCTGCGCTTGGCGGGGTAGTTGAGAGCGCTGTGCCGCTCGTATTGGCGCATGAACCGCGAGAAGACGTGGTCGGCCATGGGCGAGCCGGACTTGAAGTGCTGCGCGAGGAAGGCGCCCACCGAGAAGTGGTTGGATCCAAAATTGTCGACAACGTAGTGCTGCATCGCGCGCCACAGCTCGTTGGTGAGCTTCACCACTCGCCGCTCCTTCTGCGCGTTCAGCATCGTCGCCAGCTCCTCCTACAGAGTGCATGTGTGTGCGACGTGCACGGTGATTGAGTCGATGGCGGTCGGCAGTGAGGAGAGAGGGACAAGCGCCAGAAAGAGGGACGAACCCTGAGCTTCTGCATCTGCGGAAAGAAGTTGGGGTCGGTGAAGTCGGGCACGGAGACCCACCGCAAGTCCTGGTAGACGTTGCTCAACGTTCTGTGCGGATCGTGCTCGTTCCAGAATCGCTCCGTTGCCAACTGCACGCCAGCACACACACACACGACACATTAAATGTGTCAATGTTCTGAGCGGGCACGACGCACAACGATGCAGGAGAAGGTGATGCGTACATCGACATTGAGCTGGGAGCTCTGGCCGCATTTGTTTTGGAGGATGATGAGGGACGGCTTGGGCGCAGAGGCGATGCGGTCCACCGCAGAAAATGCAAACTGGTACACGCGATCAAAATACTGCGCATGCGATGCGGTGAGCTTAATCCCGGGCATGCGTGTTGCGTTTTGCGAGAGAGAGAAGATAGCGAAGACGTACGTCTTTGTTGGCTGCGTCGACGACGTCGACGAATATGATGACGTCGCTGAGCAGGTAGGCCAGCCGAGGCAGCTGCTGCTCCACCGACTCCTCTCTCTTTTTCGTGAACAGGTCTTGTGCCGCTGCCACAGCCGCCGCAGCGCCGTGACGCCTCGCGCGTCCTCCCGCCGCATTATACCCCTGTGGCCACCGATGAGTAGGTGTGCGCACGCGTGTATCCTGTGTCATGGTGCGATCGTACCTCCATGTCTACAAATTTACAGATTTGGTCTTGCAGGACGGTGTCCTTCAGGCGTTCGAAGTAGCAGCAGGCGTTGAGACTGGTGCCGCCGCCTTCTTTCTCCAGGTAGGCCGGTCGACCAATCGTGGGTGGTCTGACAAGAGGCCACCAGTGTGGTGTTAGTCGGAGGACGCACCCATGACACACATCCGCACCACCACACACCACACACCACACACCACACACCACACACCACACACCACACACCACACACCACACACCACACACCACACACCACACACACGTACTTGAGGGGATTGCGGATGTTCATGAGCTCCCGGATGACAAACGACTTACCGGCGTGCGTCGACCCAACGAACGTGACGGTGAAGCTGTCATCGAGCGCGCACTGCTGGAGGGACGTTTGCAGAGTGGCCGTGTAGGGCGATGTCCTGAACACGCCGTCGCCCGAGAGGGATATGATCTCGTGCTGTGGATGTTACATTTCGAGTCAGCGTGGAAAAAGAAGGAAGACGACGGACAAGCGGGTGGGTTACCTCTTGTTCGGCTTGCTGTTGCCGCTCCCAGTTGTTCTCGTTGAACGAGAACAGGTGCTTGCGATCCACGAAATAGGTGAGCGAGTTCGAGATTCGCCGGATGCGCGTGGCGTCGACACCGGGAAGCGGACATCCGTGCAGCATGCGGTCCACAAAGGCGTAGAGTCGGGCGCTCTCCTCGCAGTGCTGCCACAGCTCGGGCGTGATCTGGTCGCCCTGTCGGTCCTCGATCATTTTCGCTAGGGCAGCGTGCAATCGCTCCATTTCCGTCAGGTGCGAGCCTGCGCGCGTGCATGCGTGCAAAGGTTTGATAGGAAAAGCCGTGAAGTGAGTTCGGTCCAGTTCCCGCATCAACGCAAAACGACAGCAGACGCACCGCTGAATATTTGGATCATGATGCCCAAACGTTCGGTCACTTTTGGATTAAGGTTGAGCTCGGCCAGATCGCCCATGTTGAGCATCATGAGGTCATCGAACTTGACGATCTCGGCGTCGAGAAGCGTGGCCTGTGTGGCGGTGGCGAGGTCGTAGCAATCCTCCATGTCGTGCAGGCACGCGTGCAAGAATGTGGCCAGATCGAACTGCGCGCTCTCTGATAGAAAACGGATATACGACACCGCACGCAGTGTGGAGATGGTGGTCGGTGAGAGTCCGATGAATCGGCAGCCAGGTGTTGAGTGTGGGCCAGGCCCATACCATCCTCCTGCAGCGTGTTGATGAGGTTGAGGAGTTGCTTGCGTGGCTTCATCTTGAGGTCCTTCTGTTTCTTCAGGTCCTCTTCCGTGAGTTGCACCAGCGCATGCTGGCTCACGGGCAGACTCTTGGCCTGGCCAAAGGAATATTATTATCAACATTAAATCAGTAATATTTCGATTTTAGGTTAAAAAATAGAAAAGGTTCAGATCAAACCTGCAGGGCTTTCTCTACAGGCTCAAAGGGGATGCCGTGCTTCTCCACGAGCTGCCGCAGCTGAAGCACCTCTGCCCAAATCGTTAAAAATGAATTAAAAATAATGATGAAGACGGTCTCCTTCGCAGTAAAAGTAAGAGGTGCAAGGTCGTACCGCCCCATTGCAGCTCGTCCATGGGAGGAGCAGATTCGAGAAATTCGCGCTCCAGTTGCTCATCGTCGGATGGCTCGCCTGGGGCGAGCTCGACAACCGCCTCGTAAGAGACGGAGGAGGGGGCATCCTGCCGTCCTTCATGCGGGAACAGTTCGCGTCTCAACATGCCGTCCGCGAGAGGTAGTGGCAGTAGTCTACTGTCCTCCCAACGACTTTGTGCTCCCTCGTTTGGGGAGAAGAAAACTCGGGAGAAAAGAACAGCAACCGCGCTTTTTAGCAAAAGTACTTTTCGCCTGTACCCTCTCCCGTTTCTATCACTGCTGATGAAGTGGGCAGCGACGCGAGCCGGTGACCACGTCTGCGAGTCTCCTGGTGCTCGCGCTGATCGCGGCCTCACCAAGGTCCCTTGGTCTCGCCGTGACCGCGCATTTCACTTTTTTTTCTCTTTCTTTTCTCCATCAGAAGCACGCGCCAATCGAAATCAACGTTGCTTTCGGTTGGCCAACCCCGTCAAAGCTCCGAATTGTCTCCACTCCGTGACGGACTTTTCTAGTTTTCGAGTTGTCCGGTGCGGAGTACGGAGTCGAACAAAGCCGGTTCTCCGACCTATACGTTACAACATTTCGGCTCGCATCGCTACACATTTCATCAGCATTTAGGAAGGTAATTCGTCAATCTCGGTGTGTTTGTTTCCGTAGTAGCGATCGAGGGAACGGCAGAGCTGAGATCCGTAAAATCGGATAGATTTGAAAAATGGACGGGGTCGGGAAGCAATTAGATGCGAACGAATCGAGCAACGCTAATGCGAGCTTGAGTGCGAAAGTGGAGGATAATGGCGATGGGCTCATCCATCACGAACACGACGGGCACGACCACAATCTCGAACAACACCACCATCACGATCATCAGCACGAGCACCTGCACCATCACGATCACGGCCACGAGCATCACCACCACGGAGACGATGAAGAAGAGCACACACAGCAGCACCTCGAACATCATCATCACCACCACCACCATCACCAGAGCGCAGAGGAAGCCGCCGCCGAGGCGCACCATCATCAAGTCGCCGATTTGCAGCACGGGGCCTACGGGGGTTTGAGCAATGACCAGCTGCAGGCCATCAACTCGGCCAGCTCGTCCGTGGCCCAGGCCCATGCCCTGCAGCACCATATCCAGCAGCAGCTGCAGCACCAGCTGCATGGCCCGTTCCCGTTCGCCTACCAGACTCTACCGCCACTGCCGCCCCCGGGCAGCGTCGCGGGGGGCATGGGCGTCGTCGGCCTGCCGGCCCACCTCGTCAACGGCGGTGGCAGCGGCATCGGCAACGGAGGAGGCGGAGGAGCCATGCCGGCCCACCTCGTCAACGGCGGCAACGTCGCGGGAGGAGGCATGCCAGCACACCTCGTCAACGGCGGCATCGAGGACGCGCAGCAGGTAAAGGCCCGGCCCAAGCGAAAGCAGGTCAAGAGCGCCTGCCTCAACTGCCGAAAACGGAAGACCGGTACCGCAGACCTCATGATCTCGAGATCATCTTTTTTATTTTTCTATTTTCTATTTTGATTCGGTTTATGCATCAACTCCGTAGTCAGCACGAAACTCCTTTTGGCGGACGGTTTGGTTCTGTTCTATGCGTTATCGATCTGCCCACTTACCGCAGGCGCTCCTTTCGACGTGTGTGTCTCTTGACAGGATGCGATGCCTTCCGGCCATGCACCAAGTGCGTACGGAATGGACTTGAATCGACGTGCATGGACGTGCCACGAAAGAAGCGATCGTCGAATCGCGCCAAGACCAACGCTACGGTCACTCCTCTCTCCGCCGACTCTTCACCTTCTCCCTCCTCATCTCCTGCTCTCGGTATGTTGCTGCTCCTCTTCGACCGTCGTTCATCTCGTCGTTCTCTTGTAACCTTTTCCCTTCCGTTCACTTTGTCGTTGCAGGCGGTGTTGCTCCGTCATCCGTTCCGACTTTTGCCTCTCCTCTGTCGTCTCAACTTCAATACATGAGCGCCGTCAACCTGGGACAGGGTATGGCAGCGCAACACGGAGGCCTCCATATGCCACCGCAGCCGCAGTACACGCCACAGCTGACCATCCCGATGGCTTGGCGTACGCACCCCGAATCCCTTCTGTTGTGTTACCATGACGTTGTTCGTTGCTCACCTGCTCCTCTTCTTCACCCTCAGCGAACGGTACTCAAATCTCGATGACGTGGGAAGAGATTACGAAGCACGTCGCATCAGGTACATTGCACCGCACACACGCACACGCACACGCTCACACCACGTAGCGTAGGCTTGTGAGTGCTAACGCTCACTTTCCCTGTCCGTCCCTGAGCAGCCCAGAACAACGGTGGTAACATCTCGCTGGTACCGCCAGAGCTCGCCTGGAAGGGCAACGAAGGTCTCCTGCAGCCCGGATCGATGACGCCAGCAGAACAATCGAAGTAAAGGAAGGAACAGGAGAGAGAGAGAGAGAATGAGGTGTCAAGAAGAAGTGTTCTTGTTGCTACGGAGGAACGCGAAGGAGAGAGAAGAGAAGAGACGGATGCACATACTGGCCCTTGGGGCTGTGTTGATGGACAAGACAAACATCAACAAGAGTTCGGTCCCACGATCTCGTTGGCCGAGCAGCTAAACCACGTTCAAGCAAGTAGGTGGAGGTTCCTGCCCTTCTGGTGGAAGAAGAGAGGGAAGATTCGAGAAGGGAACGGGCAAGGGAAAATTTTCATTTCTCTGCACAGTCGACGCGGCGGATGGACATCAGATCATCTTACCCTGGCTATCCAGCGCCAGGGACGTATTCGCCTGCGACGCGCCGAGACACAGGTGGCGCAATAGATAGTAGAGTGGGTGGACGTTTCGTGCAGCCCCACATCTTCACCGATATGAGCGTAAAAGGTTTGGACAAATGGCAGGTCTCCATCCCCACAGTTGATACTAAACCAGATGGGACTTCGGTACGCGCAAGCACCTCGCGCATTTGTACGCACGTCGGTTATCTTTACCCATCTCGTCGATGTTTTTGTGCAGTACTACAATCTTGCTGTGAGGAATGACTTTATGTCTTGGGTGGCGCCCTACCGCTACTCAGCCCTGCACGACTTCAAGATCAAGGTTCCCACCAACAACCTTCCACGGAAGATCTCATCGTCACACACAACAAATGGCCGCTTGCATCAAGTTCTAGATCTTCAAAGTTTTTGCTCACACTTCGGTGGTGGCGCGCTTGTAGATGGAGAGACGCTTCCCGCACTTGCGGCTTCCCTCGTTTCCGCCCAAGTCTTATACTCTGTTCGGCACGCACGGCCCTGAGTTCCTCGACGACCGGCGGCACGGACTCGAGACCTTTGTCCAGGTGCGCAGGCCTCTCTTTTCGCCCTCCTCCTTCCAACTGAACCTGGCTCATCTCCTCCTGTTGCACGCCCGGGCACCATCACCGCATCCAGGGCTTGCTTAGCGACTCGCGCTTTCACTGCAAGGAGCTAAAGAACTTTCTGGACCCTACGGGACAGGCACGCCACAACAACCCGCATCAATAACCGTTCGTTTCGCTCATCCGTTGGATCCTACACAGGCCGAGAAGGGTGAGCAGGCCAGACAGCAGTTCGTATCACAGAACCAGGCGAGGAGCCTTGTGTCGCCTGCACCATCTCCCAGGTAAGGGCCAAAGGCTAAGAGGCCGACGCCGACCGTGGGCTAACAGTGAGGGTTTATTGTGATCTATACAGCATGGAGTCGTATGACGATGTGGCTGAGGATTCATTCCTTTTGCCCAACTTCCCACCCAACACCAAGGTCCCAGAAGTGATTGCCCTGCAAAACGGCGAAGAGTGTTTCGTGGGTACAGCTCCGCTCACACTAGAGGCAAGCTCCCTACAACGTTTTATAACCTTCTCTTTTTATCTCAGCGCCTCTCGTCAACGAGATGAAGGTCAACATCGATTACCTCTGGAGACTGAAGAGGAAAATGAAGGGCAAGGACATCGACATCAAGCTCCACATGCTCGAGGACGAGCGGGGGAAGATCAACACCGCTTGTACGCCTCAACCGCTATCTCCTTGTGTTGACATGGACCAGCCGGCCTCACGCCGGTATGCGTGTACAGGTATGGTACTTGAGGGAGAGCGGCGTCTTCTGGAAACACAGCTGCTGGCGGACCCCAACGTAAGGGCGTTGGCCGTGCTCCACACGTGGCTGGAGTTTTCCAACGACAAGATCAAACTGGCGTTGGAATGGGCCAACCATGTCGAAGAGAGCCTGCTTCTCGAGCTCTCACCAAAGACGCAGGCCGATACCGCTGGCGCACGCGCCACCCCCAAAACCAGCAGTGTGCGTTTTCCCCAGCCCTTCTGGCAGGAATCCACTTCTCTCCCTTGGGCTCACATGATCGTATGCTTGCGGTGACTCTAGGACACGGTTACGGAAGATCTACTCATCGATCTCAGCGGGCCCGCACCGGCTCCGTCGGCCGTACCCTATCACCTCCAGGCGCCGCCGCAGCTGCAAATGCCGCCCGGTGCGATGTACCCGCCGCCTTCCTACTACTACCCGCCCTCCTACGCCATGCAACCGCCCGGCTCCACCGGCGGCGGAGTGCCCCAGCCGTTCAACGCCATGCCGCCTCAGCAACAGCACCACCTCATCCCCTCCATGCCGGGCGCGCCCGGTTATCCCATGATAACGCCTGGCTATCCTCAACCGCCGCTCAGCGGCAACATGATGGGAGCGGCCGGCAGTGGTGTGCTCATGCCTTCCACCAGCGGTAACTACCCGCCGATGTCCGGATTCGGGGCCTTCTACCAGCCCATCGCCGTGCAGGGACCCGCGCCGGTGCCATTAGACGCTCAGCAGCAGCAACAGCAGCAGTCTTCCACTTCGTCGTCGGCTCTGGCCTATCCCGGTATCTCCGCGGCTCCGAGCCCATCGCCGTACGGTGCTACGTCATCGCCCTTCTCGTCGTCCGGCGCTGCCTCCTCGGCCAGCACCACGCAGCAGCCGCCGTCGCCCGTTCTCCGTACTTCTTCGACCACGACCACCTCGACCGCCGCGCTGTCGCCCTCGTTGAACGTGTCCTCGTCGTTCTCCCCGCTGCCGCTGAGGGTTGGCGCCCTATCGGTGGGTACTGCCCGTCTCTCGCTCTCTTCGGCGCCTCAGGAAGAGCCCAAGGTCATCATGGAGCAGCAGCAGTCGCCGCTGCGCCTTTCCTCCCCCTCGCAACTCGCCGAGGAGCAGCAGCAACGCGACGAGGAGGAACAGGGCAGCACCGCACCGCCGGCGGCGCTCTCGTCCTCCTACGGCTCCTACGACGATCCGTTCACCGCTTCGGTGACCTTCAACTCGGCCTATCCCGCTGACTCTTTCGCAGCTGCGCCGATCCCCAGCAGCAGCGTGGGCTCACCGCTCTCCACCGCTTCGTTCCTGACTTCCTCCCCCGCTCACTCCTCTTCTTCGACCTCGACTACCACCACGTCGTCCATGGCCTCGCTTCCCGTCGTCGAGTCGCAGTCCACCGCGTATGCAACAGCCGGCAAGTACGCCGTGGCCGCCTCTTCGTCGTCGTCATCTTCTCCCTTTACCGAGGCTCGCTCCCCATCGCCGCCGCCTCCCTACGCTTACGCATCGTCCCCGTCTTCCTTCGCCCCCGTAGAACCGCAACACAATGCTCCGCTTCAGCAGCAGCAGCAGCAGCCGTCGCACTACTATGTCGACAGCAACGCTCTCCCTCCGGTCATGCCCTCGCCTTCGCCCTCTGCGGGCCTCTATGCCGCTGCTTCGGCGCCTCCCGCCTTTTCTGACAGCAGCGCGCGGGCTACGATTGGCCAGCCCGTCCACTCTGGCAGTGCGTCTCTCTCTCTCTTTCTTGCCCAAAAGCTTGTGAGGGTGGCAGGTGCTGACCCTGCTCTATGCGGCGCGCGTGTAGCCAAGCGTGAGAAGGATCTTGGTGAAAGGATTCAGTCGTACGAGAAGAAGGCAGAGAAGCTGGTCGTGCTGGCCGTGGAGCGACCCGACCAGCTCACTGAAACCGAAAAGAAGATGAAGGGACTGATCAACAAGATCAAAGTCGACCAGGTGCGCCCACACCGCCTTCTCGCATATTTTCCGCACACCCCACCGTTCTCTGACCACACACACACACACACACAGGAAGCGTTGGTGGCACAGTTTGCGAGAAGGAACGACGCCGAAGCCGTCTCCCAGCGCCTTAACAACATCCTCACGTACATTCAGGAGAACTACGACCTCGTACACCTCCCCTCCCTCATTCACTGGCACCTACATCGTTCGGCGTGTGTGCTCACATCCCGTGTCTCCCGTGTTGCACGACAGATGAAGCGTTTCCGCACGCTCTATGCCGAGGATCAGCTCAACGTGTTTGAAGAGAGGATGTACGGCCTGCTGGGCGAAGTCAACAGCGTCAAGGGACATGTACGGACTCCACCCCGCACTGGCCTTGGCTCGACAAACTTGCGAAGTTTGCTGCAAACCTCACTGTCCACCACTGTTGTCAATAATGCAGGACATGGACGAAGCGACGAAGTTCCACCAGAAGATGACGGCCCTCATGCGCGAGATGGCCCTCTACCACTCGGTGCTCAGGAAGAAGCTCGAGGAAGAGCAAAAGGCCGCCAAGGACCACGGCGCCGTCCCTGATGATCGTACGTCCTCCATGTCGCCCTTTCGGCTTGTGCGTGAGACAGGACTGATTCGATTCTCTGTCTCTCTTGTTGTCTTCGCTTTGCAGTCGGGGCGATGAACAAGAACCACCTTCTCAACCGCCTGGAGGACCTGCAGGAGAACATGGCCGACTTTGAGCACAACTTCTGCACGCAGTACAAGGTCAAGCGGGACTTGGGCGACCGGGCCAAGCAAATGTTCAAGCAGATGAAGGTCAAGGAGGCGCAGCAGAAGCACAACGTGGCGCAGGACTCCCTCTACGAACTGTAAGGTTCACAACACCAATGCTTTCCTCCTCCCTCTCTCCCCTCGCGCATGCCATCGCAGTCTTCAAGCTTGCCCAAGATGTTGGAGAGGAAGTTCTTCTTTGCGTCTTTTTCGTGTGCGTTGGTGCGTGTGCGTGTGCGTGCGGCCACGGCCAGGGCTCAGCTTACGGCAGTATGTATATATTTATATTATGTGTGTGAGATGGGCGCATATGCACCAGTATTAACATCGCGAGCTGAGGAGAAGCTACAAAGAAGAAGAAGAAGCAAGAAGCATCGACGTCTGCTATCAGACGCAGGAGATGGAGTCGACCTGAGCCCGGATCGGGTGGTGGTTGCCCAGGGCCGAGAGCGGGACGCGTTCGATGACGCCCCCCGTCAGCGCGCTATCGACGCGGATCGGGTTGCCCGGGTGGAACACGCTTGACGAGGCGCCCAGCCGGTTGACCTCCCACCACTGAACCAGCTCGGCCTCGGGCGCAAGGGCCAGGCTGATGCGGGCGTCGGTGATGAGGCGGCCGCCCATGTTGACCACCTTGAGGTCGTAGACCTGGTAGAGGTAGTCGCCGTCCGACCAGCGGCTGCGATCATTCAAGCCCGCGCGGGCCGTGATGTTGACGTTGGCCCGGCAGAACACGCGGGGCTGCAGGTCGGCCAACGACTCGGAGCCGACGCACGAGACCTTGCTCAGCGAGAGCTGGGGGTCCACCACGGACGCGGCGTCGACCTCCTCGGGCGCGCGCACGACGTAGCCGGCCGTCATCGAGCGACCCGACTCCAGACCGCCGTTGGTCACCACCTTGAGCACGGGCTCGGTCGCGGTCGGACGCACCATGTTCCACCACTACACACATGGGGAGCACAGTCAACGACGTGCTCAATTCGTGCATGCAACGGGGGGGGGCGTACCTCGTAGAGCTCTTCGTTGGGGGCGAGGTGGACCTTGATGAGGGACCAGGTGTAGGGCTGCTGGCCCAGGTTGGTGATCTTGAGGTCGTACGTGCGGTAGACGAACCCGCCATCGGTCCAGCTGCCGCCTTCCTGCAGGGCTCGGCCGAGCTGCTCCACCTTGATCACGCACTTGTTCGACTTAGCCGGCGGCACTTCATCGCTAGCCTTCTTGTTGTTCTCGTTCTGTATCTCGTTCTTGTTGTTCTTGTTGAAGAAGGAGAACCACGGGCCGGCGTAGAAGGGCAGCGAAGACGACGAGTGGTCGGCCTCGCTGGCGGCGCACGACACGGAGGCCAACGCGACGATGGCCGGCGCCGTCCCTCGCACGATGTACTCGAACACGTGCGACTCGCCCGACTTGAGCCCGCCGGCCAGGCCGAGCGACTTGGGCAGACGGTAGAAGGCGGCGCTGGCCGACGAGGGCGACGACGACAGCGACGACGAGCCGGCGCCCTCCATGCCGCGCACCTGGGCGATCGGGTGGGCGGGCGAGGGCGGCGAGAGGGAGAGGCGCAGCGCGGAGACGATGATGCGCGGACCGGGGGAGAGCTCGACGCGCCACTGGGAGCTGAACCGGCCGTCCTCCACGAACGAGCTCATCATCGTCTGCTTGATCTCAACCGGGCACGGCTCTGAACAACACGTCACGCAGCAGGAACGTGAGGTGAGTGTGCGGTGACGATGAACAACAACTTCAAGAAGAAGCAGAAGAAGAGCCAGATGGGTACGTACGAGCGGCGCAGAGGGCGGCCAAGATCGAGATGAGAAGCACTAGAGCAAGGAAGCGCATCTCGAGCGTGGGTTGTGCGAGGGATGGTGGTTAGGGAAGGAGGTGGATCACTTCCTTGCGTGGCCGAGGTCAGGTTGTTGTTGGTAGGAGCTGATTGTTCTTATTGAGGTGGTGATGTTGGCCATTAGCTGGGGCTTGTTAAATGGCCCAGTCAGGGGCCAGTCAGCAGTCTTGAACTGGGAGAGATTTCATGATCCGATCACAGTACAACACGCTCGCCAGAAACACCAGGCCTCAATTCGAGGAATTCGAACAATCTCTCGGGTCAAAAACCCGAACATTCCGCAGAGTCCAAAGAGCTCACCGCCGTGCTGGCGTGAAGGAAACACACCCGCCTCTCAGGCAGGAGTGTATTCCCGTCTATTCTCCCTGGTGAGGCGGTCTCGCCGCTCGTCGCAGGTCATAGCAGGTTTTGACAACCTAAGAACCCCCCACACCTCAGGCCCGTGCCAGAGGGTGGGTTGAGGAAGAAGTTCTGTTGCTGTTTCTCCCCCGTGGCGGTTGGTCCCTGGAGGTGTCCGCAGAAGAAAGTGTCACGGTAGTGGTCCGCTCGGAGTTGGATTAATGAAGGGCGGCAAGAAGAAAAAGGCCAAAAGGGACACTTCCGACTTGTCAAGCTTCCACACACTCACCATCATGAAGGCCTCCAACATCCTTGCCCTCTGCGGCCTCTTCGTCCTCCTCGCCCTCCCGGCCATCCTCGCCAACACCTGCGGCGTACACAGCCCCTTTTGTTTGTTTATTTGATTTATTTATTTTAATCTTTGGTGTCTTTCTTCGACCATCTGCAGGGCAACTGCCCGTCGAACGATTGCTCGTCTTGCCCGTGCGGTACCGGCACTTCCTACACCGACATTGGCTCGGCGTGCCGCCGGTTCAGTGGCTGGAGCCAGTCGTGCTGCGAGTGCATTGCCCGCCACGAGAGCGGCGGCAACCTCCACGCCGCCAACCAGAACCGCGGCGGCAGCTACGACGTCGGCCTGTGGCAGATCAACAACCAGAACTGGGCTTCCTGGTACGTTTCGTTTGTGCTGGCCCCTTTTATTCGATTACCGCTTTCGTTCTTTTCTCAACGCACTTCGTTCTTTCCTCTCCACAGCTCTGGCGGCCGTGCCCCTTGCGATCTCGAGAGCAACCTGCAGTGCGCCATCAAGGTCTGGGGCTGGGGTGGCAACTCGTTCCGCCTGTGGTCCACCTGCGGCGCTTGCGGCTGCTGCTGAAGCACAGGGAGTGTTCACCAAGAAGAACAGTTTTTTCCCATTAATTTGCCGATTTCTATCCGAACCTTGTGCGATTCTCGTCGATTAGAGACTTGAAACACGGTCTAGCCACTAGATCGAGCATCTATGAAGCCAAATCTTAGCTAATCGTGTCCAAAATTGTGATAATGTTTGTGTTTTTTTATTATTTATGAAAGATGGAGGCGGGAGCCTGCAGCGGGGATCAGATTTCCCGCTCGTCTTCGCTCTCGGGCGCGAGCTTGGCGAGGATGCGCTTGCAGTAGTCCACCAGGGCCTTGGCTTCGGCCTTGTTGCCGCCCATGACCGTGGGCTTGCCGGCGTACGCCATCAGCAGCTCGGGCTCGGCGTGGATGCGAAGAACGTGCAGGAGCGCTCTCTCGGCAGCTGTTTAGATGCACACACGCACACATTCTTTAGCGAGAGCACTGTGTGTGTGTTGCGGACGAGGAGGAGGTAAGTTTAGGTACCAAGCTTGACGGGCATCGAGGTCCTGTCCTTGACGCGGTTGAAGAGGGCCGGCACGAGCAACTCGAGGTTGTTGGACGAGGTGCCGGGGCACTTCTTGGCGAACTGCTTGATGGCCTTGACCGCCGCCTGCCTGATGTCGGCCTGCTGGTCGGCCGTGGCCTTGGCCAACAGCGGAAGCAGCGACTGCACGGCAGCAGCGAAGGCCGGGTGCTGCTCGCCCAGGAGCACGAGGTAGCGCTCCGCGCAGCTGATGGCGGCCTTCTTGACGGGGGGCTTGTCATCCTTGAGCATGGCCATGACGTGGTTGGAGGCCACGCGGAGCAGGTCCTCGTTGGAGCTGACGCGCTCAAAGGCGTAGCGCAGGATGTACTCGAGGGTGAGCGTGTAGGCGTGGCGCAGCTTCCACTGGGCCTTGACGTCGCCGGCCTCGACCGACAGCTCGGTCTTGATGATGCGCTCGAACTCGTCGGGCGAGCAGAACTTGCTGTAGGCCGCGAGGCAGCGGCTGACGATCAGGCGCGTGTTCTCGTCATCGGACTGCAGGAGCTCGAACAGGGTGGGCGCGATCTTGGAGAGGATCTCGGGCTTGACCTTGTCGCCGGCGGAGATGAGCACTCGCTGGAGGGCGCCCAACATGGCCTCCTGGATGCCGCCGGTGGCCTCGTTGATGCCGGACATGAGCTCCGTCACGAGCGGGTCGACGCGCGTGTGCATGCCCATCAGCTTGCCGAGCGCGATGGCCGCCTGGTCGCGCACCTCGAACGTCGCGTCGGAGAGGGCCTTAACGAACGTCGTCTGCAGCTGCGGCAGGAAAGGCTTGAGCATCGGACCGCCCCTGTCCAGCAGCATCCTGTTCGGTTGAAGAAGATGATGATGAAGAGAGGTGAGCATATGAGAGATTGGAGGAGAGAAACGTTAAGCGAGAGGGCACACGTACGAGAGGGTGCGCAGGATGGCGAGCTTGACCCTGGGCGGGAAGCGGTCGCCGATGATACGAATGAGCGGACCGGTGATCTTGATGACGAAGGGACCGAGAGCCTGCGGCGTGGTCAGCTCGATCAGGTCGCCCATACCCAGCGCAGACGCCTCCCTCTGCTCGGGGCTGCCGAACATGAGACCTGCCCGAGTGGACACACAACAACAGCGCACGTGTTAGGCCACCTCCGCCCCAACACACGACACACGGCACACGGCACACAGACACACAGACACACGACACAACAGCGTAGGTACCCTGAAGGAAGAGGGGAAGGATGGCATCGAGTCCCTTGGGAAGGCAGAGGCCCGGCAGCGCGGTCTTGCCCTGCTTTCGCAGGTCGTCCCTGACGTACGACAGGTACAGCCGCACATCAGCGACGAAGCCGGGCTGTTCGTTCTTCTCGATGGCCTTCATGAGGCTGTCGAGCGCGCTCCAGGCGGCCTTTTGCACTTCGACGGCCGGGTCGTTGAGCAGCTCGATCAGCTTCTTGAGCGTCATCGGGACGTGGGGCCTGAAGTCCACCTTGCTCTCGGCGCAGTAGGTGCCGAGCAGCGTGACGGCCGACGTACGGAACGACGCCGACGAGTTGTCCGCGGCCCTGAGCAGCTCGGCGAAGAGGATGTGCATGCCGTCCTCCCGCACGCACAGCACCATCTTCTGGCCGTAGCTCTTGGCTGACTCCAGCTCCTCGGGGGCGACGTCGGGCTGCGGCTGCATGGCCTCGATGAGGCACGGAATGAGAATGCCGAGGTGGGGGTAGAGCGAGGGGCCGGCGACTTCGGCAACCGAGCTGAGCGCCTTCGCGCTGAACGCACTGTTTGATTATTAAAAAGGGGAAAAAAAGAAATAAAGGGAAGCCGTCAGCCAAGGGGGAACAAGGAGCGATGGGGAGGGGGGAACAAAAGAAAAAGCTTTGAGAGGCCTGGTGTGGTGTTGGGAGCGTACGTGATGGGCGGCTTGGTGAGCTTGGGGATGAGGTAGGGCAGAATGGCCGCGGCACGAAGAGTGATGATCTGACGCAGACCATCGAGAGCGTAGTCGGCGACGTCGGGATTCTCCAGCTGCTCGAGAAGATCTGCACGAAGATGGAAAAGGAAAAGAAGGAACGCATTGTCAGGGTCCAGACCCTCCACAAAGGGGAACGTTGACGGGAAAAAGAGTGTACCGGGCACGATGTCGTCGATGGCCTTGCTGGTGACAGACTTGTACAACCTATCAAAGGCCAGCGCAGCGGCTTCGCGGACTTCGTCCAACGGGTCGTACAGAGCGCGGGACACGGCAGGCATGATGATGTGGAGGTACCTGAACATGGGCGCGTGGTAATAACCAGGTTAGCGAGAAGCGAGGTGATAGAAAGCGCACACGAGAGGTCGACGTACTCGGCGATCTGGTGCTTCTGGGCAGAGGCGATGACCTCGGTAAGACCCAGGCACACGCCCTGGCGAGTGTCGGACAGGGGGCTCCGCAGACCCTGAGAGAAGAATGCAGGATGCGGGGTGAGCGTGCGTGCGTGTGAAATAAACAACTTTGCGTGAAGGTTTGCGGCCGATTGTACCTCTTCGAGGATGGGAATGATGTCGGGCAGGATACGGTCGCCCAGCTTGTTGACGAGGTCACCCAGGGTCTTGCCTCCGACCTCACGCTTGTCGAGGACCGAGCTGCCCAGGCACTGAATGATGATGTGCATCATCTTCGGGAGGACACCTGTGGTAGAGAGAGAGAGAACGTTAGCGTTGATGAGAGGCACCGTGGGTCACAGTCACAGTGGGTCGTTGATTGATGATGAGGAAGCGGCTGAGCGTACGCTTGAGGGTGGCCGGGGTGTGTTCGACCACGGACTTCCACACCATCAGCGCCTGCTGACGCACAACGGCGTTGGGATCGCTGCGCAGCATGTACAGTCTCGACAGGATATCGGCCTGGACATCGGCATCCAAGCTGCCGCTGATGACTGGACAGTCATTGGGGGGGGGGAAGCGGTGCGGAGCGAGAGGCTTCGTTTAGCATCACGATGGAGGGGAAGCAAGAGGGCGAGCACTAGAGCCGTGGAGGTAAGAACGTACGTCTCTGCTGGTTCTCCTTCTTCTGGTCCTTGTCCAAGAAGTGGAACAGCAGATCGCCGACGAGCATGGTGGACGACTGCCTGATGCGCCAGTTGTCGTCGAACAGACCTTCGAGCAGAGTAGGCTGCAGAGTGCAATCGTTAGCCGTGGTAAGCGCTTTCGAGCGGCAGAATAGGCCCTCAGAGACAACCCACGTTCTGGGCTGAATTAAGCAGAAGCGTACCAGCATGACGTCGATCGACGTCTCGGCGTACTGGGTAACGAAGGCCTGGCCAGCACGGAGCGAGATCTCACGAACAGATTCTATTGTGCGGAGGAACAACCACCAATAAGAATTCAGATGTTTCTGGCGTCATCAAGTGAAACGAAGTGTGTGAGAGATGATGTGTACCGGTCTCATCGGCAAGGCCCTTGAGAATGGCGGGCAGGAGGGTGCCCATGTATGGCGGGAACTTCTCCTTGAGCGCCGACGGCAGGTAGACGAACAGGCCGATGTAGCCCTCGCGGATGTGCCACTTCGGGTCGTCCGTGCCGTCCATGATCTGCGGCAGCAGCTCCTCGAACTTGCCCACGCCTGCCCCAGGCCACAACCAAGACGTAAGTAAGCCACATACATGCGCACGGCTAAAGTATATAAAAAACCGAACAAAAGCGGTATTGAGGAGAGCAGGCAGCGTACCGAGGCCAGCGATCACCTCCGAAAGACCCTGAGCCGCACCGGTACGCTCCACGGAGCCGGCATCGGAGTGCATCGTCTCCAGCAGCCACGGGATGAGCGTGCTGAAGTTCTGCTCGCCGATACCCTGGACCAAGGTGCCCAGAGCTGTGATGATGGTCATAGGGTAAGTCGCGGCGATTGGTCCACGTGGCACAAAGCAAAACAAACGAAATGACATGAAGGAATTAACAAAGAACATAATCGTACCTTTGGCGCTCACGGTACGAACGTCGGGGATGGGGTCGGTCAAGATGTTCTGGAGCTCGGGGATCAGGATCTCGAGGTAGGGGATGAGGTCCTTGTGGTCGGCCAGCGAGCACATGTTACCCACGATCTGATCAGGCACCACAAGCGCGCAATTAGGATAACGATCTCGGTGAGGAAATAGGGTGAGAAATGCCGACGAGGACGCACCTGGGCGGACTTCTTCTTGACCTCGGTCTTCCTGTCCTTGAGCGCACGCGACAGAATGGGCATGATGAGCGCCAGCGACGGCACGTCGATCACGTGCACGAACGAGGTGCTCAGCAGCGCGTCAAGGGCGGCAATGGTGTTCTTGTCCGGATCGTAGATGGCCTGAATGAGGACGGGCACGTGAGCCTGGATCTCAGGGTTACGGATGACGGCGCCAATGTTCTCGAGCGCGATGCGGGCGGCCTCGACAATCTTTGGCAGACAGCAAAGGAGGAACGACAGACGTCAGTGATTGAGGGCAATCCTTGCACGACCAGCGACAAGACGACGATGACTGCATACCTTCTGGTGGGTGTCGGTGAGCACGACGCCGAGGCGGGGCACGATGGTAGGCAGACAGGTGGAAAGCTGGCGAGGGTTACAGAAGGCCATGGTGCCGAGCAACTCGACGGCGGCCTGCTTGGTCCTCCAGTTCTTGGAGCGGTCCTCGAGGGCCTTGAGCAGGGCGGGGAGCACCAGCTTGACACCGTGACCGGAGAGGTTGCCCATGATGGCCCTGGCGGCGTCAGCCGTGGCCTCGCGCACCTGCTCGCTCTGGTCGCTGAACGACAGCAGCAGCTTAGGCAGGATTTGGATCACGTAGGGCTCGAAGGACAGCTTCAGCATGGTCGAGAGGCACTCAAACTGCGTTGTGGCGAGAGCGGAGCAGAGAGTCAGGGACCGCGTGGCATACCAAGGTGGAGGACTGGCACTGAGAGAAACGTACGGCAAAGAGGGAACCCTGGCGAGTGTTGATGCTCTTCTTGTTCTCCACAGCCGCCTGCAGCTTGTCCATGATGCCGTACTGCTTGAGGATGGGAATACCGATACCCTTGACCACTACAGTGGTTGCCACACGGGCGGGAGTGAGCGCCACGCCTTACCAATCACATCTCACAGTGAAGTGGGAAGAAAGAAACGTACGTCCGGCAAGACCATAGGCAGCACCGCGCCTGTCTCCGTAGGAGGAACCCTTGAGGAGGCGCTCGAGCAGGAGGCTCATGTACTTCTCCTTCTGGGTTTCCTCGGTGATGTTCTTCATGAGGGAGCCCAGGCACTGACCCACGGCCTTCTGCACCGACTCGGCGGGCGTCTTGAGCACCTCCAGCAGGCGATCGATGACCGTGCGGACCTTGGGATCGTCGGCGGCCAAGTGGCGGGCCAGGGTGCCCAGGAAGATGACCACCGCCTCGCGCACCTGATCGGAGATGTGCGCCGGCAGCTGCGAGGGAGCCGGCCGGTCCAGGTAGTTCTCGAGGATCGGAAGAATGGTGCCCATGTGCGTCTGTCCCTGCTTAGCGATGATCTCCATACCGGCCTGTGCGTCGAGTCATATCGGTGAGTGTTATCGTTGGTCTCGTCGTGCTTCACGATCCAAAGAGTCTACAATCTAGAGTCTGGGTCGTTTACCTTAGTGGCGTGGTCGATGACGGTCTTGTCGAGATCCGTCAGTGCGTGTTTGATGAAGAAGTCGAGCACCAGCGGCAGATGCTCGGCTCCCATCTATGAGTGAGTGAGAGAGAGAGAGGCGGGTAAGACCACCGCCGGGCAAGACAGGAGGCGACATGCGAAAGGAAGGCGCGAAAAAGCAGACGGGAAGGAATCAACGAACCACAGTGGCGCACTCGCCGAGGGCGAGAGCAACGCCGCTCCTGATCTCGAGCTTGTGGACGATCTCTCCCTTGGGCGGCTTGGAGCCCAGCGTCAGCAGATCGCTCTGCGGCTCGGTTTCCAACGCGGCACCCTGACGTGGGAATGTGGGTTAGGCCCAACGCAACGTGTGTGTGTATGTACGTGAACCAAACTGATTTCAGGCTGTCGCCGTGGTTTAACACGTACTTCCTCCTCCTCGGGCGAAATGTGGGCGAGCGCCTTGCCGTGAAGCACGGCCTGGTGGACGCGCGAGGCCTCCTTGACGGGCGGGGGAACCTGTCACCATTGCGAACCAGTGATCAGTGGGAGAGCTTGCGAATAGCTGTCATACGGACTGGTCTGCGTACGTTGCGCGTGTAGAGCGCGAAGAGATCCCGCAGGACCCTGACCGTAGCCGAGGGAAGCTCGGCGAGGGCGGCCGAGATGGCACGACCGGCCTGCACTCTGATCTGCTCGACGGGGCTGGACAGCACGCTGTAAAAGGCGGCCCACAGCGCCTGGCTCTCGACCAGCTGGAACCCGGTGTGCTCCCACAGCTGCTTGGCGAGCTTGGCGTTCTCCTCGTCCTTGTCGAACATGGCGTGCCACAGTCTAGCCACAACATAGGGAAGGGGCTCGATGGCGGCCGACTTGACATCGGGAACCACCTGGAAGGCCTGCAGGCTGGACTGACGGACGTGCTTCTCCTTGGAGAGCAGACCGTCCAGCACGCTCGGGAGCTGGTCCTGGTCGAGCTCTTGAATGTCGAACGTGCCCGTGAGTGGTGATGCGCAACAAGTCTGTAAGGAAGGAGGTGGTGTGGCGGTGGCATATGCGTACCGGCAGCGAGGGAAAGGAGCGCTTCCTTAGCCCTGTTCTTGAATCGCGCCGCATTCTCCAAAAGGTAGACAAGGATGCTTCCGAACACATCGACGAACGGCTGAGGAGGAGGCTTGATGTGCTGCACACCGGCAGGTGCGCGCGAATGAAGCTCCAGATCGTATAACCTGCAAGTTACGCCTAGCTGTGAGCAAGAGGGCACGAAGCAAAGTCTGGCGGAGAGGTGACGGAGAGCCGTACGCGTCCTCCTGGATGGTGAGGCCGAAGTAGTCCTTGTCGTCGCCAGGCATGAGCACAGCCTCGATCACTGGCAGCACAAAGCAGAAGCCCTGAGGCGACAAGCGATGCTCGCTGAAGCACGACGATGTTAGTTTTGTTACATGGAACTGATGACGGGCGAGTTGTGGCAATCGGCGTACTTGTCTCGCCTCGAGTGAATGATGTCGGCGATGTCGTTGATACCGCTCGGGATGAGCTTGAGCAGCTCCTTGTCCCACGAAATGACCAGACGGCCGTCGGCGTTGCGCTTCGACGCCCTGAACAGCTTCTGCAGCACAAAGCTGATCCTGGTGGCGGAGTAGACAGAGACCGGGGGGAAACGCGGAACGGGCGACGAGGTCGAGACGGGGAATGGCGGCTGGTGGACAGGGCCGACACACTGGGCGAGCGAGGCCAGAGTCAGCTCGGCCTCCTGCTGCAGCTCGTTCAGCTTGTGCGGAATCAGAGCGCGGACGAGAACGAGGAAGGCCGGCAGCTGGAGATGCGCGACCTGTTCGAGCGTGGCACGCGATATTAATTAATTAGTCGGTTTGTAGAGGATTCTTCTTCTTCTTCTTCTAGAACGGAAGGGGCTTTCGTACGTGCGGCACGTTGGTGGCGAGTGAGGAGATGGCCTGGAGCGCGGCGCGCACTCTTTGCACTCTGGCGTCGACCCGGGCGCGCAGGCTGGCCTGTCTGGCCAGGTGAGCAGTCCGCTCCGCTTGCTCAGCGGGCGTCAGTTGGGGGGTCTGCACGGAGTCGGATGAACTCGTTAACGCCGGTGGCGATTAGGGGAGCTCCACGCGCGGAGGCGGCGTGTACCTTGTCCTTCTTGTCCTGGCCCAACTTCTTCCTCATCTCAGCCTCCCAAGCGGCGTCGGCCTGATCGTACATCTTCTGACCTGTGTTACGGACCAACCCCGTTCAGCGTTCGTTCACACACACTACGCAAGGCGAGACGAATTGGATTAGAGCGTGGAGAGAAAGCTTACCTTTGAGCTTCTTGATATTCTGTGACTCGACCACCTGCGCCACATACTCCTCGGACTTGGGGGTCCAGAGTTCAGTGGACGGAGTGCGGTAGATCTCCAGCTGGTTGTTGGTCAACTGCTGGAGCGGGACGCTCGAGGCCATCAAGCGCGAGGCGTGGCTCACCACAGCACCTGCAGACAAAACCGTGACAGCTGTATGAGCGCACAGAGTCACAGGGGGAGGGAAGAATGCGCACACGGGTCGTATCGCGTACCAAGAGCGGCGGGGACCATCTTCGCGAGGGAGGACAGGGCAGAGTAGGCAGCGCTGTTGATGTACTTGTTGGCGCTCAGCAGCACTCCGCTGATGCCCAGCTCTGAGTGGCCCTCGAACAGGAAATGAAGCAGATCGTTGATCGTGGCCTTCGTGTCCTCTTGCGAGTAGTCCTGTGGCAGCAAGTGGGGTAACGAACGATGAGCTCTTCATCGACACAGCCATATGGGCAATGGTGGGTACCTTAAGGGAGATGCCGGCGATGGCCAAGCAGCGTGCCCAGCACTGGTACTGGACGGAGGGAAGGATGAAGGGGTGGTGCGCGAGAACGAGGACCAACGGCAACACCCGGTGGATGGCCTCCCGCCTCGACTGGCTGGTCTCCTTGTCCTGACCGTCGGCCTTGAGACAGTTCAAGAGGGCGTGGAAGTAGATCGACGAACGGGCCTGGCCGTCGTCGCTCTTGGTGGTGGGCACGTCCTCCTCCTTTTCGATGGTCACCTTCTTGGCGGCGAGGTCGTCCTCGGACGCCGGCTTGACCGCTTGGAAGAACGCGCGCACCAGCAGCTCGGACAGCTCGTCCTTCTCGCTGTTGTGCTTGCTCACGATTCGCGCCGCCTCCTTGCGGGGAGCGTTCCACGGGCAGGTGAGCAGATAGACCAGCAGGCCGAACACGTTCTTGGCCGACGCGACCTTGCCGCGCGCGCGGTTCGCCTCGTCCCTTTCCTTCTGCTGGCTCATCACGGCCACGACCCGGGTGTAGTGGTACTGCAGAAGGGTCTCGGACAGCACGGCCAGGACTCGGCCCTCTCGCTCGTCCAGCTTGCTGTAGTTTGAATCGTATGTTTAGCGTTGAGTGCTGCGTCTGGACTGGGCGTGGCGCTCAGGCGCTTGCAAGAACAACGTACTTGAGGAACTTGCGCTTGAACAAGAAACAGCTCTCGGTCTCCTTCGCGGGCTTCTCGGTCTCCTTCTCCTTACCCTTGCCCTTGGCAGCGGCAGCGGCAGCAGCGGGCTTGGCAGCGGGGGCGCCAGTAGCATCGCCCAAGACAGCCCTCCACAGGCCCTCCTTGGTCAACCTGTTGCCCATTCACAAAAGAGAGGAGGGGGTGAGGTTCAAAAGAACGGACATACATACAAAAGAACTGTGTGCAACGTACTTGGCATCGGCTGTGCTTCCGTTGAGCGAGGCGATGAGAGACAGCGCGGCGAAGGCATACACGAGATCCTTCCTGCTCTTCAGCTGAGTCATCGCGGTCTTGGCGAGTGTGATGAGGGGATCAACTGATAACCAAGACGGCACAGAGTAAGTGTGAATGAGCGACAGACGTTGCGTGATGATGGAGGAGGGATGGTACCAAAGTCGGAGATCACGTTGAGCGAGGAGAGCGTCCAGTCCTCACGTGCGCTCTTCAACGCCACGATAAAGCTCTCGAGGTATGCATGTCTGGTCGTATCCTTGACGTCCTTGAAGCCTGTTGCAAACAGTGGAGGTGTTAGAATCAGCCGAGGTCTCCTCCTTCTTAAATTGGGGAGCTGCGCACCAGCAAGGTAGAGCTGCTTCGCCTCGGGCGTGATCTTGGAGGTGTAAGAGAGCCAGAGGCCCAGGGCCATAACAGCAGCCACACGTACTTCGTCCATGCCTTCCTTCTTGAGGAGAGTCTGCAGGGCCTCAATGGCAACCACCGCCACGCGCAGCTTGTCTTCGCGGGTCAGGGAAGCGGCGTCGAGTGCGCCGATGGCCTCCACCGCAGCCAACCGACTCTTGTAGTCAGTCAGACCTGGTAAGATTTGGGGGGGGGAACGAGAGTGAGCTTGTAGCCTGTTCGATGCACAACGAGCAAGTGGAGGTGTGATTACCGGCTACGAAAGCAGAGAGATCCTTCATCAGCTCCTCGAGCGCAGCAGGATCACTGACCTTGCGCACCGTCTGTTGCACGATTGCCAAACCGCCAGCGCGGTATGTGATCTCGCTAGAGCGAAGCTGCGAGAACGCCATGGCACTGTAGAGAGAGAAAATGAGCACTTGGGGCGCCCCCGCGACCGTCTCCCACGAGCTAAGCATCAAGTAGGGTACCCAAGCGCCTTGACGAAGGGGCTGAGATCAAGCGAGAGGTGTGAGAGAAGAATCGGAACGTCGCCGATGACGACCTCGGGATTGCGCTTGAGCGACCTGTCCACAGTCGGCAGTACAGCACTACGACCACCACGATACGGAGTAGATGTTTGTAAGGGCGATGCGGTTGCAAATGATAAAGCGTCTCGCGGGTGGATTTGTTGCACACATACGTTCCAAACTCGTCGGACGTGAGCGTGCTGATGAGAGGAGCCAGTGCCTCGTGGATGTGCCTAGGCGGCGCAGTTCGATCGCCGAATATCAACGCGACGTACGCTTTGAGGAACTTCTCCTGTGGTGGCGCGGCGAGTTAGTCGAGTTCGCTAAAGGAACAATTCAGCGGGAGAGCACTCGCTCCGCCAATATACCTTGACGGACTTGAGCAGCTCCGGGTTCTTCTTCGCATGGTGCGTAAGCAGGCCGAGCGCAGCACATTCGTACCGCGCCGGCTCGCCGCCCAGAGCAGTGATGTAGAGTTGGAAGGCCTCAGGGCGCTGCATAGGTGATGACACGCAAGCGAATAAGGTGAGAGGGCCACCACGAAACCCAGGTGCCGAGAGACCAACGAGCCATACCTTGGAAAGCGTTGTGAGGAACTTGTGCTGGGCGGCGTCGCGAGCGTGCACTTGGCTGATGGATGCGATCGCATCGATAAGGCGGAACTGCAGCTTGGCAAAATCTCCAAATTTCTTCTGCGATGTTAGGAATTCGAGGCCGCTCTTGCTAATCACAACGTCGCAACTCCACCGCAGGTGTACGATTTCCGTCTGCCTCATCCTGCACAAGCAACAGAGTGTCAGGCCGTCGTCTAAAACTGCAGGACATATAAGGGTTACCTCGTGACGGCAGTCTGCGTGGCGGTGGTGGCCATCGCCAGCGAAAATCTCTTCAAAAATGCGGTGATGAATGAGGACACCAGTCCCGAGTTGGCGCTGGAGAGGACAGCGCTCACGAAGGACTCTACAGCCAGCTGGCTTGTGCGATCAGAGTAGACATCCACCGTGCGATAGAGCATGAGTGTAGTCGCGGCCAGAACTTTGTCCAGCACTACACGCATTAACACGGACACGACGTAAGAAGCGCATCTTTCGCATTTGCACTCCCAATTACGTGCGACGAGCATATCATTAAAATCACAAATTTCAACACTAAATCGGGGGCAATTTCGGGAGGAGGAAATCACTGCGTAGGTCTACCGCACCTTCTTTGCTCCATTCCGCCTGCTGAAGCACGATGCCAGGGACAATTTTGCGCCAAATCCACACTCGCTTCTTGACCGAGGGTGTGGTGACCAGGACATTGACGAACTTGAGCTGCTTCATCACCAACTCTGGCTGATTGACGACCACCGCAGCTTCAGCCGGCTCAGCGGCACCATCGTCGTCGTCCTTCTTGCCGCCCAAGGCATCGAGGTAGGCCTCCTCTCGCGGGAAGACAATGTCCATCTCCCGCTTTGTGTGTGGCTTTCGCGGTGCACGGCGCCTGTTTCCGACAGGTGGTGGTGCTGTGGCGGACTGAGATGCTGAATTAGAATCTCCACCCTCCATCTTCTTTCTCTCGAATCAGATCAAAGATCAGCTCGCTGGCCTGTGGGGGTATTGGTCTGCGGAAAATAGAAGGAATGAAAGAAATTCTGTGAAAATAGACAGCCGTGAAAATTATAAAAGGCTGAATCTTCCCCATTCTTCTTGGGGGATGGAGCATCAGACGCTGCTTGATTTGGCCAGCGAACGGACGGAAGCGCACAGCTGCGATGACGACGCTGGACGTTCAACACTCGAAGAAGATGAACTGCTGGATGACATCAATCTCGATGACATCGAAGCAGCTCTCCGGTACGTCTTGCCCCTCTTTTCTCCACATTGTCGCACCCAAGCTCACCGCTCCAACGTTTGCAATCGTCCCAGGGAGGCGCACGCGCAAGAGGCAATGCAACCTCCAGCCACGCGACCACCTCGCTACAGACCCAATGGTGCTAACACAGGCGTCAAGGTACTAGCTGTTCCCAGTCGCTTGGCCCGTCTGCACGGCTCTTTCTCACTTTGTCGTTAGGGAGTGTTAGCCGACTACGCTGAGGCCAAGGAGCGAACTCGGCTGCGTCGTCAGGCGAACGCCGAAGCACACCGACTCCAGATGAAGGTAACGAACGGGTGTCACGCACCTGTACACGCGATTCACAACCATTCCTTCACTCCAGGACAAGGCTATAACGGTCAAGCCATCGAACAGTCGCGCTGACGAAGACGAGGAGAAAGACGACTCTGATGACGACAAGAAGCCCAAAGAAGTGAGTGCCAAACCGCACTGCTTCCGTTACGACGTATGTGCTGCGGTGCTAACACTTACGTGCGGCAGTTGGACCCAGATGACCCAGAGTTCATCCGTTTGTACAGGGAGAGGAGAATGCAAGAGCTGCTTGCCAGCCAGAGGTACACCAACCAGGAGACCCCGTGTACACGCATATCCGCAATCATCTCACAATATTTGTCTTGGTTCTGACAGGAAAACGTTTGGTTTCTTCAAGAGCATCACAGCCAGTCAGTTCTCAGATGAGATCGACCGTGAGGTGGAATCAGGCGCTTTCGTGGTCATCCACCTCCATCAGAAGGTACCCGCCCTTCCCAATCTCTTCACATCTCGACACCAGCTCACGCTCACGAGATTCGCATGTTGTGTAACGCAGTATTTGGCAATGTCGGTGCGCATGAACTACGTGCTGCAAAAGCTTGCACAAAAGTTCCTCTACGTCAAGTTTCTTAGGATCATTGCCACCGACGCCGATGCCCAGTATGACGACTACGCCTTGCCCACACTTCTCATCTACAAGGTTTGCGCCAGTTGTCACCATTTTCGCCTCCTCTCTTGCTGTAGTGTCGTGACTTATCGTGTTGATTGCCAGAATGGGGATTTGGTCACATCTCTGATACGAGTCACTGATGAACTACCGGACAACTGGGACCAGGACGATGTCGAAGTGCTGATGGCCAAGTACGCACTTACGTCTGCTTGACTCGCCCGTGAGAAATCTCATCCGACGTTTTCTCTTGGCAGGTATGGAGTCCTGCACTCGAAGATTGTCGCTACAAGCAATCGCTCCGATGCTGCATCTTCTGACTAGGGGCATGCGCCAACGCGGTACCTTGCACTTGCTGTGTGGCGTGCTGCCCCTGAATCGAAAAAACCATTTTTCGCGTGTGCAACATTTCTCTCGTGCCAAGCATTCTTTCACGAAACAAGCCAGACGAAGAAAAATCCAGCAGAAGGCGCATCAGATCATACTGCACAACAAATTGCGAACTTGGGCTGGTTCTTCATTCAATTGCTGGTTTTTGAGGCCTCCACGAGGTACCTTGACCATCATAACAATAGGAACGACTTCTTTATGGATTACTAATCAGCCGCCTTTGTGCTTGGAATGATGTTCCAGGCGTGCGACGCGAAGATGGAGCACTTGCGAAATCTCCATATGCTCTTGGAGGATGGATTTATCAGCAAGGCCGAGTACGAGCATAGACGGCAGCAGCTCATCGACAAACTTACCGACACCACCCTTGCTCGTTCCTCAGCCGAAGATGTCGAAGATGAGAAGAGTGGCAGCAGCCAAAAGAAGGTCGGTAAGGAGAGGCTCCACCAAGGCAGCTCTACCACGAGGAGAGGCGAAAGAAAGGGGGCAAGCTCTTCCCTCGTCGCCCGGGTGTGCAACGAACGCACGTCGGCTGCTACTTCGACAACCAGCACAAGCACCACATCTACGTACGATTCTGGCGTCGCCCGCGGGTTCTCCCGTACTCAAGGTTTGCGCTACGAGCCCTACAGCACCCCTGTGACCAGGTATGTCAAGACTGGTGCTTGAGATCCTTGGGTGTGCAAGCTCCCCCCCCCTCCAAACAAAAACTTACTGTGCTTCTCTGCACAGTTGTGCGCCTGCAGCGGATCCGGCGATGGACATGGCCCAAAAGTACACGCTTTCGCGAAAGATTGGTCAGCTGCCTGAAGAGACCCTTCCTTTGGTGCTCAAGATAGTCGAACGCCTCTCTCCGCAAAACCTTCTTCAGGTGGGCACCCACCCTTCCTTCTCTCCCAACTCTCGTGTGCGATTGCCTTTGCCTCCTCTGACCCGCTTCGCACCTTGCGCACCGCACCGCACCGCACCGCGCTCTAGTCAGGGGAGGATTGGACGTTTGACCTCGAAACGCTCGATAATCGTACGTTGTGGAAGCTGAACGACTACGTCAATGCCCAGATCAAGCACCACTTTGGCGAAAAGGTATCATACTCTCGACTCGGTGGTGCCGTCTGCACCTCCTCGTGCTGAACTCGAGTTATCGCATGTTCCTTAGGACAACACTCCCGGGGACAACCACGAAGCGATCGTGAAGGAGAAGTCTTGCTCCGCTACGACTTTCGCCACCGGTGAAAGCGATCCTGAAAACGACGAGTACGAAGATAGCGGCGCGGGGCTGGAACTCGACGATGACGAAGAGGAACGGGACTATGCGAGGGTCTACAGCCAAGACCAGTGGCAATCCAAGCACACCGAGGAGCTGAAGGCGGCCAAGCGGCCTAGGCCGTACGTCACCTTTGGAGCTGGCGAAAAGCGAACGAAGAAGGAAGACATCAAAAAGAAGGGCAAGGAGCGGCGAGAGCACCAGAGAGCGATCGCAGCCAAGCGCCTCCGGAGCCAGGAGAAGGAAAGCGAAAGCGATGAGGACGATGACGCGGCCGAGTGGCCCGGCGGCTCTTTCACGCGGCAGACTACCGAGGCCATGCAACTCGATAGGGACAGAGACGCGGTGGACGAAATGGAAAAGGAGTCCGAGAGCGAGTATGAACGGGAGGAGTACGAAGATCCGGAGTACACAACCGACACGCAACTCAAGCAGGAGGACGACGAAGATGAGGGGAGCGATGGCGAAGAGGAGGAAAGCGACGAAGACTGGACCCCTGCAGATGCCAAGCCGATCAGCGACGACAGAATGCGCCAGCAGGTGCACGTCGAACCGAGATCGGCCTCGCCGCCTCGGCCGACCGAGGACAAAACGGGGGTGGGCAAGGCGAAGGAGCGGAAGCCCCCATCAGCGATGGTCAAGCAGGAGCCCGAGCCGGCGGTGAAGCGGGAGAAGGACGACGCAGGGCCGGGAAAACCGTTCAAGATCCAGGTCTGCATCTACAGTCTGGCGAAGAAGTCCAACACGAAGAAGCCCTACGTCTGCGACGCTTGCGATAAAAGCTTCGCCGATCGATCGAATCTGATCCAACATCTGCGGGTCCACACGAAGGAGAAGCCGTACGGCTGTACATACGACGGCTGCGAAAAGCGGTTCGCCCACTCGGCCTCACTCAAAGAGCATCTCTACACTCACACCGGTATGCTTTCTCTCTCTCTCTCTCAGTTATGTTTCAGTGCGTAGCATCTCACTGTTCGTTTTCCTTCAGGCGACAAACCCCACGTCTGCCATTGTGGAATGAGCTTCGCGCAGGCGTCCAACCTACGGCGGCATCAGCTGGTCCACACTGGCGAGAAGCCGTTCGCGTGCAAGGTGGATGGCTGCCGGAAGAGCTTCACCCAGAAGATCAACTTGGTGCGCTGCTCCATTTGTGCTCCTGTTCCCCTCTGTCCTTCTGCTTACACAGAACTTCTTCTCCGGACCTCAGGCACAGCATCTGAAGCGGGTTCATCGTATCACCGACGCGGATAACGACATCGACAGCGAGGACGCGAAGGTCAACAGTCGGCCCGCCAACAAGCGCAGCCGCCGGTCGACCACCACGACGACGTCATCAGCTGCGCACTCCACGCGGAGCACGTCGACCGCGTCCCAGCTGGGTTCGCGCTAGCTAGCTTAGCTCTTTTCCGCTGTGAAGCGGAGTGCGGCTACGTGCAGCAAACGCGAAAGCGGTGGTATGTGATGACCAGTGTACCCGCACAGTAGCCCTTGTACATACACCTTGATTGTCTTCTCTGTCTTCTTCTTGCGTGTTCTGGTGTCGGCCCTTTTCCGCGCTGGAGTTTTTTTTTGGCTTTTCTCTTTCGATTCTTTGCGCCAAGATTCGAATTCGATTATTTGAGCGAGCGGCGAGATGAAGCGTACGACGAGTTCCTCCCTCCGGCTTCTGGCCTCTTCATCTTCCTTTGGTGCCCGCAGCGCCCCTCTTGTGCTTCCGCGCACATCTTTCGCGGGTTTGATTTCTTCTTCTTCGCGGAGCACTGGTGTACACCGCACCCGCCTTCTGGCCACCGCCGCCAAGGCCTCGTCTTCGACATCTTCTTCCCCCTCCTCTTCGAAGCCGGCCCCCCGCAACGCTGATCCCGAGGTCCTGCACGAGCAACTCGATGCGTTCGCTGCGCGCATCGGATTCAAATGGAACAACAAGAAGCTCCTGCTCCAGGCCTTCACCCATCCCTCGTTTTCGCACGACAAAGAAGTCTCGAACCAGCGCCTCGAATACTTTGGTGCCTCATTGCTGCCCCGCGCAAGCGCATTTAAATTCGAATTTGATTCTCATCCCGCAAGATTCTTATCCCTTCGCCTGCCGATCATTGGCTCATGCAGGAGATAGAACGCTCAATTTCCTGGTGTGCGAGCACTTGGTGAACAAGTATCCCAATCTGCCGGCCCGGGCGCTGGCTCATGCCACGCATCTCTTCACCAGCAACGAAACCCTCACGACCGCGGGCAAGCGATTGGGCGTGCAAGATTTCGTCCGCTGGACGCCGCACGAGGTGCCTCCCCTCCAACAATGTCTGCTGCGTGCCTGTGCCTTCTCCTCACAATGCTCTCTCTCTCTCTACGTCGATCGACGACACCGACCTACGCTCCAGGAAGAGGACAGGGGCGAGGATATCATCGTTGCCAACACGATGGAGGCTCTGGTGTCCAGCCTCTACTTCGACCAGGTACATTCTCGGCACCACACCGCCCCGACTCGCTTGCCAGCGCCTCAGATGTGTTAAACACACCTACTTACGCACGCGTGCAGGGTCTCAAGGCGGCGAGGGAGTTCGTCGTGAAGCACATCCTGCCCCAGGATGAGAACCTGGACCTCATTCCCTTCCTCAGGCAGAGGCTCCCCCGCCACACGCTCTCCGATCTCCTCACCCGCCGGGGCTCCGGAGCTCCCTACTATGTGTACGTACACGGAGAGAGAAGCAGCCATGTGTGGTCAGGCGTGGCTGAAGATGTGAATCTAACGATCAACATTGCATGTGGTTTCTTCAGGGTCCTGCAAGAGTCAGCCAGGTACTCCAGCAAATCGACGTTTGTGGTCGGTGTGTACTCCGACTCTCAGCTTTTGGGTCAGGGCTCGGGTCAGTCCATTGGCAAGGCCGAGACTGCGGTACACCTTCTTCTTCTTCTTCTTACTGATCGCTCTTCTTACTGGCACTGACTTGAACACATCAACCACAGGCCGCGCAGGAGGCGCTCAACAAGATGTGGGGCGCGAAGGCGTACACCACTCTGCCCCCCAACGACTACTGAGCCTTCGCCGTGTTCAGAGGTTGGCCTTGTCATCGGAAGGGGTTTGCCGTCATAAGCATAATTTCGCAACGCTCCTTGTCTCTGTAAGGGTGGGGCTGTACTGGTGCTACGTATGACTTGTGTGGTGTATGACTCACCTGCTAGACGGTGGTTGCTTGGAGAAGAGCGAAGGGAGAGACAACAAGTACCGCGCCAGTGTCGCGAAGAGGAAAAAAATCCTAACATAGAAATTTCGCAGTACAGTTTTTCTTAGAATTGAAGACTTATTCCAGGAAGACCAACTCAAAAATATAAAAAGAGGAGAGCATCCAACAGATCACCACACGCGATCATGAACATCCCGGCACGCGAGCACTGTTCTTGGGCTAGCAGTACGTCGGATTCGACGCGCTATGACCTCAGTGATCACTATTCGCCCCCTTGCGCACCGCCACCTTCGCCTCTCATTAGCCTCAGCCAGGAGCCCACCCTGGATGACAGGTAGCTTCTCCCTCTCCCTCACCCATCGCTTTCGCACAATCTCATCTAATTCCAAATTTCGAAATTAGCCCCTTCTGGGAAGTGGGAGCATCTTCGTTCCAACACGGGCATGAGGATTATGACAGCTGCACCGCGGGCAGTACCTCGTGGATGGAGAGCTCCACCGCTGAGGTCATCAACCATCTACGCAGCCTCAAGATTGATTTCGATTCATACCGGACGCCCGCCTCCCCTCCCTTCTCCTCTTCCCCAAGTATGTGGTCGCAATAATCGCCAACACCACCGGGGCGTGGAGCCGCGTTGTACAGCCACCTGCACACAGTGTACAAATACAAACCATACATTCATCGCGACAAGAAAAACACGGGGCCGGACGTGGTTGCACAGTGCAAGCTCTCCTTTGTTGTTGTTGTTGTTGTGTTGTCCAGTGGCGCGCAATTACATCCTCTGGAGAGGAGCGAGACCCAAAATCTTGAGGCCGTTCTCGAGCGTCTTACGGGCGGCCCAGAAGAGCAACATGCGCGCCTCTGCCACGTCCTGCTCCCGACCCATCACCCACAAGACCCTGTGCGCCGCCGAGATGGAGTGGCACAGATCCTGTGTCGTGAAAATGAATCACGGCACACGCACGCAACCAGGGAAAGCAAAGCTTAGCTTGCACCAAGAGAGCAAGGGTCGGCTGATGAAGGAGGAGGTACCATGAGGTAAGTGACGAGGGTGCAGGGCTCGTTCTCCTCGGAGGTGCGCCTGACAACCTCGGGCAGACGAGCAAGCTTCATCATGAGGTCGAGGGCCTCCTTGTCGTTCAGGAGCTGGAAGTTGATGGCGTCGGAGATCTTGACGTCGTTCTTACGCTCCATCGAGGAGAGACGAGCATGAGCGTACTGGAGATAGGGGCCAGTGTCGCCTTCGGCGGCGGTTGCCCGCTCCAGGTTGAACCCGTAGTCCTTGACACGCTTCGCGCTGAAGTCCTGGACGACGACAGCAGAGACGCCGACGACATCAGCGGTCTTCTCGGGATCGGTGATCTCGCTCATCTTCGCCTCGTTGGCCTTCATCCTGTCGAGCATCTGCTCCTGAGCAGCCTCGAGGATGTCGGAAAGGAACTTGGCCGTTCCTGCGATTTTATATAAAAAGGCACGTAAGTCGCGGTGCTTCAGTGTTCGGTTGGAGGAGGTGACCACGTACCCTTACGGGTGGACATGCCGGTGATCATGCCAAAGTTGATGTGGTTGCACTTCTTGGCCCAATCGAAGCCCATGAGGTCGAGGATCTTGAAGAGCTGCTGGAAGTGGAGGTTCTGCTGCGAGCCGACGACGTAGAACATCTTCTCGAAGCCATACGTCCTATGACGCCAGATGGCCGCCGCAATATCACGAGTGATGTAGAGGGTGGTGCCATCGGACTTCTTGATGACGATCTTGCCGAGCTTGTATTTCTGTGGAAAATACAAGCTGGTCAGCTGAGAGCAATGTTCGCTGTGTCGTGGCACGGCGGTAGGGGACGAACCGTCAGATCGCAGACCAGGGCGCCGTTGTCCTCCTGAAGGAGACCCTTCTCCTGCATGAGGTTCACGGCCTCCACCATTCCCTCGCTGCGCGTTCGTAGTAAGAGAGACCACGCGTGGTCAGCGAAAGTAGTGAAGGACTTAAATGAAAAGGTGGCACAGCGAACCTGAACATGGACTCGCCAGAATAAACGTCGAACTCCACATTGAGACGCTTGTAGAGCAGCTTGTACTCGTCGATAGACAGATCGCGGAACCTCTTCCACAGAGCGAGGGCGTCAGGGTCGCCTAGTCATGGTCAAAGTAGAAAGAGAAACATTACAAGAATTAATTTGCATTCTTCCGACCCATGTGATGATAATGACACGCACAACATACCATCCTCCATCTTCCTGAAGTAGGAACGGGCCTGGTCGTGAATGACCTTGCCGACTTCCTCGTTGTCATCGGCTTCCTATACGGGAGCAAACCGAGAGCTTAGCGTTTCACATACTTTGCCGAAGCTACACCAATGCTTGTTGGTCAGGCCATTGGCAAAGGAAGGAGATGGGCACCTTGTTGATCTGCACATACACGTCGTACAGGTGACGAATAGGGTTCTTCACCAGTTCCTCCTCGGAACCGTACTTGCTGAAGCCGACAGCCAGCAGACCTAGTGCAAAGAAAGTTAAGGATGGTCTCAATGTAATTACGCAGACCAGTGCAGAGATCGTACCATACTGCTTTCCCCAATCGCCCAGGTAGTTGATTCCCACGACGTTGTAGCCCAGGGCTTTGTAGAGATTACGCAAGAAATTACCGATCATGGTCGACCTCAAGTGACCGAAGTGGAACGGCTTGGCGATGTTGGGCGAGCTAAACGCGGGGGAAGGGCGTGAGGTCCGCATCACTGCACAAGACATAACGTTTGCCCTTACCTGTACTCAACAACAATCGTCCTGCCGTTGCCATCTGCCGAATTGCCCCATTGGTCATTCGATCCGTACACGATCTTCAAAACTTCCTCGGCAAGCGGAATCTTATCCACAACGTAGTTGATGTAGGGACCGTCGGCCTTGGCGCTAGTCAGCAGGGGTGTGGCAGTGAACTGTGAGGAGAAAAATTGAATAGATGTTAAAATGAGAATAGATAGATGCAAAATCAAAATGCCAGTACCTTGCCCGCCCACTCCACGGCCACATCCTGCGGCTTGCCCTTGAGCTTGGTATACCGGTTGAGCTTGGCCACGCACAGGGCGAAATCAGCCACTCCCTCCTTCTTGGGAATCTCAACGGCCGAGAGCGCCTGCTCGGGCTTCATGTCCGTAAGGCTCGCCACTTGCTCAGCGATGGCCCACTTGAACTGTGGCACAAAATCGTGAGCAATTCTTTCCGATTTTATGATTGTAAAAAGCCGTAATGTGGACCTGTACGAACCTTGTAGAAAGGATCTGCGGTGTGTTGAGAAGCTTCCATTATGTGTTGCAGCGACTGCGTAGTTCGGAATGAAGATGAATGAGATTGCCGCCAAAGACACAAAAATAAAACAATGACGTGCCGAGAAAAAGTCCGGAACACAAAACATGAAGGCGTAATAAAATAAAATAAAAATGAATAAAAGTACAAATAAAATAAGAAAATATAAATAAAAACAGACGAAAGTGGCACCCGTGTGGATCCATCGGAGGTGGTGTGGAAGGTGCAGCGCATATGTGCCAAGCGCTGTGGCGTTCGTTGGCGCGTAATCGTTGTGCTTGCGATGAAGAAGATGCTCTGTCTGCCTGCGGCCACCGGCAGCGCACTGAGAGGTTTTGCCGCCGGCAGTGGCAGCGTGATAAGGGCACTGTGCCCACGAGCTGGTGAGGTCAGGGCGCCAGGCCACCGGGAGCCTGTCACTACACCGCGCCACCTCCGCATCTTTGCCTTTCTTTTCTTTTGATCAAAATTAAACCCAAAAGTCGTCAAAAAGGGAGCCTGACAAGTGGCGAACAGGAAGAAGGTAGTGCAGCAAACAGCCAATCTATTTGTCACCATCGTGTTGAGTGCGTACAAGAATAGCAGACAACGACTCTTTGTGAAGAGGCAGATTGTTGAGGCGACACATCTGCTCCACAAACTCGAGAACCGCATCGACCTCCATACCGGCGTTCAACATCGCATGCACTAGATCAACATCATTCACTCATGAGTCAGCCACCCACCCGATACACGTCCGCTTTCTGTGAGTACATACCGAAACTGGCCAGCAGACCGATCACTTCCCGTGAGTCGTCAAGCAAGGCTGGTTGGGCGGCGGGCGTGGTCTTGCCCAAGAGTCTTCGCGGAGACATGAGCGATGGGCTGCGACGAGAAAAAAGAGAGATGAGAATTAGGGCTTGTGTTGCTGTGGGCGGCTGCGGCCAGCATACCTGGGCTCAACAGGCGCCAAGACCTTCTGCACCTTCGCTCTTTCCTTGCACACCAGCTCTGAGAGACCGAGCGGGCGGATTGGGTGAGTCTGCCGATCCTCAGAGACAAAATGGTGGCGAACAACCAGGAAGAGTATGTACCAGTGAACATGTACTTCCAAAAGCTGTTGTTCTTCCAGATGGGCGCGTCCTCCACTCGCTGTCGCAGATAAAGTACGTCCTTCTTGGATCCACTCCAGCTGCAGTTGGGAGGTTAGCGGGGCGGGCCGCCGGTGGGGAGTAAAGACAGACGGACGGACCTTTGCGAGGAGGCGAGCGGCGATGCCGAGTGACTTCCTGGTGCGGGGGCGAAGTAGAAGGTGGAGGCCATGTGCATGAGGGCCCTGGCTGAACTAAAGTCTCTGGCGGCGTTGCATTCCTCCAAGCCCACTCTCACCAGCTTGCACAGCGTGCCGAACGTAACTTCGCCCAAGCGCATTCTCTTTAAGGTGCATTCGCGCGTGTGCGTCGCGGCGGTAAGACAAATCATGCAGCACAAGAGGAAGTCGAGCGGCAGCATGTGCTTACCTTGGCCCGCTGCTGGTTGAGCACGCGACAAAATACCGAGCGTCCCATGTCCCGCCGCAGCAACGACGCCGTGAGTTCCACTCCCGCCTACATGCAGCCGTCAGTCAATCACTCCATCTGGTCTAAACAAAGAAAAGAGACAGACTCACCTTGTCCTCTCGGATGACGGGCTTGCCCTCGAGTCGTGCGCGCTCCGCGCGCTCGTCTTGAGCAAAGAGCTCGGCCAGGAACTGCTCCATGGCTGTCTTGTCCTGGAGCGAGATAAGCTGTTCCTTCTCGCTGGCTGCAGCGCTCCCAGTTGAGCGGTCCGACTGGCTGCGGCCACGCCGACCTGCTGATCCACCGCTGTGGCTCTGCTGTTCATCTTCACACGAGCTACCCTCACTCCCGCTCGTGAGCTCGCCCGTCGAGCCGGGGCGCTTTTGCCACGAGAGGGAGCGACTTCGCGGTGGGAACTCTCGGTCTCGGGCCTCCTTCATCTCCACCCGGAGCTCCTTCAGCCTGGCCTTCCAGAAGCCGTGCAAGTTCTTCCGCCCTCGCGCAAGGTCCAACGCCTTGCGATAATAGAGCTCGCTGTGCGGGCGAGTGGCAGAACCGAATGTGTGAGATATGTACACTAGCATTGAATCGGTCTGCGGGCTTAAGAGTGAGATGTAGATGGCCGCACCTTCCGCTTAGATCCTTCTTCGCCTTCTGCAGGAACATGGCGTAGTAGCCCACCAGATTGACGTTCTCCTTATCAAGCTCCAACGCCTGCCACCGAGCTCGGTGTCACTATCCAGGTGCTGCGTTGCGCGGTGCGCGCGAGGAGAGGTACCTGCTTGAAGAGCCTCTCGGCCTCCTTATAGTTGCGCAACATGCGATGTTGGAATATGGCATAGGCACCCACGACGTCAGCGTTGCGTCGGTCGACGAAGTAGGCGCGCTTGTAGAACCGATGCGCCTTGTCTAAGTCGCGCTGGCGCCGTTCGAGAAAGTGGGCGTAGGTGGCCAACACCTCGGGGTTGAACGGGCTGGCCTTCAGGGCCAGCTGGAAGTACTGGTCGGCCTGTCGGTCGTCCTTTCGCACGTTCGACAGGAAGCGTGCGTAGCCATACAGCGCGAAGGGATGGCGCGGGTGTGCCTTGATGATGCGGCGATAGGTCTCCTCCTGCCTCTCCACCGCCGCACGGCCCGCGGCACTGTCGCGGGGCGGCTTCATCTGCTTGCTACTCTCCTTGGACAGTCGCAAGAGCGCAGCGCTCGCTTCCGAGATCACTGTAACGAAAGAGGCGGGCGCATGTTAGAATAGCGTGTACGGAGTGTTGGGGAACGGGAACTGGCGTACGCCAATAAATATCTGTTTGTGGTTTCGATCCGTCGATCTGGCTCTTTCGCAACTCATATACAGAAGCCTGGACACACGCCATTCGCGCGCGGAAGCAGTGCATGTGAATATCACGGCGGCCGTAAGGAAGAGGAAACGTTAGGTGGGGGGCCTAATTACCAGCTTGACGGGAAATCGGGCTTCCTCTAGCCTTTCCAGGCGCAGCTGGCTCCAGAATGTGGGCGGTAGGCCATGCGTGGGCTTGGCGTTCTCCTCTTCCATGTCGTCCTCGTCGTCATCGTCGCCTGGACCGTGCGTCATCCAGAAGGAAAGCGGTAAGCGCTCCACACATATGTTTGAGTAGTGCATGCGAGGCGCGGGGGGGGGTACTATGTTGAAGAGGGACTAAGAGCGGCGACGAGAGCGTTGAGGCCGGCAGGGGTCCGGGAGCAGCTAGCCGCGTGGAGCTGAACGAGCCGGCGATCAACGAGCGTCGTAGCTCGTACTCCTGTTTCGATATCACCTCTAAAAAACAACAACAGAAAAGGGCGTTAGCAGATCACGCATGCGACGAGCAAGTATCGATGGGGGGAGGGGTTACTTCGTTCGTAGAGGACGAGCAAGTTGGCCAGGTGGTGCCAGGCCAACTCTTCCGTTTCCGTCAAGTTTCGGTTTTTCTGCGGGCCGAGAGATGAGCAAACGAACACTCAAGTGGGAAATGGAAAGGCTTAGTCATCGGTCACGAGTCAGGTGTGTACCTCGTGTACGGCCTCCTCGGCCTTCTTTCGGCCTTTTCGCATGCGGGAATAGTAGGATGCGTAGACCTCGTCAAGGGAGGCGCCGGCTGCCTCCTCCGTATTTACAGAATAGATCGTTGTCGTCCGCTTCGAAGCAGCGCTTCGCCTCTCCCCGCTCTCCATTGTCCCCTCGAGGCTTCCCACTTCGCTCCCGTTTCGCTCCCCGCGGCTGTTTGTTGACCTGAATGGTGCCGTCATCACATTCTCGCCGCCACCGGTCGGAGGATCGAGACGCGAGAGCGGGATGAAGAGTCGGCCGTCGCGTGTTGTTGGATGCTTGAAGGCGAGGAGGACCACCACCTTGTTGCCGCCACTGCCGTTGTAATCGACTAACACTTCCTCCTTGGAGTGAACCGAGTGGCCCTTCCTCTTCCGCAGCTTGCTCTTGCGTCGCTTTTTCCGCTCCGACTTTCTCTTGTCGATCAGCTCTCGCGCCTTCTGCTGGTCGTCTGCTATGTCCTCGAACCACAGCCGCCTGCTCTTCTCTTCCTCCTCTTGGCCGCCCACTTCCTTTCCATCAGTCTTTGCTCCAACTTCTCCCTGTGTTCCACCAACCGCTTCCACCTCTTCCTCTTGGCTGAGCGGATGCACGTCACCTTTGTCGAGCACTTCTTCATCCTCGTTATCAGCGTCTGGGGGCTTCTCTTCGCTTTTGATGGCGTCGTCCGGATGGTCTTCCGCCTGCTTCTCTTCCTCCACAGCCGGTTCCTCCATGCCGAGAACCCGCTTGTACCCGGCCATGATCGAGTTCAGTCGTTCCTCCCGCTCCTTGGCTCGTCGCTCCACGCCTTGCTTGATCCGGTTCTCGTAATCACTGGCATCAGTGGTTAGTCACCGTTGTCTTCACCCAGCGCTCCATATGGAATGCACGTACATCATAGCGAGTCGCTGCTGTTCGGGGAACAGTACCTCAGCGTCCACCTGCATTTCCGTGCTATGTTAGATGTCATGCTGTAAGCTGGAGGACAGCTGTCGCACCTGTTCAAGCGAGCTATAGATCTTCTCCAGGTTCTGGGCAAACGCTTTGGGCTGCGGCGAAGTGAGCGAGAATCCATGATCGTCCTCGCCATCTGATGTTTTTGTGCAAAGTCATCATCTACGTGATTTCTGTTGCACCGTGGGTGTACAGAGGCGTTACCGTTGCTGTGGGCACGCCGCATATCAAGGAGCCGCAGTTCGTCTTCATCCAGCTCGTCATCCTTCGATGTCAAGGCCTGCCAAAGAAACGCATGAAAATGGTGAGCGAGTGATTCCGTCCCACCCCCAGCGGTTGGGCAGCGAGAGAGGGTACCGCGAGGATTTGTTGGTTGAGCTGATCCCGTTCGGGGTCGGGCGAGGGCGAGAGACTGAGACCGGGCGTGGGCGACAGCAGCGGCGAGACGAAGGCCGATCCGGCGACCTCACTGTCCTCGGCGTCGTCGCCGTCCAGCGTGAGGGCCACAGACGAGTGCGATGCGTTGAGCGAAGATGACGAATGCGTGAGCGAGTACGGGGACGAGGGCGTCGAGTGGGTGTCGCTGCGTCGCAGCCTCTCGCACTCTATTCGTTCGCGTATCTTCTGCTCGATCTGACCCTCCAAGTCGATTTCCTTCGTCGTCGTCGTCGAGTCGCCGACAAACAGCCTTCGTCGCAGTTCGAGTGATTCCTCCTCCTTCTGGACACTGACACCCTTCTCCTCCTCCAGCTCTTCGTCGTTTTCGTTGTCGTTGCCTTCCACTTGCTGGTACGACATCTCCTTCTCCGCGTCATTCTCCACCGCCTCGGGCATACTGTGCTCCTTCGACTCGATGGCACTCGTCGACTCAGCCATTGCCCGCGAGGGGTCCATCAGATGCGCTTTGTCTGCAATTCGCTTCTGGCGTTCTCTCGCCTCGTCTTCGCCTTCCGAGCTGACGTCGCTTTCGCTTTCGCTCTCCTCGTCCTGCCTGCCACTGCGCGTGCGGGTCAGCACGCACACCACGAACGCGTGGCCCTTCTCGTATCCGGCCCTGAGCTCCGCCATCTCCGCCGCCGTGACCTCGACGTGCCGCCGCGGGAAGGGTCCATCCTCGGCGGTCATCTCGCCCTCGGTGCTGCGCCGCTCACTCTCGCTGCTGCCCTGCTCGTCGGCCGAGTCGACGTCGGTGCCGTGTGTGGTGAGGTCGTCCTCTACGCTCGTGTGCTCGGCGCGTGCCTGGGCCGACGATGACCCGGCTGGTGATGTCTTGGTCGTGTGTGCGCCGACGACCTCCACCAGGTCCTCGAGCTCTCGGAAGCTGTTGGCGACGAGGACACTGCCACCGGCGAGCTGGCTCCGCTGACGCCATACTCGTCGCCGTTGCGACCCGGTGCTGTTCGAGTGTGTCAATCCGTTGCTGCTTGCCTTGCCCGGGAGGATGTTGTTGGCACGATGCGTCACCAGAATGACCGGCCCACCCTCGCCGCCGCTCCGGACGTGCACCTCTTCGGCGCCCCTTTCATCTTCTTCGTTCTCCCCACTCTGCGCCGTGGTCTGCCTCGCTTCCACACTCTTTGGTTCGCCTGTTCATAACATCAATAAGATTCTTCGATGAAGAAAGAGAGTAGTGCGGAGGTGGGTACCGCTGGGTGGCGCAGCAGTGTTGTCAAGGATTGACGCCTCCCCCATGCGAAACATTTGCTTGCAAACGGCGAAGAGATTGGGGTAGGTCGCGTGGAGATCGAGCAGCTGCACTCCCGCACCGCCACGCGACGTAGCGGAGGATGGGGCACCGGGAGAGCCGAGCGCGGAGGGAGATGCTGGCTCTGGAGAATGAGAGCGAGGCGAAGAGGCTGCTAATGCCTCCTTCTGGCAGCAAGGCGGCAGAGGCAGTTCGTTCGGGACTGGAAGAATCAGGATCGATCGACCTCTGCAGCTCAGCGCTGTATTGCGTGCAGGCCTGACATCTTCGGCGTCGGCAGAGGGAGAGGAGGTGTGTAGAAGGAATGAGGCCTTTATCGCTGTAAATTGGTATCTGGGGTCCTCTGTTCGGGCGATAAAGAAGGAGGCATTGCCTCGATCGAGATGGAGCAGCTGGGGATCGAGGAATACGCTCATGTGCGAACCGAAGTCCACAATGAAAAGAAATTAAAGTAAGGAGATGATAAAGTCAAGCAGACCGCGTTGCCCTCATGCGCCACCGTCTCCTTGCGCAGCCTTTCTCTCGCCCTTGAGGTGTATGAGATGTTGGTTGATGTCCACTTTTAAATAAATAATCCAATAAATAAAGTGCGTAAACCATTTTACGTGGTAAATAAATAAGGATCAGGATACAGTAGAGACAGGGCTGGGCGATGGGCTGCGTCAAGCAAGCCACGTGAGGAAGAGATCGGATATCTTCTTCTCCAAGCACTGGTCGAGTTCGCGCTGGTCGTTGAGGGGACACATCTCCCACGAGCCGTCGTTGTTAGGGTAGACGATCCTGAAGCCGACGGCAGGGCCGATGTCGAACTTCTTGCGGATCTGGTCCTGGAGGGCAGGCAAGGTGACGTTGTCGCTCGTCAACTTGATCACCCTCTTCTCGCTCTCCGGCGCAGGACTGTTGCACACAAATCGGACCTGGAGAGAGCACATCCCAAAGACTCCATCAGTCCGGGCAGCAACATCAGCGTTGTGGCGGTGTGTCGCGTGGAGCGTACGCTATCATCTTGAGGCGGAGGCGTGGGCAAAGGTTTGGCTTCGAGCTTGTGCTTCCAGTCGTCGAAGGACAGCACCTGTGTGGGTTGTACGGAGCATAGTCTCAGTTGATGGCTTGGCCTAGCCTTATTGACCAGAGGGAAGGGGAAATACCGAGAAGTCTTCCGGCAGCGTGGGCTCAGCGGGCATCGGCACGTCGGGGTTAACTGGTTTGACCTGCATGGCCAGCGTTTTGGCTGCATAGGCGTTGGCGTTGGCACGCGGTTAGCAGATGGGCGGTGAAAGTACTTGCATTAGAGAGGGAGACGTACCAATTTCCTTCTGCACGAACTTCTTGTACCGCACGTCAAGGAAGGAAGCAATGACCTCCTCGAGCTCCTTCTTCATTTCCGCCTTCTTCGCCGCCGACGGCGCAGCGAAGAATACTCGCTTCTGTCCGATCTGTGTGAGCTCGAACGAGTCCTCCGCAATGTCCGAATCTGTACGCCCCATGTTAATAACAAACTTTAAATGGTCTTAAAGAACAGGGGAGCACCTTTGTAAAGGGCCTGGGTGAGGGGCACTTGAGCCCTGAGGTCGTACGACGAAGACGTGGGCTTGGTGAAGAGGAAAAGGTCGGAGAAGAGGAAGTAGTGGCCCTGGGTCTTCAGCAGCAGCTTCTTGCCCAGGACTTCCTTGGGTGCCACCCGGGTGAGCTCGCCCTCGCTGATCAGCCTCCGATTGGGCGAATTCAGCAGATGCATGTCCTGCGTATGTGCGTGTGTTAGGCTGGCGTGGCAGTTTGCCGTTTATGTGAGTGACTCACCCCTTTGAGGTTGATCTTGTGTGAAAGTTCGTAGAGGCGCATCTTCTTGTCCAGATCACTCTTCTTCTCGTTGATCGTGCCCACTGTTGTTAGATACACAAACGATGTCAGCGCTGGACTCAGTAGAAAGGTCCGAACAACCGGGAGGTGATACCAGTGGTCGTCATTCGCTGAAGGGCGGTCGTGAGGTTCGTGTAGTCGGGCTGATCTTCCGGCGTTTGTTTCAACAATTCCTTCACACGCGGCGTGGACACAGCCGAATACGTCAGGTGAAGCAGATAACGCCTAAATGGCCCAGGGACGAAGGATGATAAGTACCCGTAGCAGGAGCGGGTATTTGCAGATGCGTTGTATGGGCTTGATCAAGAAGCTCGCAAGGTCTAGACTGCGACATTCAGGCTTACGGCTGCATTGCTGTTTTGCCCCGAGGGCGAGTCAGCACTGTGCCGAGTCAAAAAAAGCGAGGCGCACGTACGTAGAGGAATTGTTCGATCTTGGGGTTGGCTTTGAGTGCGGCCAGGGTCTGCATGGAAAGATCCTGATTGCCGCAGTAGACCATGTACAACTTCAAGTAGTCCACCTAGCGTCCAAGAGGCAACAGATTAGCGACTCGATGCGTGGTGTGGGGGCGTCTGCGAGCAAGGACGTACCACAGTCAAGAAGGCTTTGCCGACTGAAGCTGTTTTCAAGACTGGCAGAAAGATGCCCTTGTTGATCTGTAGGCAGCAAGAGCGATTTAGATGGGCGAGTCAAGCGGTTGGGAGCTCGGAAAGAGGCACCTTATAAATCATCTCCACGTTGGAGAAGACGTTGTTGATTTGATCCTTGGTTCCGATGCTTTGATCTCTCATTGCCACCAAGTACACCTGAAGCATCATCGGGAACCAAAGAAATGATAGAAATGGCGTTAGAGCGGAGTTAGACACATTGTAGACATGTTGAGCCGTACGTTGATGATGACTTCGAGATCGCGGATGTAGTCCTCCTCGGTATCGATGATTTCCTTGATCACACGGTCACGAATGGCCGGATCGCACGTGGTTTCGCCTGCATACACAAGGAAGTGAACCAGAGGTGAGATGAGATAACACGCGTCTGATCAAACATAATACGAGAGTCTCGTACCCGATGGCGGTCGAAGCGGTGACCCGCCCGAGAGCTCTGGCCGGTTGGTCGACGTCGGAACTGGTGGGCCTGATGGGAATTAGACTGGGCCATGGCAAGCACAACGAAGAGTCAGCGCTGTACCGGGATTAAAACCACCGCCTGAGGGAGGCGCGGGGGTTCCCATAGGTGGAATCGCAGTTAACTGCGTCTTGGCCGAAGCGGCGGGCGGTGGCGGTGGGAGCTTCTTCAGCCCTCCCGTCCTGGGCGTCACTGGCGGCTGACCACCGGGGCTAGCCGCCGCCGGCGCTGGCACCGGAGTGGTCGTGGAATGCGAGGAATTGTGAGGAGACAGGGGAGCGACGGATGAGGTGGACGCGGAAGCGGGCGTTCCGGGCAAGACAGGGACGGGATAGGAGGGAGCTGAGGGCGAGCGGGTAATGGGCGCGGGGGAAGTGGACGGGAGCGTGGGGAGGGAACTGCTGGACGGGGCGGCGCCTGCCCGCGGCGGTGGGAGAGAAGGTGAAGATAGGGAGGATGTCATCGGCGGTGGTGGCGTCGGTCGCGCCGGCGCTGCGCGGGTTGATCCCCAGGGTTGCCTGCATCATCATGACGGTGAGTGACTACCTGTGTGTGTCGTGTGTCGTGTGTGCGACCTTGGGGAAGTCTCGGCTGGCTGGCTGGCGGCCGTGCTATGGGTTCGCACAGGTAGCGGTGGAGCATCAGATGGCGATGGCAACCCTGCAGAGCCGCTGTTGTGTGTCGGGGCCGAGGAGGCCAGAGCATGGGTGCGCTGGGGCAGCGCCGGGGCACGATCGGCGGTGATGGTGTTCCGTCGTCGCATGTCCTCGCGTTCCTCCTGTTCCGCCTGAAGGCGGGCCTTCTCATGGGCGTCGGCCTTGGCCTTGGCCAGCGCCAGAAACTCGAGTCCGCCATCGCTCGATTGTTTGGGCTGGTGCCCGGCGCTTGTGGAATTGGTCCGATAAGAGGCCACGCCCGAACCCGGCACTATCGTGGCTCGCCTGCAAGCACCCAACCACCACGTCAGTAAACTCTACACCGCACACGACACAGCACCGGCACGACGCGCATACGCACCGTTGCGAGAAGGAACCCGAGGGGGAAGAATTTGAGTCGGGTCGGATGAAGCTCGGACTCCCCGATGACGTCTGCGGTGGAGCCTTTCTCAGAGTCGATGTATAAGCCGGTGAGCCCGAGGGAGACCCGGAATCGCTGGAGGAGCGGAGCAGTCCTGTAGGATTGAACTTGGGGGTATCGTGGGGGGTGAAGGGCGATGAACCGCCGCCTGTGCGCTTCGACAGTGTCAGGCCGGTGGGCGATGAGGTGGCCGAAGGTGGCTTGGCGGGTCCAGTGCCTGCGCTGACCGTCGCCGACGGCGCCTTCCTCAGACCGTTAGCAGGACCTGCCGGTCGTACAGAGGGTTATGAGAGACGAAACGGAGTGCCACGCATGTGCGCGTGTGTGGGGGAGTGTACTGATAACGGGCGAAGAGGGCGCAGAGGAGGCGGGCGACGCTGGCAAAGTCTTACCGCAGCTGACGCAGAACTTGGCAGGCCGGTCTGTAGGCACCGGTTTGCCACAAAACGCACAGAACTTGGGCATCCCTGCACAGGCGAGAGAGAATTGGATTCCATCTCCGACCAGACCGCAAATTCGCTTCGAACAAAAAATGCCATTGAATTCGATTTTAAAAACAGAGCGAGCAGGCAAGCGTGGAAGAGGGCGAACCAACGGGGGCCGACATCACTCTTTACAGCAAGGTCCTGGCTTCGTTTTCGTTCTTCTCACAAAAATGAAGAGCACGTCGCGGTGGTTGTCTTTGTACGAAACGCAATTTTCGTAAACAATTTATTGTGGCTGGTATGCGACTAATTTTAAAAGAAGCACGAATTTGGCGGGAAGGGCTTGGCGCCAAAACTCTCGTCCAGCAATCAGGTTCTTCGCCTGCCGATCAACCTAATTGTACGTAAGATGGAGAGCAACAGAACGAGGCGTGAACGCAAGAATCCGAGACAGGATGTCCTGCAGAATCTCAAAAAATGCAGAGAGGATGGTGGAAGAAGCAAGACATTCGAGGTAATCGGCATCAACATTGTTCAATTGTTTCTGGCATCCACTGATCTGACTTCCAATCCGACAGATGAAGGACAACGATATATACAAAGAAGTTGATGAAGACGAGCACGAGAAGTTGAAGAAAGAGGAACAGGACTGGCTTGAAGATGACGGTACGGGCGGGTATGCCGACGAAGACGACGAAGAAGAGGAAGAGGAGGAGAGCAACAAGAAAGCGAGAGGAAAGCAGCCGAGTACGTACTGCCAGCTTTGACCTCAAATTGCGATGTTTTGTTGATCGATTCACTTTCCATTTGGTAGAGAAGAGAGGCGCCCTGTCGCGGGCGCCTGTGAAGAAGCCGGCGCCGGCGCCTCCCTCCTCGGGTAATATCGCACAGATGCTGCGAATGGGTCCGTCCACGACAAACGCGGCCAAGGGCGCCACCCTCAAGAAGCAGCTGGCCTCCTCAACGGCTGCGTCCGACGACTTTCTGCTCAATCAGCTGCAAGATTTGGCGTCGGATCCGTTTGCGGTATCGTTAGATGACGCTCCGTCATCGGCACTGCTCCGTAAGAGGAAGAGAGACCGAGAGGAGAGTGCCAGTACCGAGCAGAACGAAGACAAGGGACAGGAGCCCACGCCCGCGTTGAACGCTAAGGACATGCCTAAGCCCTCCAATGCCACGGTACCAACGCCTGCCACCTTCGTGTTGGGCTCGCGCTTGCGGTGTTCCTTAGCTTGTGGTCCACATGTGCATATCGCAGTCTGTGAGTGGCGATAGCGTCAAGGGCACGTCGGTCGAGGAAGCGCAGACAGTGCCACCCTCCGAGGACGACGAGTTCTGGTTTGCTGTGGCCGAGCAACAGGAAAAGAATCAGCCTACCGGCGATCACATGGACACTGACACCTCGCGGCCCAACTTCACCGTCGAGTCGAAGAAGAAGTTTGATAAGGCCGCAGTACGAGAGGCCGACACCATGATGTGGTTTGGTGGCGACCGCGAGGAGGAGCAGCCTGACACGGTACTTACCACCCTGTTCTACGACACATTGCATGTGCTAAGCTCAGCCGTTCTTCTGTACATGCAGCAACAAGCAAGCGTGACTGTGGCGATGGACACCGACCTTCCGCTCGAGAAGGACGGAAGCCTTTTGTTCTACTGGCTCGATGCCGCCGAAGAGAAGCAGGTCAATCCGGGCGTGGTGTTCATGTTCGGCAAGGTACGTTTGAAGCAGCATGTTTGAGTCTCCGTCTGTGACACAAAGTAGTTCGTTTTGTAACAGCAACCTCACTGTCCCCTTTCTTATCTTTAGGTCTGCGTGAACAAGACGACCAACCAATTTGCCAGCTGCTGCATCACTGCACGCAACGTACCTCGCTCGCTCTTTGTCGTTCCCAGGCAGAAGATGCTCGACGGTACGCGCCGTTCGCCTCCACTTTCCAAATGGCTCCAAACGCTCACTTTCGGCCCCGTGTGGTTGTTGCTGCCTACTCCAGATCAAAGACAGGAAACGGACACGCCAGTGACGATGCAGGACGTTAGAGCGGAGATTGGCTCGCTCAGGAAGGAGTACAACATGGGACAACTCCGCATGAAGTCCGTGCGGAGGAAGTACCCCTTCGACAAGGAGGGCGTGCCGAGGGGCGAGTCCGACTTTCTCAAGGTCATCTGTTCTTCGTCGGTTCACCTGCCCGCTAACTTGTCTGGTATGGTTGCTCCCTTCACGCTGGCTTTGGCGGAGGAATGAGCAATCTCAACGGTTGTGATGGATCGGTTCGTACAACAGGCCAAAGCTTCAGTCACATCTTTGGCGCCACCACCTCGGCCACGGAGAGCCTTCTCATCAAGCGTCATCTCATGGGTCCCGGATGGCTCAAGATCACCAACGTCGCGGAGGACAACGCCAAGGTGCGTCTTGCGGCCACTAATGTTGGAGTTATTGAAGTCCACCTGCAGCTAAGACGTGGCGTTCAACAGATCACGTGGTGCAAGTTCGAGGGACATGTCGATAACATCACCGATATCAATGTCCTCACGCCCGACCAGTGCCCTGGTGGGCGCCTGCCGCGTGAACCCGCGCTTGTGGTGATGGCCCTCCACATCAAGTCTCATCTCAATACCAACGCCGGCAAGAACGAAATCGTGATCGCCAGCGGCATCGTGCACACCCAAGGTAGAGAGTGCCCTTTCCTCCGGTCCGGCACTTACTCACAACAAAACTTTTCGTTCCCAGTGTCTTCGGAAGGAAGCACGCCCAACCCAGAATCTCAGTACCAGTGCTTTGCCATGATCCGTTCGCTCACGGGCCACAACTTCCCCGACAACTTCCGCAACGCGATCCAAGCCAAGCAGCGCGGCAAGAAGCAACAGTACATCATCGCCCCTTCGGAGCGCAACCTGCTGGGCGGATTGATGGGTACCTAATACGTGCGTGCGCCCCAGCACCGCGTCCACAACTCTCACTGTCGCCCCCCCCCCTCTCTTTCCCACTCACAGGCAAGATTGCCGAGTACGACCCGGATGTGATCGTCGGTCACAACTTCCTGGGGTGGGACCTCGATATTCTGCTGCATCGCATGCAGGCCTGCAACGTCCCCTGTGCGGAATGGTCCAAGCTCGGTCGCCTGCGGCGATCACGGTGCGCTTTCCCATTTCCCGCTCGCACGCGCATCTTGCGCTTGTTGGCCGAGACTATATTCTCAATGGCGTGGTGGGTGCGATCGAGTGCAGGTTCCCCAAGATGAACCAGGGCGTGGGCGGGACTGGAGACACCACCTGGCAAGAGAAGGCCGTGATGGCGGGTCGTCTGGTGTGCGACACCTATCACTCGGCCAAGGAGTTTGTCCGCCACAAGAACTACAGGCTGGGCGAGCTGGCCAAGGTCCAGCTGGGCAAGGACAGGCCCGATCTGCCCATGGACGAGGAGAACAACGTCGCGCCCTACTTCAGCAAGACTGGTATCTCCCAGCACCTTACTCTCTCTTTGTGCTCGCTGTTGCACTTGTCTCACTCAAGTACGTGACAGACATGTTGCTCACGCTGATCAACCACTGCGGCAACGACGCCTATCTGGCCATCAGCCTGATGTTCAAGATTGAGGTGTTGCCTCTCACCAAGCACCTCACGAACGTTTGCGGCAACCTCTGGTACTGCTATCCCGCTCGCCTCTCTTCCTGTTGGTTTGGTGAGCTGGGCCTCATATATTCCCTTCTCTCTGCCCAGGTCGCGCTCTCTGATGGGCGCCCGTGCCGAGCGAATCGAGTACCTGCTGCTCCACCGCTTCCACGACCAGCCCAAGCCCCACTTCATTTGTCCCGACAGGGCGTCTCAAGAAGACGGTAAGCGTTGGCGAGTCCCGTGTGGTCAAGTCGCAATTCACTTCCCCGCCACGTAGCTTACTCGGCTCTCATTTGACAGGCAAGTTCAACAAGGGCAAGCGGAAGCCGGCATATGAGGGTGGTCTCGTGTTGGACCCCAAGAAGGGCTTCTACGATACCTACATCCTGCTACTCGATTTCAACAGTTTGTACCCGAGCATCATCCAGGAGTACAACATCTGCTTCACCACCATCGACAGAGAGGTACACCAAGCCTGTCCCGATTCCCCTGGCCCATTTCGAGCCCACTACTAAACGACGACGCGCGACACGAACACAGAGAGACCCCAACAAGGAGAAGACAGGCCGAGATTGGCTCCCGGCCAATCCCCCCGATGCGTCCCGCGCGCGAGGTCTTCTGCCGCAGGTTGTCTACGAGCTGGTGAACCGCCGCGGTGCGGTGAAGAAGCAGCTGAAGGCGGAGCGGGACGGCAGCGAGCGCTTCCAGCAGCTCAACGTCAAGCAGCTGGCCCTCAAGCTCGTCGCCAACTCCATGTACGGTTGTCTCGGTTTCTCTCACTCCCGATTCTTCGCCATGGCCCTGGCCGAGCTCATCACCCTCAAGGTTTGCTCCCCCCGCCCATTCGCCCACCCCCTTCCGTTTGCAGCTACGCGGTAGCGATGGTGACGGCGTTGTATTGCATTGCATTGCTTACTCGCAGTGCGTTGTGTTTGTGGGTGTGGCACACAGGGAAGAGAGGCGCTCAAGACCACCAAGGAGCAGGCCGAGGGCCAGTTGAACCTCGACGTCATCTACGGTGACACGGATTCGATCATGGTCAACACCCGCATACCGTCCGTGCCTGCACCCGATGCCGACCCAGCCCTGCGCGATTCGGCCAGCGGTACGCGCTCACCGTGTGCGTGTGTGCGCGTTTGCGTGTGCGTGTGTGTGCGTGTCGTCGGACTTGCACCGGTGGGTCCGTGCCTCACCGCTTTCCTTTGTGTGTGCTGCAGTGCTGAGCCAGGTGCGCAAGATGGGTAACGACCTGAAGAAGGTGATCAACCAGCGCTACTCGCATGTAGAGATCGATATCGACGGTATCTTCAAGATGATCCTCCTGCTGGCCAAGAAGAAGGTATGCATCAATGCAGCTTGAACGAGGTCGACAACGCTGTCTGTCCGTCGTCGATTTGCTAATCGTAGGGTGGGGGGGGGGATATGGTGGCGTAGTATGCGGCGTTGACCATCGGCAACGATATCAACGACGTCAAGAAGGAGATGAAGGGTCTCGATCTAGTGCGACGAGATTGGTGCGATCTGTCCAAGGAAATGGGCCAGCGCGTGCTCGACGAGATCATGTCCGGCAAGCCCCGCCAGGACGTCGTCTCCGGCATCCACAGCTACCTCACCCACATGGGCAGCCAGATCAAGTCCGGCCGGATCTCGCTGGAGAAGTTTGTGATCACCAAGTGCCTTTCGAAGGACCCCGACGCCTATCCCGACAAGAAGGGCCTGCCCCACGTGCAGGTGGCCCTCAAGCTTCGCCAGCAGAACCGCAAGGTGTCCGTGGGCGAGTACATCCGCTACGTCATCTGCAAGGTGCGCACTAAGGCCGGCCTCTCTCCCAACAGCTAAGCTGTTCGTTCATCTGCGCTGCGGTGTGTTCTTCGGGTGGTGCGCACGCTGACACGTGAACTGTGCGAATGCAACTCTCCCCGTAGGGTGACGCGGTGTCTGCGGCCGAGAGGGCCTTCTCACCCGACCAAGTGGAGAAGTCCGACGGCCTGCTCGAGATCGACATTGACTGGTACGTTACTGGGAGCGCCTCGTGCTCACACCGGCCGGCGCTGTAATCTTAGTGCTGATCGCCTCTTCTTTCTTGTTGCCCGCCCATGGCCGCAGGTATCTCACGCAACAGATCCACCCGCCCCTCTCACGTTTGTGCGGACCCATCGAAGGAACGGACCCTGCTCAAATCGCAGAGTGCCTCGGCCTCAACCCTGCCAAGTACGCCCCACTTTGCAGGCGCCCGCACACAAGTCACTTTTAGATCGCTGTGGCTTACGGTTTGAGTCCGTTCTTTACCTCTTTTAACCTGCAGGTTCCAGTCCCACGTAGCCACCGAAGGCGATGAGCAGTCGCTTGATTCATTCAGCTTTGTGGTTCGTCCGCGTGTTCCTCCTTCCTTCGCTGTGAAGCGAAGCAAAGCAAAACGGTGGCTCACGCGTGGTGTTCTTTTTTTCGCTTGCAGCCCAAGTCGCTGATGGACGACGATGAGAAGTTCAAGAACTGCGAGCCGCTTGTCGTGACCTGCCCGTGGTGCACCAAGGCGTTTGTCTTCCACGGTGCTGGCCTCAAGCTGCCCGGCAACCAGAAGGCCGACAAGGGCAAGGAGAAGGAAGACGAAGAGTCGCTCCTGCTTCCATCTGGCGCCGTGCGTCCCTCCGACTTCAAGGTACTGTGCCCGCCCAATCGCCTCGCCTCTGTCTCGTATGCGAGTCATCTAAACACGAACCTACGACACGATGCAGTGCGCCAAGTGTGGACATGTGCGCTTCGAAGCCGGAAAGATCTCCAACCTCGTGACGCTGCAGATCAGGTATTGCAGAAGCGAGCCGCTGGTGCACTGGCACGATGAGGACAGAGGCTGACGTCCGTTGCTCTCTCTCTCTCTCTCTTTGCGTTTGCGATGTTGTGGTGCGGCCGTCCATAGGAAGCACATCAAGAGGTACTACGAGCAGTGGCTGGTGTGCACGGATCCCACCTGCCGGCTGCGCACGAGGACGGACTACAAGCTCGGCTCCAAGGGCACCATCAAGTGCCGAGCCAAGAAGAACGGCGCCACCTGCAACAACGTCATGAACATCGAGGTACTGACGCCCTATCACCTCACCATGCGTGGAACGTGGGCTCTTCGAACTGTCGCGTCTTTGCTTGTTCTTGTGCAGTACTCGGAGAAGGACCTGCACAACCAGCTTCAGTACTACGCACGCCTGTTCGACCTGTCGAAGCTCACTGAGGGTATGCAGCCTCTCTCAGCTACGTCTACGTCTACGTGCATGTGTTGAGTTATGAGGGCGAGGTGCTCACGTCGTGATCCCGCGCGCAACCAACACAGAGCAAAAGCTGTCGTTCAATAGCAACCCTGACCCGGACCGACTCGCCAAGAGCTACGAAGTGGTGAAGAAGGGGGTCGAGACGTTCGTGAGCGCATCGGCCTACCGCTACGTCGACTTGGGCAGCTTCTTTGCTCTGACCTCGTCGTCTTCCGTGCGACACTAAGCAAACGGCTCCTTCGCGCGGGACGAAACTACAAGTATCACTCTTCTACATTCTGCCCTCCCGAACGCGCTCGACGAGCAAAGCTTGCATTGCCAGCAGATCATCGCGTTTGTACACTAAGCTGTTCATGCGCAACAACATCGCTTCCTCCTACTGTCTCGGTCGGTGAGCGCTGCTTGTCATCCTGCCTGAGACGCGTCGACGAAGGTAGTTGTGGTGCATCTCTCCTGGCCATGGCCGCTCCCGCCGCACCGAGTGCACACGCGCTTGCGGTAGAAGCATGTGCCCGTGGCGTGAACAGGACGTCGGCGGCACCTGGGCAGGACGCACCGAGTGGGGCATCTCCGATGCGAGTGTGCGTCGACACTGCAGAGGCGGCAATAGCGTGGCTGCGCCAACTGGGCCGCAGTCGCGTAGTCCTGTGAGTACGTGGACGACATGTTGAAAGGCTTGGGCTTGGCGCGGGGAGCGCCCAGCTTCTCGGTACGGCCCGACGGAGAGACGGGCGAGCACGGCTGGTCGGGGGACTGGGATTGAGGAGGAGTCGGCAGGGCATCGTCGAAGGAGTCGCTTGAGGAGCAGCGGCTGTCGAGGAAGAAGGCGTCTGCATCCTCTTCGCCGCTAATGGCAACCTCGACCGGCGGACCGAAGATGTAGAACCTCAGCACGCCCGGTCGCTCCTCGACGAGGCCCTCGCTAAAGTCCTCCGAGAACGGGAACGCAAGGCTGCCGAACGTGATCGTCTTGAACATGTCGCGCACGTTGTGTAGAATGATAGATTCGGAGAACGTCTGGCAGACTCGGCAGCACCTTCTTTGGCGTTCGAAGTAAAAGATGCTGATGAGCAAGGTGCAAGCGACAAACCCAAAAAGGAAAATGCGCAGGCAAAGCTTTGCCGCCAAGGGGGGGAAGCGAGTACCGAGGAAGAAGATGAAACAGAAACTAGTGGGCGCCGCTCTTCCCCTTTCCCGAGTTCCACTCGACGTGGACGACTTCGTAGCCGCCGTAGTCGGCGGAGGGAGTTTTGGAAGGGCGCGAAGGGACCGGCTTGTTGATGCGAGGCGATGTCGGAGGAACAGCGGAAGACGGGCGGGACGGAGGATTAGAGTGATCGTAGGCCATCCCGCACTGCGAGCAGAAACGAGAGGATGCGGCCACCACCGCCCGACCGCAGCGCCCACACACCTGAAGCTGCGGGCTCGCCTTAAGGACAGGCGACACGAAAGGGGCCTTGTCGCTTTTGCTCGTCTTGGGGAGGAGAGACTCCCTGTCTTCATCTCCCTGCCCCAGCCCCGCGCTCGGACAGCAGCCCATCTAGAAGAAAAAGTCTTTTTCTTTGTCGTCTTTTTTCCGTTCTTCGCTCTTTTCTTCTGCCTCGAGTGAAAGTCCGCGCGGCGATAGCCGGCGAAGAAGTGCCGCCCCGCTGCGGGCGAGCGGGGGCAGCCGGGGCCTTGTGACCGGCGCGTGTTACCGGAGGTTCTCCAGCCGAGCCCTTGTGCGGCTCCGGCGTACTCGTGACCACTGCAGCGACCGAAACGCGATCGCCAGCGGGTCGCCAGGATTGGTGCTACCGGCGCCGAAAATGCGCCATTCCAGAGATGCCTTGGTCTAAAAAAGCGCGAAACCCCGTCACGCCTTGTTTCGCCTTCTCGAAGAGGCGAAGACGACCACACAGAACTCGTGGACCAGCTGCTTGCTGCCAACCATCCTTTCTTCTCTCCTGCATCTCCCTTCCGACGCCTGTCGCAGGCTCGCTTAAGATCGGAAAACCGTCCATCCCATCGTAGCATCCTTGACTATCTTAACGACGCCAATCGTTAGATAAGTACTGAGATGCAGCTCAAACAGAACCAGAAAGCCAAGCTCGGCGAGGATTACTTCCACGAGAACACGGTGGCCGACAAGAGCCTCACATTCTTCCTTCAGCCCCTCCTCGACAAGATCTCGCTCAGCCTGCCAAGATGGCTGTCGCCTAATGCGATTACGCTAAGCGCTGGCCTGCTCATCGTGTCGGTGACCATTCTCGTGCTCGGCAGTCTTCCCAAGCTCTACGGCCCCGTTTCCCCTTGGGTGTGCGTCGCTGGCATCTTCGGCGTCCTTGGCTTCGTGGTACGCCACCCGTGTCTCGATTCTCATTTTCCAATAATTTGTTGATAATCGACCGCTTCTGAAAATTCAATTTTCCATCGCTCTCCAGCTCTTGGACAATCTGGATGGGCGGCACGCCAAGAACACAGGCATGTGCTCAAAACTGGGCGATTTTCTGGATCACGGAGTGGACAGCTTGGCCGACCCTCTGGCCGTGCTCATGATTGCCATCACCGCGCAAGGAGGCTACTCGATCCCGCTGTGGCTGTTCCTCATCGGTATGATTTTGGTGTGCTTCATGAACTACGTCTACCTCTGGTCCGACAAGCACACCAAAGTCTGCTTCGTCTCTGACGTCCAGCTCGAGGTACCAGCACGGCACCCCTTTTCATTATTTATTATTACAATATTAATAATATAATATTTCGTTGAGCCGCGCTTCTTGCATTGAGACAGTAGCTGATCCGGACCCGTATGCATGTGTCTTTCCCAGGCCTATATCTTCTTCTCGATCGTCTTTGCGCTGACGGCGGTCTTCGGGTCTGAAATCTGGATCTACAACCTGCGCGAGCTCATCCCCGACGGCGTCTTCTCCGAGAGCGTCGAGCAGCTGCTGCCTGCTGAGATGCCCGTCAACGTCTTCATCATCACCACCGCCCTCCTCCTCCCCGTCACCGAATTCTACGACTCCTTCTCCCGCGTGCTTAAGGTGACCGGTACGCATTTGAGCCTCCTCCTTCTGCGAGCATTTGCTGTGCGACGATGGTGGTAGAGTCACTCATGTCTCGTGTGCCGTGACAACAGGCTCATTCGAGCCGTTCCTGGAGCTCTTGCCTCCAGCGCTTATTGGCGTGGGCCTCACCGTGTGGGGTTTCCTCAGCACCAGCCAAATCTTCGCCACTCAGAAGCTCACCACATGCCTCTTCACCGTCGTCATCTACAGCTTGGTGACGGGCAGGTACGTTCCGCGGACCACTTGAACGTTGTGACATGTTCTGTCTGGTCTTCTGTGAGACGGTGCACTCACCGGACACTCTCTTATCAGGTACAACCTGGCGAGGCTCACTGGCGAGAAGGTGAAGCTTTACTGGGAGAACTACGTGCTGCTGGCGGTTGCCGGCGCGGTCAGCATTTTCGGCGTCGACGACACGTTGATCCTGCCCGTCTTCTTCGGCCTCGTCGTGGTGGCCACCGTCTACTTCTACTGCGTCACCGTCATCGAGATGGCCCGAATTTTGAACGTGCCCATCTTCGGCATGAAGAAGGCCACCTCGGTCAAGATCACGCCCGCCAAGGTCGTCCTCACCAAGGCCGAGCTCGCGATCAGCAGCGGTGAGAAGCGGTCCACCCTCAAGGCGCGCAACGGCGTGGCACACTAGAGAGAGAACACAGAGAGCGAGCGAGAGAGAGAGAGAGAGCGAGAAGAGGAACGAAGAGAAGGGACAGAGGGCAAGAGTAAGAGAGACACGGAGCGGAGGAAGGGAGACGAAGAAGATGGACCACCGATGAGAGGGCTAGGCTTTACCCAACCCACACCAATAAAACCAGCCAATTGTACACAAACATTTTTTTTTACGCTCTTGCGCTCCGTCACACACCCACGTTCCTGGATTGGTCGTGCACCACAATAATGAAGTTGAGAACAGCGGAACATGGTGGCCACCATGACGGCCGTGGAATACAGGTTTGCATGTTGAACCGCCGGGTGGTGTGGGCTGATCAGGGCCTTCCTCGCTAAGGAGAGAACTCCTGGTCGGCGAAGGATGGTCATTGGCTGGCCGACAATTCCGTCAGTTTTCACTGGAGCAGGCAGTCCCTACGTTTTATAAAAAAACGACCTCCAGAGAACTGCTACAATCTTCTTCATTCCACACCCCTCCATCCGCCACCTCTATTCTCAGTTCTCTATCTCGACCTTCACCCTCGTCGATGCAATCCGTGGCGTTGAAAGCAGTTGTGGCCCTGTGCCTGATATTCGCCCTCGCCTCGGCGCAGGACGAGAAGGCCACCCGAACGGCCTTCACCGCCACCAACGCTCTCATCACCGACTCCCTTTTCGCAGGCGGCCCCGGCCGAACCTACCGCGCTGACATCCAGTATTGGCCCAACTCCGGCGAGGAGGCCATCTTCTACACCATCCCCTACGCCCTGGGATCGTCGGCCACTGGCTCGTTCGAGGTGTTTGAGGACTTCGCCAACAATCTGCGTTACGTTCAGTGCTCCGAGTCCTGCCGCGTGGAACCCCTCAACCGTTCCCTCTTCGACCTCACCAACGGTGCCAGCCTCACCTCGGCCACCTACCCGGCTTACGAGCGTGTGTTCAACACCGCCAGCGGTTCGACATTCGGCTCGCTGGCTGCTCGACCCAACCTTCCGTCGCTGTGCCAGGCCCAGTCGTCGGCCAGCTCGGCCGCCGACTCGTGCATGCCTTACGGCCTTCCCTGCGGAACGTCATGCATCTGCCTCGGCTGTACCGATGGCGACAACTGCACCGGTTCGTTCGTCCACCCAATGGTGAACGTGTTCTGTGGACGGGCTGTCTTTTTTTTGTCGACTTCCTGACTGGGGTTGCCTCTCCGCAGTTTCGGACACCTGCGCTGTCGACAAGAAGAACCAGCTCACCTGCTCCGCTGAGCGGGTGTGCGAGTCCGCGACCGGCGCCACCGTGATCGCCCTCAACCGTCACCATGGCGGCGACAACAACGCCGTGGCGCTGGGCGTCGGCCTCGGCGTCGGTCTCGGCGTGGGCATTCCTCTTGCCATCCTTCTCCTCTTCCTCTGCTGCGTGCTTCCTCTCATCCTTCTGCCTCTCCTCTGGTACGTGGTCATCGCCGCCACAAAAACCCCGAATTTTGCTGACAGGCACCCACAGCAAGCGCCGTGAGCGTCGTCCCACCGTGGTGAGGACCACTGCCGCTCCGGTCTCCACCGCTGCCGCGCCCACGCCCGTGGCCATCGGAAACCCTCTGTACGCCGAGCCCTGGAGGACCACCAACATCCCGGCGTCCATGCTTGACGGTGCGCCTCGTGCCGTTCCCGTTGGCACCGGCTACTCCCAGGCCGCTTATCCAGGCCAAGTGTAAGCAGCCACCCAGCGCCTCGACCAAGAATGATGAAACGGAGAAAGTTACCGCTTACATCTTGACTTTACATTACATGCATAAAGGAATATATCCTCAATCACCTGCATCGACGATCTCTGAGATGGTCTTAAAGTCCAGACTCGCCCAGAAAACCGGGTAGGCGGGTCAATACCAACAAGCTCATCACATAAGAAGAGCAACACAGGGAGTTCAGGTCAAAGGGCTCGTGCAGTCGCAAGGGATCATGGTCGTCAGAACATAAAGTAAGTGGGATTTCTGCAGTTGCTATTTCTCGTAGACAGTGAACGAACGAATGGTAAACGAGACTTGCGAGGTCGAGGTGCTGTCGCCAATGGGAGATGTTGAAGGTGAAAACAGACAGCAAACCCGCCCATTCCCATAGGACGGGCGACCAACACGGTAAAACCGGGCCAAGCTCTGGTTGGCGGTCACAAGAAATTACGTTGGAAATTCGCTGTACCCACGGCGCACCAAGTGCCAGTTAAAATGGGCCACTGCCGTCCTGGGTTGGCATTCTCATCACCAATACAGCACACAAGCACCCTCCTCTACAACTCGTCCTCTCTCTAACTCACCTGCAGCGCCCTGTACTCGATCGCTACTAAGTCAACGACATCATGAAGTCAATCCTCTGCGTAGCGGCCCTGTGCCTGTTCCTCGCCCTGGCAGCGGCGCAGGACGAGAAGGCCACCCGAACGGCCTTCACCGCCACCAACGCTCTCATCACCGACTCCCTTTTCGCAGGCGGCCCCGGCCGAACCTACCGCGCTGACATCCAGTATTGGCCCAACTCCGGCGAGGAGGCCATCTTCTACACCATCCCCTACACCCTCGCCGGCTCCAGCTCGGGCTCCTTCCAGGTGTTTGAGGACTTCGCCAACAAGCTGCGCTATGTCCAGTGCTCCGAGTCCTGCCGCGTGGAACCCCTCAACCGTTCCCTCTTCGACCTCACCAACGGTGCCAGCCTCACCTCGGCCACCTACCCGGCTTACGAGCGTGTGTTCAACACCGCCAGCGGTTCGACATTCGGCTCGCTGGCTGCTCGACCCAACCTTCCGTCGCTGTGCCAGGCCCAGTCGTCGGCCAGCTCGCCTGCCAACTCGTGCATGCCCTACGGCCTGCCCTGCGGAACGTCGTGCATCTGCCTCGGCTGCACTGACGGCGACAACTGCACTGGTACCTCATCTCTCCTCTTGCTTAGGGTGCTGATACCCTCATGTGTTGACCTGTGGTATCTCTCTTTATGTAGTCTCCGACACCTGCGCCGTGAACGACGACAACCAGCTCTACTGCAGCTTCTCCGAGCGTGTGTGCAACTCCACCAGGCCCGCCGTTGTGGCCCTCAAGAAGCACGACGATGATGACAATGATGCCGTAGCTCTCGGCGTCGGTCTCGGTGTTGGCCTCGGCGTTGGCATCCCCCTCGTCATTCTGCTCCTCTTCCTCTGCTGCGTGCTTCCTCTCATCCTCCTGTCCTACTGCTGGTACGTAACCAGTCTCGCCTGCCCCCCCAAAGATCACCTTCTTACCCCTGACCCATCAACAGCAAGCGCCGTGAGCGTCGTCCCACCGTCGTGAGGACCACCGCCGCCCCTGTCGCCGCTGCCGTCCCCGTCGCTGCTGCGCCTGCCGCCGCTGCCCCCGTGGGCAACCCTTACTACGCTCCTCAGGGCGTCCCCATGAACAACTCCGCTGGCTACGCTCCTCAGGGTGCTGGCTACGCTCCTCAGGGCGCCACCTACGCCCCGGCCACTTACGCCACCAACGGCCCCAGGACCGGTCTGTAAACGGCCTCCAACGCCCTGGTGAAGGCGCCGACGGAAGCGTAAGCCACAACAGTGTCCTGCAGCCTTCCCAGGGAACCATCGAGAGCGATGGCGAGACCATCATCATACCATACCAGCCTTCTTTTAAAGCTTTTTTAATAAATACCCAATGCCTATTGTTCTATTCCTGGTCACCTTCTATTGTTGAGCGTTCCTTATGGTCGTCTTCTTGTCTTCGAAACACGAACGGGTACTTGGAAATTTCCCAACTCGGAGAAACCCAGGAAGAAAAGAACCGTCAAATCATTTGTTTTGTTTTTTGTTTCACTGTACGGATCAACAAAGTACAAGCGGCATCGAGCGTGCAAGAATGGAAGACACGAAGAAGCAAGCGCTCTTGGAGGGTATCGAGGCGATCAAGCAGGATATTAAGCATTCGACTTCCGAATTGCAGACCAAGAAGCAGGCCAAGGCTGCTCAGGCCGAGCTCGAACCTCTGCTCAACAAGCTGAAGGATTTGAAGGCCAAGCTTGTCGCCTCGGTGCCTACCCTTGTTGTGGCCCTACAAAAAGATGCCACTGCAAAATTTAACCCATAGTGCGTTAATTCATGCAGGAGAAGGAATTCAAAGATGCCTACCCCGATGCCGCTGGCCAGGGTCTCTCGAAGAAGTACGCACCCACTGATTCGTTTGTGAATTCCTCGAAAATCTAACGAATGTGATTGCTACGTGTTCGGTCCCCAGGGAGGCCAAGAAGGCTGCTTCCAAGGCCGCCAAGAAGAAGGGCACCGAAGGCGCTGCTGAGGTACTGTCCTCTTTTCCCTCGTTAATTTTACGCTCTTTGTCTTACGCGGTGCGACGTGTGCGCTCGGTGCAGCCCGTGAAGGAGCAGCAGTCCTTCGACAACTTTGGCGTGCGTCCGCTCATCCGATCCGAGGAGCGAACCCACAAGGTCTACACCAACGTGGGCAACCTCTCCGCCGCAAAGGACGGCGAGACCGTGTTCGTTAGGGCACGTCTCTACACTGTGCGCGGCACTGGTGCGTTCACCTCCTCTACCACCACTACTACTTGCAGCTCTCTTCCCACTGTCCGTGTTGGGCTAACTCACCTGAGTGTGTAGGCAACAAGCTGGCCTTCGTCGTGCTGAGGCAGAGGACCGCCACGGTCCAAGCCGTGCTTGAGAAGAACGAAACGGTGTCGGTCGAGATGATCAAGTTCACCAAGGGCATCCACCGCGAATCCCTGGTCGACGTTGAGGGTGTGGTCACCAAGGCCGGTACCGAGATCGCATCGTGCACCCAGAAGGACGTGGAGCTCCGTGTCACGAGCCTCTTCGTTGTCAGCCAGACTCTCCTTCAGGAGCTGCCCCTTCTCCTCGAGGATGCCTCCCGCCCGGCTCCCATCTTGAAGGCCCAGGTACCCCCGTCATCTCTAATTTTCGACTACTCCCCAGGACGAGAAGATCGCTCACCCATGCTTGTTGCCGCACAGAAAGCCCAAATCCGGAAGATCCAGGCCGAGGCCAGCGCCGTCGAGGCCGAGCTTGAGCAGGCCAAGAGTACGAAACTCAACGTTCTCCGTTCACCCCAAGGACAAGAGCTAGAGTTCCTTATTTGCTTTTCTCTTACAGAGGAGGGCAAGGACGTGACCGAACTTCAGGCCAAGCTCGAGGATCTTTCTCGGCAGAAGAGCGAGGCTCAGAAGTTCGTGAAGGTGGGTCAGAAGACCAGGCTCGACAACCGTATTCTCGACCTCAGGGTACACCCCCTCCCCATCGCCCCTGCCAATGGCGAATCATTCACTTATCGACTCTACCTTGTTCCGGCAATCATGCAGACTTCGGCCAACAACGCCATCTTCAGGATCCAGTCTGGCGTGTGCCAGCTGTTCAGGGAGTTCCTGCTCGGCCAGAGCTTCACTGAGATCCACACTCCCAAGATGATCTCCGCCGCTTCGGAGGGCGGTGCCGGCGTCTTCAAGCTTGGCTACTTTGACGGTACATTGTGAACCACCCCACCTCGACGATCTTATGTGGCACATCCCTGACGGCCGCTGTGTGCACAGGCTTTGCCTACCTTGCCCAGTCGCCTCAGCTCTACAAGCAGATGGCCATCTGCGCCGACTTTGAGCGAGTGTTCGAGATCGGCCCCGTGTTCCGTGCTGAGAACTCCAACACCCACCGCCACCTTACGGAGTTCGTCGGTCTCGATCTCGAAATGGCCTTCCACGAGCACTACCACGAGGTGCTTGATGTGCTCGACGCCCTCTTCACGTTCCTCTTTGACGGCCTCAAGAACCGGTACGCCGTCGAACTCGAGGCCGTCAGGGCTCAGTACCCCTTCGAGGACCTCAAGTACACCTCGCCCTCGCCGCGCATCGAATTCAAGGAGGCCATCGCCCTTCTGCGAGAGGACGGTGTCGAAATCGGCGACTACGACGATTTGAGCACGCCCCAGGAGAAGCACCTGGGCAAGCTCGTGAAGAAGAAGTACGGCGTGGACTTCTACATTCTGGACAAGTTCCCCTCGGCCATTCGTCCCTTCTACACCATGCCCGACCCCAAGAACCCCGTACGCCACCAGCCAGTTCTTCATCTTACCCCCCCCCCCAGTCCAATCATCTTGTGAGACCTCTCTGACGTTGTGTGGTGGCGGTTATGCAGAACTACTCGAACTCGTACGATTTGTTCATCCGCACGGAAGAGATCTGCTCGGGCGCCCAGCGTATCCACGATGCGGCGTTGCTCGAGGAGAAGGCCAAGGAGAAGGGCGTTAGCATTCCCACCATCCAGGCCTACATCGACGCGTTCAAGTATGGCGCGCCACCTCACGCCGGTGGTGGCGTGGGCCTGGAGCGCGTGGTGATGCTCTACCTGGGCCTCAGCAACATCCGCAAGTCCTCCCTCTTCCCTCGCGACCCCACCAGGCTCACCCCCTAAACAGCAGCGGGCATCCAAGAGGGGCTCTTCCCCGCTCCGCGTTTAGCTTCAACTACACCAACAAAGCTCGCTGTCACGCAGCGCTTCACACAAATACACGCGTTCAAAATCCGCCGAACCAAAACTTCCGGTTGGGCTAAGTATCTCATCTTTCTTTACTTCTCCGGTTGTTTGATTGCAAAAGATGGAGAAGGACGAGGTGAAGGTGGCGGGACCGGAGGATGGCAACGGCGTGGCTGCGCAGCTGTCGCGCGCCCTATTTTCGCGGGGCAAGTACGACAACCCGTGGTCGACGTGGCAGGCTCGCACCCCCTACGAGGCCCTCAAGTGGACCCTCTCGCGCAAGACCCCGCCTCTCCCCTCCAAAGAAGAGCTCGACCGCGTGCGCCGCCAGCCTTTAATAATTATATTATATTATTTTATTAAAAAAATAGACGGTAGATTAATATTATTTTAAATATTGTGTTTCATTTTATGGTACAACAGGAGCTGCCGGTAGAGAAGCCCGACTGGGAGGCCATCAACAACCCGCAGACCTCTTGCCCCCTGCGAGGCAGCGATCAGGCCGACGGCAGCGACTGCGATGAAGCTGAAGCCGAGGACGCGACAAGCTCCGCCAGGTACTTGCTCGCGACCGCACTTGCGCACACGTGACACACACGCACTCACCGTTGGTGGCCTGATGTTGCCTGCGTCTGCAGCGGTCGTTCGGCGTCGTGCATTCAGACAACGTGGGTCGGGCACTCCACCTTCCTCGTGCAGATGGAGGGCGTCAACTTCCTCACCGGTACCACGCAACCATGACTTTTGCCGTCTTTCTCTTTGCTCTCTATTATTGTGACGATGATGGCGAGGCTGACTGGCCTCCACCCGCTCTCCTGCTACGTACGTGTTGACACAGATCCTGGTACGCTTCTGCGGTGAGCGAGAAGCTCCTCCTTAAAGACGAGAGAGAGAGACGAGAGAGAGACGAGAGAGAGAGAGAGAGAGAGCGCGAGAATTGGGCTAATAGGGCGAGTGTTGCTGTGTGTCGCGTGGGATGATGGTGCAGTGTGGGCTGATCGGTGTTCGCCTCTCAATTCGGTCCACCTCGGCCCCAAGCGCTTCCGGCCCGTGCCCTTCGGTCTCGATGAGCTGCCCCAGATTGACTTCGTGATCGTCAGGTACTCCTACCCCCCTCTGGCGCCCCTTCTAATCATGCCCAATACCAACAACACGCATAATGTTAAAGAATATTATTTAATAATAATAATAATAATATACTGAAGATAATTTTGTGTGCGCAGCCACAACCACTATGACCACCTGGACATCGGCGTTGTTGAACATTTGGGCAACAAGGCGAAATGGTATGTTTTTTAGCTCTGTTTAGTTGCTTGCAATGCGTGTGCGGTGCTGCGTGTGCGTGCGCTTGTGAGCTCTTGTGTGCACAGTGGGTTGATGTGTGGCGGTCTATCGTCAGGTACGTGCCGATTGGGCTGCGGAAGTGGTTCCAGAGCTGCGGCGTGGAGAACGTCGAGGAGCTCAACTGGTGGGAGAGCGCCGAGTTCGTCAAAACCGTCCCCAGCGACGATGGTGCGTGCATCACCTCCCCCTCCCCAGCCCATGCGCATTAATCGGATTCCGTTGGCTGACCGCCCATCGCAGGCGGAGAGCGGGAGGTGCGGATTCAGGTGGTGGCCACGCCGTGCCAGCATTGGTCGATTCGCAGCGGCTTCGATCGGTGCAAGAGCCTGTGGACCAGCTGGGCGGTGGCCGGCGCGTCGAATCGCGTGTGGTTCGCCGGCGACACGGGCTACTGCCCGGCCTTCAAGGAGATCGGCGACACCCTCGGCCCCTTCAATCTCGGGTACGCGCACACAACGCCCTTCGAAGAGTCCCGTGTCGTCTGACCCGTGTGTCGTGTGTGTCGTGTCGTGGCCCAGGCTCATCCCCATTGGTGCCTATTGTCCGCGCGACTTCATGCAGCCACAGCACATCGACCCAGCGGTACTTTTGTCATCACCGTTACCAGCTGAAGAGATGCGGTGAGAGCGTGCACTCAACGGGATGAGCGTTTTGGCGCTGCGCTGCCGAGGGAACAGGAGGCGGTGCAGATCCACGAGGACATCAGGGCGCACACGTCGATCGGGATGCACTGGGGCACGTTCGTGCTCACGGACGAGCACGTGTTCGAACCGCGCTCGCGAATCGCCGAGCTCGTGAATGCCAAGAACATGCGCGGCGACGAGTTCATCACCGTGCGCCACGGCGAGACCAAGGTAAGGCCTGGCTTCTTCTCCCAGCGAGTGGTGTGCACAACACGTGCTGTTGGTGTTGTTGATGATGACGATGATGGATGTTCAACAGGTGCTGCCCACAAGCCCGTTTGCCGAGTGGAAGGCGATCACCCCAGAGCTGCTCCAGGACGAGAGAGACAACAAGGAAGAGGAGACCAAGTGATTTGTGATCATTTTGACGAAAATAATACACTTATTTTAACAGACCGCCTGCAGCACTGCTGCGGTCTTCTTCTTCTTCACGACCTGAGAGAAGCCGTCGTTGCCGTCGTTGCTGGAGATGGTGCATGAGGATCGGGATATGGGTGAGGAGGGACTTCACCACGGGTTCGCGTCGCTTGGCCATCAAACCCGCTAGTCCTTCGGGCCTTCCCATCCGGTCCAGCACCTGCACGTGCAGGTATAACACCATCACGGTCATCATCCTCACCATCGTCATTGTCATACCCGTTTCGGCTGCCAGCTCAATTAGCGTGGGTGGCGCCACAAACCTGCTGTAGGGCGCTGTGGCACTGATCGAGGTCGAGTTCGGACTCGGGGACGGCCAGTACCGCCACGGCAGCGTCCACTGCGCGGCCCACCAGCAGTGCGAGCATCTTGTCCTGTAGGTGACGCACAGCGTTCCACCATTGAGTGCGAGCATGCGTGAATGTGCGAGCGCAGGGGGTGTGTGGTTCTTGTACCCTATCGGAGGCGACCGAGAGATCGAAGGTGGCGCGGGTGGTCACCAGGAAAGACGGCTCAGACCGGGCCGGGAGCGGCTCCCGCTGGCTGGCCGGCGACTGTGCGTGCACCAGGCCCTCCACTCGCTTCACCTCCTCATTGAACGCTCGCTGCATCCCCCGCCCCCCAAGAGAGGCCAGGTCAGAACCACGAGGAAGTGCGTGGGTGTGCGGTGGTGCGTGTGCATGGTGGTACCTTGACGAAGGTCAGCTCGGGTGGCGCTCGCTGGAGGCGGGAGGCGGCCTCGGCCGAGTTGAGGTCCAGGATGACGTGCAGGAGAGCACAGCGGAGGAAGCCCGCAAGGAATGCGGACACAGCCCGACCACCCGCTGCCACCGCGTCCAGGGAAACAACGGAGGAAGAGGATGCGGATGACGTCGACGTCGACTGTACAGGAGGTGGCCGTGGGGCCGTGTTCACCTTCCTGGCAATCAGCTGAACCACATCATAGCAGGACAATCTGACACTGTGTGTGTATGTGTGTTTATGTGGTGTGTGTGTGTCGCATGCATAGCAGGGACTCATGAGATCGACGCGATGCGCGAGGGGGGAGGGACGGACCTGGCAGCTGGTCCGTCGAGGAAAGGATAGGTAGGGTCGAAGCTCGGCGCATCCAAACAACGAAGAAGCGGCACCGCCAAAATCAACGCATCTTCCACGAACGCCTGCGTGTGGCGTGTGGCGTGTGCGTGTAGGGTGATGTGCGTACGTATGTGAGTTAGACAACCAAGAAGGGGACTGTTAGTGGGCGGGGAGGGGTGCGCACGTCGTGCGTGAGTGCCGCGTGGCGAAAGATGGCCTCGACGAGCGCGATCGCGGCCTTGCGGTAGCCCGACACGAAGCCCGTGAGCGACGAACTCTTGGAGATGTCCACCGCCACCCGATCCGTCTGCAGCCTGCAACGCCGCGTTGTCGACGCACCACCACACAGTGGTCAAAGGTGGTCTCTTAGCATTTCGTGTCGACACATGCATGCGAAAAGGAGCTCCGGGGGAGAAGGGGGACGGGCGGCATACGCAGGCGAGATGAAGGTGGTCTCGATGTGGCGGCGCAGCGTTGGCGAGTCCCTGACGAGCACTTCCACGATCCTGCTCCGGAGGCTGTCCTCGAACCTCGTCTTATCGTGCTGCGGCTGCCATGTGTGCGGTGTGTGCGGTGTGTGCGGTGTGTGTTGGCAAGTAACACATTGGGAGGGGGTGGTGTGAAAGCAGGTTCGGGGTACGGTGGGGTCCAAGGCCTGGGCGAATCCAGTGCGCATGGACTCGTCGAGGACGTCGAAGAGCAGACGCCGCAGGTCCTCATCGCACGTGGGGCTTGCATCAAACGACGTCTTAAGGAACTGGAGCACGTTCGTTACCATCTCGTACCTGACGACACGCGCACCGATGCATTAATCTCCAGCACGCGACAACACGACGCACACGACGCTCACGACGTGACACACGACGCGACACACACGACACGATGGCGTACTTGCATAGACGCAGGATGTCGCGGGTGCTGTTGCGGAGGTTGGGCATGGGCAGGCCCTCGCGCGTCTGGAAGTACTTGTCGCACACGGTCAACACCAGCTGGCCCTGCTGCCGTTGCTGTCCGCCGCTGCCGGAGCCTCGTTGCTGGAGGAGCTGGAGCTGGTGCTCGGATTGGTAGGTGAGCGCGCCGCCGTAGCGCAGCAGGCCACCGACCATCTTGAAGACCTGCCGGGCGCGCAGGGAGTAGTGGGCGTGCTTGTTGGGTACGCCCTCGGTCCGGCCCAGGTCCTCGTTCATGGCCGCGATGAACCGGTCGACGTGGCCCAGGAAGCCGCCCACGATCGTGTCCTCAAAGTCGCGTCGCAGCTGCTGGCGCTTGTGCGGCACGCCGGCGATCTCCTCGTCCTCATTCCACTCCGTCCACAGCTCGCCCACTTTCTTGAGCACCCCTGTGTAGTGCGTGTGTCGTGTGTCGTGTGAGCGGATAGGGACGCGAGTGGATCTCAGAAGGGAGAACGTACGTGTGACGAGGGTGTGGCGGTCGCCGAAGCATTGGTCCTTGCTCACCCGGTACTCTTCCTTGAAGCCCAAATCCTGCGGGAGGGGGACCACGCGAGGGTCTGTCAGCGCTGGTGTTGGTGCAAGCGGCGCGAGGCCTCTACTTCGCGAAGTAGAGGCTCTTGTGGGCTTCAGATCTAGTACGAACCTGGAAGAAGGGCAGCTGGTGGGAGCAGCGCACGAGAGCGGCGGTGAGCGTGTGCTGTTTGGTCCACTCGTTGGCCATCATTCCGCCCAGCCATATTCGCACCATCTGCGCACCGTGTTGCTGTTGTGTGTGGCACACCACGCGCGCACAAGCGACGCTCATGATCAATAATAATAATAAAGATCAATAATAATAATAATAACAGGAGGCACCTGGAACAGAGGCGCCACGTAGGGCTGAAGATAGTAGGGCGGGAGCGAGGGCAGGTCGTCGAACACCTGGGCCAGGAACTGGATGCCGAGGCGTCTCCGCTCCGGCATGCCGATGGTCGGGTAGTTATCGCCCTGCCTCGGCTGAGCAGCGGCTCCATTCAGCGGCTCCGCAGCGTTGAGGCCGAACAGCTCGAGCGCGCGTTCCCACGTCTGTTTCCACACGCACACACGCACACACACACACACACGCCACACACACATCACACACATACAACACACACACACACACACATCACACACAACACACACGACACATAGCGAGACCACCAGTGGGTAAGCCCATTGGAGTGGGCGATGGACGTCGAGATGAATTCTGAGGGGGTCGTACCAACAATTTGTGGCCGATCGACAGCGGCGACAGCTTGGCGAACAAGTTCACCTGTGTGCGTGCGTGCGTGCGTGCGTACAACCACCACACGCATACGCGTCAGTGTTTCCTACAATGAAATATGGTGGATGGACGCTGGCGGGAGGCCTGGTACCAGGGAGGTGCGAATCGTGGGCGTGTTGCGATCGTAGAGGATCGCGCGCCTAACCTTCTCCACCACCTGGTTCAGGCAGCGGGCTAGCAGCTCCATGTTGGCCTTCTCCTGGGCGAGCTGTCGCTCCCGGGCCTGCCGGGCGTGTCGCTCCTCATCCTCGCGCCTCCGCGCTTCGTCGAGCCGCCGTCGGGCCTCGGCCTCCTGCTCCTTGGCCGCCTCGGCCTGGCGCATCATCGCGTCCACGTCGATCGCCGCCATCACCTCGTCCCAGTCGTCAGTTGCGGCTTCGACACCCGGCGGTGCTGCTGCGTCCGCGGCGGTCACTGCCTCCAGAGCCAAGGGCGGGGGTGGCGGGGGTTGCGATGCGACTCGAGATGCGAACGAGGGCGCGTAGTAGGGCGATGAAGAAGACGGTGATAAAGATGGCGGCCGTTGTAAGGGGGGCGAGGAGAAGGTGCTGCTGCCTGCTCGCCCAAAAGTGGATGAGGGCGAGCCGCCCGAGACGGGTGCGCGCATGGTCCGGTAGTAGGACTGGAGGGTGAAAGAGCACTCGAAGGACGACGATGACGACGACGAGCCCGACGCAGATGAGCTTCCGCTGCTGCGCTGCGCCGACCACTTGGGGAGCGTCTGGTCGACGAGGTTGATCGCCGCCATGGCCAGCCAGTGCGGCAGGTGCTTTATCTCGAAGAACATCGAACACTGCGGTACGCACGAGGGTCAACAGCCGCGCTGTGCTTCGCGTGTCGTCACAGAGGAATATGAGGGTGATACGGACCAGCCACGAGTCCCACTTATCGGGAATGAGCCTGTACTCGAAGCAGTCGAAGTTGCCGCGGGCGTTGGTGAACACGCGCGTCAGCTGCCGCAGGGCCAGCTTCCAGTGGGGCTCCATCTCCTCGCAGGCGCGCTGCGCGTTCACCCGGGTCTCCTCCCGTCGCTTCTGCTCGTCGGGCGTCGGGCGCCATGCGCGTCTGCCCTGTTGAGGCGACGCGGGTTCGACCTGCTTGAGGGCGGTGATGTACTCGGTCCACATGAGCTTCATACACTCGTGCAGATCCGTCGCCACGCCCTGGTGTGTCACATGTGCGAACAACATTGATCAATGAGCCGTACGTACACGCTCTTCAATCGGCAAGTGAGCGCACCGAGAAATCGAGACCAAAGGCCTGGCCGAAGAGGGCCAGCTGAAGCAGAGCCTCGGCCTTCAGGAAGTGGCTGTGGCCCACCAGCTCTGATTATCGCCATATAAAAATAATCAGTAAAGATTGACCGGTTGTGGTTGTAGGTACGTACCGTTGATCTTGTCCTTGAGCAAGGTGACGTAGCTGCGCTTGTCCTTGTCTATGTTAAGCAGCAGGTCGAGACAGAGGAGATCGGTGGCGGGCAGCAGCTTCCTGATCCACGCGCTCTGATAGATGACCGAGGTGAACTTCTTCATCGCTGCCTGTGGCAAGCCGAGCGCCGTCGGGCGCACGAACGGGTAGCACGAGAACGAAGTTGTCGACTCGAGGCCCTCAGCCGGCACGGCCGTCAACGTTGTCGTCGTCAATAGTGGAGCGGCCGCCGCTGATCTGCCGACCGGCAGCAGAGGGCAGTCCTGGCGCACTCCGGGCGCAGCGAAGACCGAGCGCTGTTGCGGCGATATGGCGGACGTCGTAGCCGAAGCGGCCAGCGGCGAGGCGAACGGCTGCTGCGCTCGCAACGGCGACTGGCTGCCGCCCTGCGGTTGTGACGACGTCGACGGTGCGGGGAGCGGCGGGAGGAGCGGCGACGGAGGCAGCGCGGCGGGGAGCCCGGTCTTGTAGATGTGGACCAGGAGGATGCGCAGGAAGAGGTCGTAGTCCTTGTCTCTGTTCCAGGCCGACGGCGGATTGAGGGTCAGTGTAGCCGGCAGGGTCGTCGGTCCGAAGTTGGTCACGAAATCCGGCCACGTCGCCGTCAGCTTGGACGCCGGTGACGATGAAGAGGCAGTGGCGGTGGCGGTCTTGTAGGACTCGCGCACGATGGCCCAGAGCTGGGGGATGATCTCAGTCGACGGAGGCCAGACCTGGCTGAGCTCCAGAATGCGCACCAGGACAGCGTGGCGGCACTGGATGTGCTCGAGCCCGCCCGGAGAAGCGGAATATCTGGTGTAGGTGCAGGTGGTGTGTCAGTCAGTATGATGTTCCAGTGCCATGAGCGATTGACGGCACAACGTGCACAAACACAACGTACATGTTGGTGGGCGCCTTCTTGAGCAGGTCGAGGACGAGCTGCCAGTTGGCGTGTTGGGCCACGTGCTGAACGCCCAGTAGCGTGCCTGTCGTAGCGTCGAACTGGAGCAGGGGTATCAGGTGGAACAGGAGGTCCCACTTGAACTCCCACACGTGCGGCGCTGCGGACAGCCATCACAAGAGGACGTAAGAGAAAGCGACACGTGTGGCAGTGCCAGTGGCAGTAGCGGTACCCGAATCGTGGTTGGTGGGAGGTTTGGCCGAGAGCGTGGGGAGCGCTTTGAGCTCCATGAGGGCCGCGTTGAAGGTCTTCCAGAAGGGTTGAGCTGCTCTGCCTCCAATGACGTTGTTGCTGTGGTAACAAGAAGGAAAAAAGGTGCAATGATGATCACCTGTTGCGCGCAAATAAAAAACAGCACACACCACGCCTAATCATACCTTGGCCGAAGTGCATGGTGAGCGTCGGTGAAGTGCATAATTTTGCGCCAAAGCAGCATGACCGGCCTGTAGTGGATGGAGTGTGGTAAGAAGAGTGAGAGGGCTGCGGTAACGAATCGCCGAATTGGGTGCACGCATGTCTGACCTTTGCGTGGCATTGGTGAGAACAGGTGGCAGCTTGATAAAGTTGGGGAAGTCCTGGAAGAGGGCGAAGAGCTGTGCCAGCAGCATGTTCACGTGCGCAATGAACCTGTAGTCGCAGCACAGTGTACCAGTTTGATGCATCAGACAACACAGTCCAAAGAGAGGGTGAGGAGGCACGCACATTTGGCTGGCGTCGGATGAGTCCCTGGGTTCTTCCAGTGCTGTCTCGGCCGCTGCCACGAGCACGGCCTCCTCGGGCGGCGCCGACAGATCGTCGACATGATCATCGAGCAGCGAGAAGGAATGGTGGGTGGTCTCCGGCTCTGGCGCCTGGGCGAGCATGAAGAGCCACTCGAGGATGTGCGCATGGATCAACACCGCCAGCCGGAAGGTGTGGATCAGCCCGCGGGTGTAGCTATATGCGTTCGGGTCGAGCGCGCCGAGGCTCTGCACCAATTCGGATACCTCGCCGCGAAGGACGGCTGCAAAGTGCTGCGCCTTCACGCCCTTGTGCCTCTTGATGCAGTCCCGCACGAAGCACAGGCACAAATCGATGTCATCGTAGTCCTGTAGCATCTGCGCGCTTGGCTCACTGCGCAATTTCCAAACCCGATCAGTCACACAAACGTTGCTGCGTTTTTCGAGAATGCGCGCAGCAGCGTTCCTTCACGTACGCGTTTCGGGTCTTCCTCTCCTCGGACATGAAACGAAAGAAGTACTTTCGGAGGCTGGCACACAGCGTCGGGAGCAGATCGTCCTAGTAAGGGGGTGGATTGAGCAGAGATGTCAGCCCAGGGTTGACCCCGTGATGAATCACAAGGATGACAACATGTGCTGTTCTTCACCTGGTCCTTGTTGACGGTGATCCCGAGGAGGGTGAGTGTTGCAGTGCCCTCCGGCCAGGTCCAGTCAGCACGCCCCAGTGGCTCCAAGCGCTGCGTCGTTGCTCCGGCCAGCAACAGACTGGCGCTGCACTCATCATGCATCAGGTCTGATGAAGGCAAGCAGTGACCGTGCTGTGTGGCCTGCGCGCGCCCAACTACGTACTGAAGGGAAACTGAACGCGGGAACCGAGGAGCGGAAGGCGTGAAGAAGACGGGGCGACCACTCTGCTGCGCCGTTCGTAGATCCTGCAACAGTCGATTCGTATCCGCATCGAATCCTTCGAGCTCGCCTGACTCACCGTGTGCTGGTGCGGGTTCGGCCGCGGCCGGTTGAACCTAGTGAAGGCGTTTAGTAACACAAGCTTGTGGCACCCACCCTTCCCAGTGGTTGTACCCTGAACGGGCGCTCGGGCGGTGGGCGCAGACTCGTCGCTGGGATGTACTTCGTGGTGCCCTCCGTTAGGTCCAGTATGTACTCAGGACCCGACTACCACACACGATACACAAGACGCACACACGGCACACCAAAATATCAAGACGGGTAATCACGAGAAGAGAAACGAACAGGCCGGCCCCGTACCTGGTGGGTGTCGTTGGGACGAGGTGTCGACGAAAGGGTTTGCGAAGCGGCAGCATTGCCGCCGCTGAGCCGCCTGCGTGTGACTTCTTTGCGCTGCGCGCGCTTTTGGTCGGCCACCTTCCGTCGTTGGGACGAGCGTGATGCCGTGTTTTGCAGTCTCACTCGCACCGTGCGACTCTGCGTGGCCAAAAGAGAGGTCAAAAGGAAGACTCAGAGGGGGTTGTGCCAGAGGCCGTACAGATTGCGGCGCTGGCCAACCGAAGAGGCCGTGGTCAAATAACTCTTCATTCACGTCATCGTCCTCCTCTGACCGTAACATTCCTTCACGGCTGCGGTCGCGGCCTTGCCACAGGATACCGACAACACGTCAGGTTCGTCGTGGGGCGCAGGTTGTCAAGCCGCAATCAGAGTTAGAGAGCGATACCTAAGACGGCGACGTGATTCAATATGGACGAGGGAGGCGGTCGGTTGACCTGTTCAGCGCGCGAGGGCCGGATCACTCCATTCCACTCTCCGGCTGAGGCTTCACCGTGAAGTTCGAGCTCTGCAATGTTTACCTCTTATCCGTTAAGAATGTGTGGAAGGCACATTGTGTATGTCACATGTAGCCACGTACGTGAGTTGGTCCCATCAGCATCGTCGTGGGGAATTCGCCGTCGCTGCTTGTGTCGTCTACGCCTCCGATCTCCCCGTCGGATGAGCACGGCATTCCAGCGCTGGTGGAGTGGAGTGTCAAGTTTCAATATTGCATTCATGTGCTGTGTGCCATGAGTAGATTGGTGGTTGGGCCTGGACGTTACCTTGGAATAAGCCGAGTTTTGATATTTGGCGTAGAGTGTGGGGTGGTAGTGGCACACCAGCGCGTCGACCTTCTCCTCGAGCCGTTGCAGCTCTGGCGTGTTCCACACTTCGCGGAGGGCGTTGAGACCCTGGTCGATGTCCCGGCCGCCAATGATAGTGTAGGTTTGCTTGACCTTGCCTGTGATCGGATCCCTGACGAGGAAAAACCGAGCCAAGGTTAGCTGATCACCGGCTGTGCCGAAGAGAGGTGCTGTGTGATGTACTTTTCGTAGGAGGGATCGTCCAACTCTCCCTCCTCCAGAAGCCGCCTGTAGTGGGAGCTGCACTGGTAGCCCACACTGCCCGGGGGGGAACACGAACGACGTGTGAGCCCTGGGGTGGACCAGCGGAAATCAAGGTATGTACCGATTCTCAAGGCCGGCAGCGAGAGCAAACACGCCCCAGTTGGCGCCCACGCGCCAATCGTTACTGCCAAACTCCTCGTAGCGACGTAAGAACGCCTGCTTCTCCTCTATCGTGAACGCTCCTTGTCGTTGCACTAGCCCAGGGTCTACACACGTGTTATATGATAGACGTCGTCATATAAGTGTCCTGATGCCAACCTACGCAGATCTGGTGGATGAGACGGTACCCGTGAGGCGGTAGTAGTATCCGTTTGGATTCTGGTACCGCTGCACCCACGCTCGAACTTTGTCCGCGGACCTGTGTCGATGGAGTTTTAGTATGGTGTGCGCGCATGTCCCATATGGACAAAGGATTGACCTACCACACTTGGATGCTGCTACGGCAAAAGAAGTCGATACCGCGAACGCCGCCGATGGTGCGGATCTTGAGCTTGACGGCTTTGCGCTTGTCGGTCGCTGCCTTCCGAGCGCTGAATTGCGCTTGGCCTCCTCCTTCTCCCCTGCTCTCCCCATCCGCGTCACCGTCGTCTTCGGCTTCGTCAAAGCTTTCCTCCTCGCCCTCTGCATCGGCTTCTCCGCCAGGCAGCATCGCCGCGTCACTTCGGACAGTGATGTAGTCGTCGGGGTCGCTCCAGTCCGAGCTCCCTTCACTGATTTCCATGTCCTCTGCACGAGGTGATGAGCGTACATGTGGCAGTTGAGAAAGCAGGTATCCTCACTACAGGCGTGAAGGTGAGTGTCGTAAAGCTTACCGCGCGTGTACACGGGCATTCCAGGAACGAACTCAGTGTCCCTCTCGCTTTCTTCGTTATCGGGGGCGAAAACGCTCCAATCGTGGAAGTCGCCCTTGGCCTTTCGCCTCTTGCTCACTGTCTGTGGTTCGAACATTCACCATCGTGGTCACATGTGGCAAGTGGGCACGGCGCAGGTGAATAGAGTGGGAGGTAGCCACATACCTTCCAGTAGTCGCCATCGAGCCCGCCGTCAATGTCCTTGACCGCGACCTTCTCTCCACTCGTTGTCGCATGCGTGGACTGCGAGCGTCCGCGATCGGTATCGCTGTCGCTGGTGTCGTCCAGGCTGTCGATCTCGGACAGCTCGGCCTCTGGCCCGGTGCTGGCCCCGACTGTCGCAGGTAGGGCAGCATTCACCTCCGTGGTGACATCGCGGCTGTCTTGGCTCTCTTTCACTCGCTCTTTGCCCTTCTCCTCCCTCCTCTGCCTCTTCTGTTCGCGAACGATCGTCGGCTCGTCCCGATCGTTCCCCTCGGCCTCGGCCTCTGCTCGCTCTTGCAGTTCGGGCTCGCCTCCTTCGGCTGTGTCGAAGGTGGGCGCGGGCCTTGGTCGCCAGTAGCCGCCGTCGAGGAGGTCCCTCAACCTGTCGCGGTGCTTCCGCCGTTTGCTCTTCCCCTTCCCTCCCCTGTCGCTGCTGGCAAGCTCCTCTGGCGTACCGTGCTCGTGCGCCGCGGCAGGCTGTTGGACCGTCGTGGCCTCTTGGCTGTGCTCTGGGGCAGCAGGTGGCGCTGAAGGGATCTCTTGCTTGACTGCAGTGCCTTCATTTTCACGTTTAATCTTGGCGTTGGTGTGATCTGCTGCCAAATCGTGTTAATTGAAGGAAAATCGAGCAGCAGAAACATGTAGGACGGTACCAGGCGGGAATGGATCGGTTGCGCTTATGGCCAGGGAAGATTGAAACGCAGAACTCGAGAGACCATCAGATCGATCGTTGTCGTCCGCATCGTCGTCGTCGCGCTTTCTCTTCTTAGCGCCCCTCCCATCGTTTATCTCTCCCTCGACCTTTACCCATGATTCTTCCATCCACACCGCAGCTCCTCTCCGCCCCGACCGCCAGAATCGCAAAAAGATCTCGCGACTTGCTCAGGTGAAAATCCAACGCATCAAAAATGGCGGGAAACCGCCCACGCGCAACAACAAGACGAGAGCTTGAGGTTCAAACAAACGTTTGATGTGGTCTCACTTGGGCGGACAAAGCTGTACATGAAAGTGTTGAAGGAGGAACTGCTCGGGGTTGGGGATGGGGAAGGGTGGGCTGGCGAAGGCGACTGGTGGGGAGGCGTAGGGCGAACCAATGGTCTGCAAAGAGGAAGCCGAGGAGGAAGATGTTGAAGAAGGCGTTTGTGAAGGGTTGAGGGTCGCTTTGCTGCTCGGTGACGAAGAGGAAGAGGCGGCGGAGCGGTGAGGTGAGTAGGAAGACGACGATGCGGAGGCGGCGGAATTGGTGTAAGGCTCAAGCCGAGGGAGGATAGACTGCTGATGGGGTTGGTGCGACTGAGGTGGCTGGTGGCCGTAGTGCTGCTGTTGCTCGTTCGTTCGCTTTCCCGTAGCTCCTGAGTAGTGCTGCGTTGTCGGCCGGGAGAGGTCAATGTCCATCAGCGAAGGCTGCTGTGCCTGTCTGCCAAAGCCAGAGTCGCCGCCTGATGATTGCTCGTGGCTTTGCTGCGGTGTTGGTGGCGCGAGTTGCTGTAGCTGCTGTAGCTGATCGAGTGGCAGCAGTCCCGCAGCAAGCTGGTGATGCAAAAGTGAATATGGCACCCCACATGAAGATTGAAGAATTGTTTGAGCTCTTTTACGTACCTGCCATTGAAGCGCGGTCTGGGGATCGAGGTTGGCAAAGAGGGAAGGGTAGGCCGTCAGCAGTGCTGCAAATTGCTGCAACGCCAGCTGTTGCTGCAGATAGGCCTGCTGCTGTGTTGGCGGCGCGAGTTGCTGTTGCTGCGGTTGCTGCGGTTGCCGCCCCGGCTCGGAACTTGCTCCACCACTTCCCACTGCCCCTCCTCGCATCACAGCCATCAAGCTCTGAATCACCCTCTCATCCATCTGAGCAAGGACTTGTTTCTCTTTGTTTTCTCCTCCGTTTTTCATTTTCTCTTTGTTCTTATTCTTGGATCGCTGGTGCGCATCATCTGCTCGTTTGGTCGATTTCAGTGAGTGGCGGCTTGTGGTCACAATTGAGTCTCCTCCAGCAATTAGTGGTGCAGACGGCGCTTCTCTGACGCCAATCATGTTGGCAGAAGACGAGGAGGAGGCTCGCAAGAGCACATCCCTGAGTCCGGATGGGTTCTACGATCTCATCGCCTGCTGCTATGAAGAGTACGCCTTGCCCATCTCCTGCAAATAAAATAAATGGTCATCAATAACTTGATTTACGTGCCTGCCGTTCGCACAGCCTGCTGGTGGTGGACATCCGGTCCGCCGAGGACTTTCGTGGGTGCCACGTGCGCGGCGCCGTGCACTTTCCCTTCAGCACCGACCAGGCAGGTTCGTGTAAACACTCACCCTCCCGTGGCTTACAAAGCAGCGCAATAGCCAACGCGTGCGTCGTCCCTCTTTCTTTGGTACGTGCAGAGTCGAAGCGGCACAAGGCCATCCGGTTCTACAAGGAAATGCGCAGGCTCGAGCGAACGGTAAGTGACGACGTAGTTCAGTTGTGCCGTTGCGTCTGTTCTTGCATGAGCAGTAGTGCTGAGTACGTGCTTTACACTGGATGGCTGGCAGTGGTTTACTCGTGTAGTCGTGGTCTCCGATCTCGACGATCCCCTGACCGAAGAGGCCGACACCATGCCCGTCTCGCCCACCTCAACCCGATCTTGCTATTCCAAGGGTACCCACCACCTCCAGCCATTCGCCTGTCATGTGGCTCACCATCGCCTTGCGGACGTCTCCAGGTCTGGAATTTGCCGATGTCATCAAGAATGCCCCGGGCATGAAGCACATCGTCGCCATCTGGGTTATCGATGGTTCGAGCTTGCTTTGGTCTTACTTCCTGGTTCTCTAGAGAAGACTCACCGTCGTCTACTATTGCTGGCCCATAGGAGGATTCGTGAGCTTCAAGAAGAAGTATCCCTATCTGTGCGTCTCGAGCATTACTGTCAAGCGTGAGGAACCTCTCTTCCGGGACGCCACCCGCAAGATCCAGGAGTACTACGCCAGCATGCCGCGCGATATGAAAGTCCCCTTCGCCTCCTCACTCGCCTCACCATCTTCATCTTCGTCCACATCACCCTCATCTTCTGCACCATCATCTACATCGTCTTCTTCTACTACTACTACTTCCTCAGCGTGTACGAACGAGGCGTGCATGGTGGAGGGTTGTACAGCTCCGGCAGCGCGTCCGGTGCGCTCGCTGGCGTCGGCGTCCAAGTACATCAAGTGCAACCCGTGCAAGTGGCCCAGCAAGCTGGTCGACGACTTCCTGTACCTGGGCGACTACGAGACTGCGTGCAACCCTCTGGCACTCAAGGCCCTGCGCATCGGGCGCGTCATCAACTGCACGCCCGATCGTATCAACCTTTGGGAGAAGCGGCCCAGGAAGAGACGACGGATCGAACATGCCACTGAAGGAGACGAAGACGACGGAGAGCGGAGTGAGGGCACCAAGAGCGATACCTCATCGACATCTCCACCATCGCCAACACCGACATCGACATCATCGCCGTCGATACCCGCATCGCCGTTGCCTTCATCGACAGCAACGCCACCCGAAGAAAACGGGGAGGAAGAGGAGGTGGCCGAGGAACCGATGGCGAGCGTCCTCTTTCCAGATGTGAAGATCGACGAATATTTGAGGTGAGCGCCCACGCTTGCTGTCTGCTTGTGTTGTGCTCGTGACTAATGGCAAATGTTCTCTGGTGCGACCAGGATCGCGGTGCTCGACAACTACTGCGACAACATCGCCAGCTATTTTGATACGTCGATCGCGTTCATTGGTACGCGCTGTGCAACAGCACCGGCTTCTGAGATTTGCTCATCACCTCTACGTTTCGGCTTGCAGAGAAAGCAAAGGAACACTCGCAAGCTGTGCTCGTGCATTGCGCCCAAGGTTCGCCCAACATAAGCGCCCGACTCCTGATCATGTTACTTTCTTCCTCTTCTTCTTCCTGACGTTCTTGTGTAGGCATCAGCCGCAGCGTGACGATAGCCATCGCCTATCTCATGAAAGTGGAGGTACACCTCGTCTCTATGAGTTGTCCTGCTGGTGGCATTACTTACGAACGCTCCACAACGTAATGTGCACGACCCCGTCCTTGTAGGGAATGTCGTTGCGAGAGGCTCACGATTTCGTGCGCGCCAAGCGACCGGTCAGCAAGCCCAACGTCGGCTTCCTCAAGCAGCTCTCTGCCTTCGAACTCCAACTACGCGGCACCACAAGCATGCAGACCTGATCCACCAATTCCAGTTGCGTTGGGAAGCCCTGTAAGGATTGTTCAATCAGCAGCAAAACAATCATGTCGACCTGACGTTTGAGATCACCCTCAGCATCACGAAGATGACGAAGTTGGTGGTGAAGTCGAGGTCGAGTGTGGCAGCTCCGCCGACCTACTTCCGCCGCACGATGGATACGTTCGACTTTAGTGAGCACGACGAGCCACTGCCTCCCGCCCGTGCGACGTCGACGCCGGGACTCAAAAAGAAGGCTCAACGGGAATCCAAGAAGGCCGAAAGGGAAGCCCAGAACAGAAACAAGAAGGCAAGATCGGCAGCAGCCACAGAGAAGCAGGAGCAGAGCAAGCCAAGGAAACTGCACATCAAGTGAACATGTTCCCCTTTTTCGTCGAGCCGCGGTTCGAGAGCTTCATTCTTCTCCAGCCGCCATCGGATTCCCACCCGTTCACCGTGAGTCAACTTAGAGGCCGCCAGGTCGTCCAACACCACGCGCTCGCCTGGACGAGCAGCTTTCCTGCAGGAAGCCAACCTTTTCGGCGGGAGCGGCTGTCTGCCTGACGCGGCCCTGTTGACTTTCCTTTCTTGAACGGTCATTCCTTACTTGGCAATGGGATTCTCTGAGATGCTGACGTGTCCAGCAAATAAAGGGATTTTTCCGGGTGTCGTTTTACCAATTCGGAGCTCTGTCGCCCACTCACAAGCGTTGCGTACTCCGCACGCGTGGCGCAAGGCCCCTACATAAGTTGCAGTCGACGAAGAGAGACCATTCTCAACAACCACCTCGCCAGCACCACAACAAGTAGAACATCACAACAGCTAACACCCCCACAGCAGCTAACATCGCATCACACATCACCATGAGCTTTCTCGTACGCACACTCGGCCGCCTCTTGTCGACCGCTGCCTCAGCACCCACCTCGACCACTACTGCTACCACAACTGCTTCTCGCCCCACCACCATCTCCACTACTACTACTGCGATGACGTCGTACACCACTCCCTCGTTGAACGTTTCAGACTTCTTTTCTTTTGATGAGGAGAACCACGATATCACGACCACCTCCTCGACCATCGCTGAAGAAGACGACTTCTGCCTCCTCGCCGAGCAGCACGAACACGAAGCCGAAGAAGAAGACATCGCCTTCTTCTCGAAGGAGGAGGCCCTCGTGATGGCCGACTATTCGACCCTCGCCTACTTCCCCCTGGCCGACAACTGCAAGGCTGACCCGAGCTTCACCGTGAGCCGCTTCGAGACCGACCTTTCAACGGCCTACGTGCGTGCCCAGGGCTCGCGCGTCGTCATCACCTACAAGGGCACCGATACCGCGACGGACTTCGCCACCGACTTCACCCCCTGGCCCGCCGCCTGCCCCGAGCTTCTGCCCGAGGGCGGGCGCGTCCATTCGGGCTTCCTCGCCGCCTTCCGAAGCACCTGGCCCCAGGTGCGCGCCACCATCGAGACCCACGCCGCGAGCCAGGGCCTCTCCATCGCCGAGCTCGACGTGACGGTTACCGGCCACAGCCTCGGAGCGGCGCAGGCCACGCTGGCAGCCCTCCAGATGGCGCAGCTCGTGGCGGCAGTGGACCAGATTCGCTTGGTCACCTTCGGCTCGCCTCGAGTGTTCACGCACGCCGGCGCGGCGTTCTTCAACAAGCTCGGCCTCGGGGCGCGAACGCTTCGCGTGGCGGAGAACGACGTCGATCCGGTCACCATGGTGAATCTCGGATCTTTGGGCTTCAAGCATGTGGGTCTCAATCTTCGCGTGGAGAAGCCCGCCGCCGCTTGGCACCATCTCATGGACGGCTACACGGGCGGCTTGTTGGCGGCCGCCTTCATCCCCACGTACGCCGTGGGTTCCCGCCGCGCCTTCCTCTACACCTGCCGCCGCATTCTTCGCCTCATCTAATGAGTCTAGTATCTCTGCCGAGGCGATCTGATCTCATCTTGTCAATACAACATCGTCAATACAATAATCGTTTGACCATTTTCATAATCTTGTTCGCTTGCACTCGAACGGCCAGAGGCTTTGGGTGGTTTGCTCTCTCGATGTGTTAATGACGGTGGAATTGTCCATAATTGTTCAAAAAAGCGATTAGCTGCCGAGATAGTCGACTTCGAAGTGGAAGATGTCCATTGGGCGAAGATGTCGGGACAAACAAAAAAGATAAAGAAAAAGGGTAAGAAACAGCAACGGATAATCTCGAAAAAGTCGAGTTGAATGGAAAGGAGGATGAGCTTCGTGGGCAGCAGTCTGGCGCGGTTCTTTGTGTTTGATCCGAGGCTGGGGCCGACGGAAGAGACAGAACACGAAAAGATTCTTTACTACTGGCCCCCCTCAACCCCGCTCAATCGCCAACAATCCGACATTGGCCTGAGCGAGGCCCTCATTAACTTCACAAGGTGCAGTCCTTCACCATCAGATCTTCCATGCTCTTCGATTATTCAGATTGCCTTTATTGTGCATTTTAGGACCTTTTCAAAGGATCGACCATGTGAAGCCGTGCACTTGGAGAAGACCAGACAGGCCTTCTATGAGTGCGAGCCCGACATTTGGATGGTCCTGGTATGCGTGCACATCTCCTTCAGGGTACCCTTCCATGTGCGCCGCGCAGTGACTAAATGCTTCTGCTGCCTTTTGGTGCGGCGTCTGTGCTGGCTTGCGTAGGCGGCCAACAATCCGGCCACGGCGCGCGTGAAGGACAGCGTGACAACAAACGAATACGAAAGTGAAGAACTGTCCGATGCCACACTCCAGAGGGTGGTCGAGCAGGCCTACAAGACCTTCCGCGTACGACCACCTTTGTGCGGTGGCGCAAGTTGCGGTGTGCGGTGTGTGCGTGTTGTGTTCGAACTGACACGCCCCGGTCCGCCACCAGCTCTTCAATGGGAGCATGGCTCAGATCGTCCGAGAGAGCAAGGAGGACGGGCTTCGCGAGAAGCTCTCCGACTTCTTCGGTCACTACGCGCCCACCATCAACTTTAAAACGGTCGACCTCTTCTCCGCTCTCGACGGCGTTCACTTCCTCCCGGTCGACAAGAACGTGTACCTGCGGATCCAGTCGTTCGTCAATTGGACGGAGAACAACTTCCCCAGCATCGAGTACTCGTGCTTCCTCTATCGGTACCTACCAGTCCTTCCACTTCCACTTCCACTTTCGCCTGGCTTCTCGTTTAACCCGCCCCGGGTGCACGGTTGCAGAGATCACTTGGTTTGGAGTGGGTTGGAGCAGGAGGACATGCGCATCATGTACGTATGCCGTTACTGGTGCTGTGCAGTCAATGTTGACTACACCCCGTGTGGTGGTTTTCGCTGACAATAAGAACAACAACAACAACCGTTCCGTTCGTCTAGGTATCACTACTTGGTGAACCACCTGCTGCCGCCCTTCAAGAAGTGGAAGGACCCCAAGCAGCAAGTCTGGCCGGTGCGCCTCCTCTCCTTCCTCTTCGATGTGGCTACAGGCAGGCATCGCGCACGTGCTAAACACTAAAATTACCTTCTTCACGTGCGTAATAGATCGTCTCGCCCACAAGCAAACCCAACGCCGTGCCCTACTTCTTCCTCAAGTAACCGATCCCTTCACTCCATGGTTGGTGGCTCTCACGTTTGGCTGACATGTCAGCCCTCTTCTATTGGGGCAGGTGTTTGTTTGACGGCAAGTGGGACGGCTACATGCAAGCGCCGCAGGGCGTACAGCCTACGGTCGCAAGTCTGCCCATGCATTGCCCCCGCATTCAGCTGTCACGGTACACAACTCTTTTTTGCGCTCTCCCTTCACGCCCTTCCCTGATCTGACACTAGACGGACATGACACACAAGCCCGCACCAATATCACACGGCGAGCAACGGCCAGCAGCAGGCGCAGACTGCTCCCGATGGCGATTTCTACAACCTCATCATCTTCCAGGTACGGCAAGCGCCTGTACTTTCTTGGCGCCGTCGATGTCGCCTCTGACCACAATTGTGGTCTGTCTGTGTGTTGCATCGCGTGTGGGGGCGGGGATGGCAGATGTTGGACACGACGTGCCTGTTCCTGGTCAGGGATGCGACCAAGTTGGATGCGCGCTTCTTCACCGAGCTCCGGACGTTCGTCACCCCACAGCTGGAATTCCTCACGCCCATCCTCACCGACCACTGGACCAAGAAGCAAGGGTACATGTGGTGCCCACACTTTAACTTTAGGGTGCTGCCTGGCCATTGCTGACAGCCAGATCACCTCGAACGTAGTTACGCTGATGATTATCGCTACATCTACTTCAACCACATGAACCTGGCCCTCAAGACATCGATCAAGAAGAAGGGTACTCCCTCCTCCCCGACCTCTTCTTTTTCTTGCGGCTGCTTACGCTCTTCTCCTTCATCCGGTTAGGTCTCTCCATCACACGAGAGCACATGAAGATTCTCACCGATATGCATGCGGACTTCGAAAAGTGCGTAGCATTCGTGGACGACACACAAGCGCGTATGCGAGCCACAGCAAACTGATGACGTTCGTGCGCGGTGTGTGCGTTCAGAGCGACTGAGTGTGTGACGGAGCTGATGGTGCGCACGCAGAATGATGGCTGGGTGGTCGGCCGCAAGTCCGATCAGAGGGAATTCTATGTCATCTTCGACCAAAAGAACGCCAACCTCCTCGAGATCAACGGTTCGTTCTATGTCCCGTGTGTGCGACGTGTGCGGTTGGGCGTGTGCGATCCACTCACAATGTGCGCACGCACAGACGAGGTGCGGAAACTGTGCTCTACCTACTTCAACAACATCTTCATCGACTAGCCACCCAGGGACAGCCACCACCCGCCTTGGGCTCTGGACAGCTGTAGGGTGTTTTTTCTGACATCACCACTGGTTGTGTTGGTGTTTATTTATGGTTTCGAAACAGAAGATAACAAGATGTGTGAACAGCACAGAGAAAGATGGCAAGGATGAGACGATTAAGATGAAATACACGAATTGCAAAGATTGAGAGATGCGATTTAGAGATTGTGGAGGGAGCAAAGGAGTCCACTTACTAGTAGAGGGAGCACCCTTTAGTCGGCTTGGACCTCTTCCTGTCGGTCCACCCGCGCGCCTGTCGATACTTGCGAATCTCCCGCACCACCTTGAAGAAGCACTCCTCTGTGTTGATGCGCTCCTTGGCCGAGGCTTCGAGGAACGGGCAGTTGAAGGTCTTGGCCAGCTTCTCGCCCTCCTCCTTCGATACCACCCTCTTCTCGGGGGCCAGATCGCACTTGTTGCCCACCAGTATCATCGGAACATGAAGCTCGTTCTTCACCCTCGAGATGTGCTTGTGAAAGCCTGCCATCTCCTCGAAGCTGTTGCGATCGGTGATGGAGTAGACGCAGAGGAACCCCTCTCCCTCGCTCATGTAAGAGTCGCGCATCGCCACGAACTCCTCCTGGCCTGCCGTGTCGAGGATGTCCAGGCGGCACGCCTCCCCATCGATCTCGGTGTCGTATCGATACGAGTCCTCGATGGTCGGGTTGTGGCTGTCAACGTATTCCTGGTGCGTGAGCTGGATGGTGAGCGCCGACTTACCAACGCCACCCGGTCCCAGTACCACCAATCTGTATTCCATTCCTATTCCTTCTCCTTCTTCTTCTCCTCCTCTTACAAGACTTCCTCTTCTCCTCTTCAACCTACCACAAGATGATGCCCATCAATAACAGAAATTCTGGGCTGACGTCAGCCCACCTTCACTTCTTCCAAACGGCACACTTGGCTTTCCTTTCCACACAAATAAACGTCGACCACTGAAAAACTTGCTTGAGTTGAACACAACAATACGTTCACCAGGTGGTTTCGAGGTTCTGGTCGGTGCCGGCGAAGAGCTGGTTGGTGAAGGTGTGGGTCGCGGAGAAGAGGTTTGTGTTGTTGATGGCGCTGGTCAGCACCGGCCCGGGTTCGGGCACTCCTGCACCGTTCTCCACATCGCTGTCCTCCCGTTCCTCCTCTTCCTCCTCTTCCTTTCGTCGTCGGCGGAATGCGATCGCGGCCGCTGCTACAAGGCAGCAGCAGCACATCGAGATGAGCGCCAAAGGAATGGCCGCGCCTGCAGCGATTCCCACTGTCATCCCGTCCCCGCTGGACTCAGACACTGCGATGGGTCGCTGGCTAGGTGTTGCCGATGGCGAGTTGGAGGGCGTGAAAGTGGACGACGGGGTGACGGTGGGAGTGGTCGTCGAGGTGGGCGATCGGGTCGGCGATGCCGTGGCGCTGGTCGAAGTTGGCGTCAGCGTAGCCGAGGCGGTGGGCGACTGGGAAGGAGTCGAGGTGGGAGTGGTGGTCGCGCTGGCCGACGGCGAAGGCGAGTTGCTGGGCGTCGAAGTGGGCGTGACCGTGGAAGTGGCAGAGCTGGTGGGCGACGCCGTGGGGCTGGGCGACGGCGTCGGCGTCAAGGTCGCTGAGCAGGTCGGCGAGATCGACGGCGAGGAGGATTGGGAGGGAGTCGTCGTGGGCGTGAGGGTCACGCTGGCCGACGGAGAAGGCGAGTTGCTGGGAGTTGAAGTAGGAGACACCGTGGAGGTGGGGGAAGGGGTAGGGGTCGGCGAAGTCGAAGATGTGGGCGAGACCGAGGGCGAGGACGACTGGGAGGGAGTAGTCGTTGGCGTGAGGGTAACACTGGGCGACGGCGACGGCGAGTTGCTGGGTGTCACCGAGGAGGTGGGAGATGGCGTTGGTGTCCGTGTCGCCGAGGAGGTGGGCGATACAGAGGGCGAGGGCGACTGGGTGGGAGTTGTTGTGGGCGAGGCCGTGGGCGAGTTGCTGGGCGTTGGAGTAGGCGTCACTGTGGAGGAGCTGGTTGGCGACGCGGTTGCACTGCGCGAGGGCGTCGGCGTAACTGTCCCGGTGGACGATGGCGACTGGGAGGGCGAGACCGTAGGTGTGGGGGTGGCCGACGGTGAGGGCGACGATGTAGGCGACTGCGTAGGTCTCGGAGTCCCCGTCACACTTGACAAGGGTGACGGCGTGGGCGTAGAGGTGGGTGAAGTCGTCGGTGTCATAGTTGGCGTCGACGTGGGCGTCAGCGATACCAACGGAGGGGTTCCGGACGTCGAGGGCGTGGCCGTGGGCGAGGAGGTGGGGGTCATGGAGGGGGTGAGTGTGGGGGAGGGTGAGGCGGTGGGCGTCTGGGTGGGCGTGGCCGTCCGGGTCGGAGTCTGCGAGGGGGTCACCGACGGTGTCGGCGATGTGGTCGGCGTCATCGACGGCGTCGGCGACGGAGACGGCGGTACCCAGCAGCGACTCACTGAGTACTTGGTCGTCAACACCGTCGAATCCGAATCACCTGCGGAATCAACCAAACGCAGGCTCTGAAGTCAGCAACGCAAAACTAAAGATTGGGGCCGAAGGCACGCACTGGAGTCAGTGATGAAGGCCAGCGAGTAGTAGCTCACGGAGTAGATGTTGGAGGAGATGAGGGTTTGGCTCTGTGGCGGCGAGAAGTAGAGGAGGTAGGAGAACTGGACCGAGGTTGCGCTCGTGGTGAAGTTGGTGATGAAGATGTCGAACCAGGTGCCCGGCGAGGGCGCCGCCTCGCTCATCCTCCAGTTTAGTTCATACAACAACTATTAGACAACGACATTGGTTGTTAGATCAGACAAATTAATTGCTGCAATGTAGTAGTGGCGTACATCGTCTTCGGTGCCGAGACTCGTGAACGGCGCGCTGTTGGAGTAATCGGCGGAGAAGCTCTGCAGGCACTGGCCGTCGACCAGAGGGGTGGTAGAGGGCGTGGACGACTGCGACGGCGTGGTGGAGGGCGTGATGGTTGAGGTGGGCGACCGCGTCGGGGTGGGGGACCGTGTCGGGGTGGGCGTCGGCGTCGGTGTCCGGGAGTTGGTGGGCGTCACACTGGGTGATGGAGTGGCCGAGCGGGAAATGGAAGGTGTAGGGCTGGGCGTTCGGGTGGGGGTTGGTGTGGTGCTTGTGGTGGGCGTCACCGACGGCGTCACCGAGATGGTCGGCGTGATGGACGGCGAGGGCGAGTTTGTCGGCGACTGCGTGGGTGTGGTAGTGGATGTGGGCGATTGGGTGGGCGTCTGCGTCGGAGTGGTGGTCACACTCGGCGTGGGCGAAGGTGTCAGGGTATTGGTGGGCGTGACCGACGGCGTCGGCGAGTTAGACGGGCTGGTAGTAGGGGTGGTGGTGGGCGTCCGCGAGATTGAGGGGGTTGTAGATGGTGTGCGCGAGTTCGACGGCGTTGTGGAAATGGTTGGGGTGGGCGAGCGGGTAGGCGTGCGGGTCGGGGATGGCGTTCGCGTGGGCGAGCGGGACGGACTGTTGCTCGCCGTGATGGACGGGGTGACTGAAATCGTGGGCGTGATGGATGGTGTGGTCGAGATTGTAGGGGTGGTCGAAGGCGACGGCGAGTTGGATGGCGAGTTGCTCGGTGTACGCGATCTGGTGGGCGAATTAGTGGGGGAGACCGTGGGTGTGAGGCTCGGCGACGGCGTCAGCGAAATCGAAGCGGTGGGCGACGGCGACACCGAGGGGGTGGGCGATAAGGTGGGTGACGGCGTAGGCGACGTCGTAGGAGAGTTGGAGACCGAGACCGAGGGTGTGGGCGACAGAGAGATGGAGGGGGTCGGGCTGAGAGACACCGAGGCCGTGGCCGAGGGCGACGGGGTTGGGGTGACGCTTCTCGTGACCGATGGCGTGGGCGAGCTGGTCGGGGTAATGGACGACGTAGGGCTGGCAGTGGGAGAGATGGAGGAGGAGATCGAAGGAGAAGGGGAGACGCTGATGGAGGGGGTGATGGAGGGGGTCGCAGAGGGGGTTACGGAGATGGAGGGTGTGGTGGAGGGCGTGGGTGAGACCGACCGCGAGATGGAGGGGGTGGGAGACTGGGTGCGCGAGGGTGATGGTGATGGCGACGGGCACGAGGCTGTGAAGTTTACTGTGATCGTCACCTGTCCCGCCACAGTGGCGCACAAGGTGGACATCACGTTGTTGTTGATGCCGTTGATTTCGATCTTCTTAGATGAGGTGGGCACGTAGGCAGGGTCGTAGATGATGTATGACATCTTGGCCGACTGCCCCGTTGTCACGAACGTGAGCCCGTTGTTCCAATTGTAACTGTGGCATGCACAAGGGTCAGTCATCGCAGAACTTGGCAACTGCCACGTGCGAGGGGAGCGGGCGGAGACCATACCTGGCGCCAAAGAGAGCGTTGGCCGTGTATTGGGTTTGGAGGAGGACCTGTACTGTCTGAAGGTCGGCCGAGGCGACAATGTCGGTCGAGCTGCACGCGGCACCCACGTAGAGGGTACAGCTGACCTGGCCGAGGGTCACTGCCAGAGAGTCTGAGCCAAGGACTCGGAACACAGGGGTGTGTGGGTGGGAGGTACCAGGAATGATGTGTGCTAGTAGAGTGAGGAGGACCAGCAGTAAGAAGAACTGTTTATGGTGAGGAGCCATTGTGGATGTGTGTAGATGCGTTGTGCTCTTGGAGGCTCGCGGCGAGGTGTCCCGTTGTGGTTGAGTGGTTGTGGAAATAGTGCTGAGTGGAGACTGCTGAGTGAGGTTGGCCCGTTGGCCGGCAACAGCGCAGTCCTAGCAGCAATGGCAGTCATTCCCAGGAGGTGATCGTCGTGATGGTACTGCCGGTCGTTAAGAAACCACACCTACTCTCTTTGGAGCACACACCGACGGGGTTGTTGCTGTCTTTGGCTAGAAAAGGATAACCAAAATTCGGTTGCTGAGCAACTGCTCTGTAATTTGAATATGCAGGGCAGCGGGTTTCTCTGCAACTACTGAGCTAACGAAACAGTTGACGAAACGTTTCGAATCACAATTAGTAATTAGAGGTGATGCAACATGATAACCTGTTCCGTAAGAAAGTGAGATGATTGATAGTTGAGGGGCAGGGCAACATCAGGGCAGCAACTGGGCCGCTTGGTGCGAGACCGGGGGTGACACACTTACGTATGGTGAACTTCTCTCATGCAACCCTATTTCGGCAGAATGCAGGCGATGGCATTGACAAAGCGTCACAAATGGCGAAGACCAGGTGTGCGGCTGATCTCTCCCGTACAGCGGGGTGAGAGTTCTAATTCCTGGCTTGGCTTCTGGCCTGGATGGCGCTGACTCCTCCCACAAACCACCTCTGTTTGTTCGTTCTTGCCGAATGCCACCTGTGTCACTTCAGCTAACCGATAAAAGAAGAAGGTGGGCAGACCCTCTTCTGCGCCCCTTGCTTTCGCTGCTTTACCATCAACAACAGATCATCTTCACCACCACAACAATGAAGATTGCCATCGTCTTACTTTTGGTCTCCCTTGTGGGACTATCGCTGGGCGCAGCGCCGGCTCCGTCGGGCTGCAGCTGTATCTCAGTCCAGAACGATCAGACCGCCAAGACCTTCACCGTCTCCCTCAAGAATTGCCCATCGGGCCTCAGCCACGTCAACGTGCCCGCCAACATCCCCACCCAGGGGTCCTGCCCTCCCTTGACCGTCACGCTCAAGAGCACCGACTGCCCTGGGTACACGCCGCGATCTTGGTGTTGATGAAGAAGATGATGAGCTTACGAAGAAGAGGACGGGCCACCACACAACATAGTGTGTCGCAGCAGAGCGGGTCGAGGTTCTGCTCCAACTCGGACATCACGGTCCCGCCGTCCTACTTCCAGATCCAGGGCATGGAGGGACACGACTGTCAGGCCGTCTTCCAGTGGTCTGGCCCCGCCACAGCCGTACGTGCTCCCCACGTAATCGAGTTGTCATGTGTTGCTAATGTGGGAGTGTGACGTGGGGCGAGGCCAGACGGTGAGCACGGCGCAGATCTTCGTCAAGCAGATGAACAACTGCGGCTTCTGCGGCGGCGCCGGGTCGGTGCCGCCCTGTCCGGCCACTTGCCCGCAGCCCTGCCAGTGCGGCAACGGCCAGGTCGAGACTGCGTGCAACGAGGACTGCGACTGCACCACCACCGGCGGCGTCACCAAGTGCTTGGACAAGAGCAGGAACGAGGTGGACGAGGGCTGCTGCGTCAACTGCCAGTTCGTGGTCAGCGGCCAGTCGTGCAAGATCAACCCCACGACCAAGACCACGACCGTTTGCACGCTGTGCCCGAAGACTCCGCCGGGGGGCACGCTGGGCAACTGCTGCGCGACCTCGACAGTCCCGTGCTGCCTCCAGAAGGACCGCACCTGCAACGGCATGGGCCACTGCCAGGACTCCAAGTGCACCGTCACTCCGGGGGCTTGCTGAAGCCGAGCAGACACACAAAGGAAAATGTTGAAGGAAAATAAATAAAAGAACCTGATTAGATTAGTGCCACGTAGCGCTACATCAAAAGAAGCAGACCAAGCACCGTTGAATAGGCCAAAGCATGGGTTCGTGGCAGCCCGATTTTTCTTTCACTTGTGGATGATCTCTGATGATTTCTTGATGATTGGACCCAGGTAATCTCTTCTCGAGCCTCTTTTCGCAACTCTTCGGATGGAACAAGGATGTACGAATCCTCATCCTCGGCCTGGACGGTGCTGGCAAGACCACCATCCTCTATCGCCTGCAGTGCGGTGAGGTCGTGTCCACCCTCCCCAGTACGTGTCCCCCCTCCTACCCCTTTCACCGTGGGGCCATGGTGTACCCTCAGCTGACCTCGGACGGTGGTGGCTCCTGCCTGTGGCACGCGGTGGACAGCGATCGGCTTCAACATGGAGACCGTGACCTACAAGAACGTCACCTTCCAGGTGTGGGACTTGGGCGGCCAGACCTCCATTCGGTACCTCACCGCACACGACGCGCATGACACACGGCACACGACACGTACTCACGAGGGCATGCAGGCCATACTGGCGGTGCTACTATGAGAACGCAACGGCGGTGATCTATGTTGTGGACAGCTCCGACTCCGAGCGATTGAACATCTCCAAGGACGAACTCATGGCCATGCTCAACGTACGCTCCACCCTCTGCTGCGCTGCGTTTCGTGTGGTGTCGCGCCGTGTGCCTTTAGTAGCGCGTGACGTGCCATGCGACGAATCCTGACGGTCGTGGGCGCTGCAGGAAGAGGAACTGAAGAAGGCGGCGCTCTTGGTGTTCGCCAACAAGCAGGACCTTCCCGGGGCTCTCACAGAGGCGGAGGGTACGTACTCGCAATGAGGCCTCAGCTGCAGCTTCACCCCTGCGATGAGCCGCCGCCCGCCTCATACCTCTCTGCTCGCTCGTGTCACAACAGTGTCCAACGCTCTGGGCCTCGATACGCTCAAGCAGAGGCAGTGGGCGATTTTCAAAACGTCGGCCATCAAGGGAGTTGGTACGCTCTCTCTCCCTCTTCCCCTTACGCTGCTGCATGTCGATCCGCACGCGGTGACGAGGCATACAACCAAGCAACCAACCCCCCGCTTACCTTTATCTTCCTCTCCGCGCTGCTCAGGTCTGCACGAAGGCCTGGACTGGTACGCATACCCCAAAGCGGTCTTCAAACTTTACTGGCCTTCGGGCGTTCTCATTTCGTGTGCGCGCACATCACACCAGGCTCGTGAACGCCATCAGCGCGGACAAGTAGGGCGCCTGGTCGGTCCACCAACCCGCCCCTTTGTCCCTCCTCCCCAACCCTCCCTTTTGTCGAAATTTTGCTCCTCCTTTACTTTGAAGTTCAACGCCGCGTGGACTGCTATGCAGACACGCCTTCCCACACCTCCACCCAGCCTTTTGTTTACTTCTTCATTTATTTAGTTGATAAATGTTTCTCTCTCTCATTCTCTCTGCTTCCCTTCTTCTTTGCCGCTCTGACGACGGGGCTCTGAGGCCTAGGGGCGACTTCCCTCGCTGGATTGGAGCCTCTCGATCCTGTCGCCCAGCCGGCCGGTGTACTGTTCGGGTGCGCCGCCACGCCTCAGCCTCTCCTCTTCGAGCTCTCTCAGGTGCCTGATCATCCCCGCCGTCTGCTCGCCCTTCCTCACGCGCTCGTCCTCGCCCTCTCTTTCCCTGCACCTCCCCACCGTTATCACACATGCGTGCATGCGTGCGGTCTCTGTGTCGTGCGTGTGTGGCGGTGTGTGTGGTGGTGCGTGCCTGAGGCGTCTGAGCCTTTCGCGCTCCTCGATCTCCTTGATCTCTTCCCTGGAAAGGTAGTGCTCCTCCTTCATACCGTACTCCTGAACGCGCCTCTGCCGCTCCTGCTCCTCGAGCTTCTGGATCTCCGCCACGCTCGCCCCGTGCTCCTCCGCCAGGAAGAACCCTGCATCCACACACAACACGACACACACTCGCCTTCAGCTCACCGCACACGCACACGAGACACGCCAGCGTGCGGTGCCTTTGATGACGATGACGTTGCAGGGCGCGTTCTCCATGACATGCTTGGAGGTGGAGCCGACGACGAGACGTGAGAACCGGTTCATGCCGCGCCGACCGATGACGAGGAAGTCGATGCCCTTCTGCTCAGCCGCGACGCATATCATCTGCCCGATGTGGCTGCCGCGCGCCAGGATGGGCTTGTAGTTCCGCACGCCCTCCTCCTCGCACCGACGGCCGTACTCGAGCAGGTGCTTCCTGTGCGTCTCCTCGATCTCATCGCTGTATCTCTGGTACTTTCCTGCAGCCCGCGCCCTTAGCATCACACACGCACACGCACCCACGCACACGCACACCAGGGAGGGAGGGAGGGATACCGACGGAGAGTGGAGTGCTCTGGACGGTGGAGATGAGGAAGAGGTCGTCGGTTCTCTTGTTCATGAGGTTGAGCGTGGTGTAGAACGCCTCCCGCGCGTTATCCGACCCATCCAATGCGACCATCCACTTGTACATTCTCGCCTTTCTTCTGCGCGCGCGTGTTGTACTCTGCGGTTGTGTGTTGTGTGCTTCGAGCGCAGAGATAAGAGGGGCGGCCCTCGTTAGTGCTCCCTCTGAGCGGCCATCGGCGTGCGAGATCCGCGCGGCGGGCTGCCGACTCGCCGTCCGTCCGCTCCCCCCTCTGTCCACGACATTCCACCCACCACCGCCCGCCTTTCCACCAAACACAAAAACTGTGGATTGATAAAAAGCACATGGAAACTAAAGGAAATTATGATTTCCCTTATTTTCCTGTGAAAACTGGAATATTAATTAATTGCCTGACCGTTGCTCTACGCAGGCGAACCACGGCGTCATAGAAGAGAAGCTCTGCCTGGCGGAAGAAGGAACCGTTGCAGCCGGCAGGAGGGAGCACGCTACACGCGATTTGAAGGAAGAAGGAAGGAAGCAAGATGAACGCGAAGAAGGAGAAGAAAGATAAGAAGGGGTCGAAGAGCAGCAAGAAGGGAGGCGAGCAGCACCTCGACTTGGCGAAGCTGAAGGACAAGAAGGACAAGAAGGCCGAGAAGAAGGATTCGAAGAAGACGCCTCGTGATGGAAAGACCCCGCGAACTGACTCCAAGTCTCCGCGTGACTCCAAGGTACATCTCGATCTCCAAATCGCATCCGATCCGATTTCTTGCGCTACAACGATCGCGATTACGCCGTCATTTTTATAATAATGCGCTAATTCCACCACAACACCATCATCAGAGCCCTCGCGATCTCGGCAATGGCCGAAATACTTCGCCCCGTATGCGCACGACCCTCTCGGTACAGCCCATCTTCGCTCTTTGTCTTCGTCTTCGTCATTTTATTTGTTATTATTTATTTACACAAATTGACGATGTAATTAATTCTATTTTATTTGTTATTTATTTATTTATTTATTGATCGTTTGGTGCAGCCGCGTCCCACGTTCGAGGTGCCGGAGGAGATGGACGAGTGGGTGATCTCGGCCGAGAAGTTGCCCAACGCGGAGCCCGAGGACAAGACGCACCACCAGGAACATGAAGAGGAAGAGGTGAAGGGCAAGGGCAAGGAGAAGGTTGAATCCAGGAAGCCCATCCCCACCATCACGACGTCGACCTCCGAAGTGAAGGACGACGCGAAGAAGAAGACGACGAAGAAGAGCGACAAGAAGACGAAGACCAAGGATGCCGATGAGGAGGTGGCGGTCGAGACGGAGAAGAAGGCGGCGGCCAAGGCTGAAGTGGCGGAGGAGGACAAGAACGAAAACGGAAGTGGGGCGAAGAAGGCCAAGAAGACGGCGAAGGGAGAGAAGAAGGAGAAGGACGACAGCGGCAAGAAGAAGAAGAAGGTCAAGTCGGACGAGTGAAGGAGGACCTCTAGAGATGTCTTCAAGGGGAGGTGTGTGTTGATAGACGACGACGATAATGAGGATGGCAGGTGTCGGTGGTGTTCTTCGAGGAAGAAGGGAAGGTTTGAAACAACAACTCCTCATCATCAACTCTTGAGGCTACTCGATGATGAAAAAGAAGGTGAACAAGGAACACGCGCATGGTGGTGGTAGTAATACACGAGAGGTGATGTATTGGAGGTGTGTGCGCGCACAACGATGGAGAGTAGTGTGTAAACGCTCAACAAGTTGAGGAGGGTCTTTACTTGAAGAAGGCGAGCTTGTCCTTGAGCCACTCCTCAGTGAGCTCCTCGGTGGTCGCGACCGAGAAGAGCTGTACGGGACGAAGAAGAAGACGAGAGGACGATGAGCTTTCGAAGGGGAGAAGAAGGAGGAGAAGAGACGAACCTTCTGAACCTGGAGGGCCTCAGTGAGGACGGGCTTGGTGCTGGCGTAGAGGATGTTGAGCTTGGTGTTGATACCCTTGGGGCAGTAGAAGATGAACACCAGCGGGAAAGACACGCGGCCATCATCGTGCACCCACTTGTAGCTGCGTGCGTGTAGAGTGAAAGAACGGATCTTGAGTGATCCAAGATCGCCAGTGCACCAGAGTGAAGATGAGAGGGGGGGTTGGTAAGTATGGACCTGTAGGCGATGTAGCGAGGGGCCGACTCGGGCAGCTCCTCGGCAATGTCAAGGATCGAGACGTTCTCGAGATGGTGCTCCAACACAACCTCAAGGGCGTTCGGGTTGATCTTCACTGCACGCACCCAAGAGTCAACAATATTTAATGAATCGATTCATTAAATGCGAAAAAAAATGGGCGTACTGATGAAGGCATTGTTGGCCTGGTTCTTGCCGGTCTTAAAGGCCTTGAACTTGGTCTTCACATCATCACTGACGGTACAGGTCGTGGTCTGACCACCCTCTTGCTGCAAAGCCAAATGCAAGTGTCAAACGAAAACGAAATTTAACGAATGAAGGAATGAATGAATGATGGTCCAGGAGCATTCAGAAGTACGTACCGGAAGCATGAACATTCTTGTTGTTAGTTGGGATGAGACGATGATACAAGCTGGAGATGGAAGTGAAAGGCACCAGACGTAACTGTCGACCTGGTGCGTTCCTGCTTCATTTCCTTATTATTAATTATCATTTTTTGTCATTTTTGTTTTTTTGATTTGATAATACAGTGACATCTTGCATCTTGTGAGCCCCGTCATCTTCTTCCTTCTCGCTGTATGCAGACCACAGAGAAGATGGCTGTGGGCGAGAAAGCCGCACCATTCCGATTGCAAATTTTGTCCGATGTGCATCTGGAGATGAGGGAGGGCAAGCTGCCCGCGGTGCCCGCGACCGCCCCCTTCCTGGCCCTGCTCGGCGACATTGGCTACCCGCACGTTGGCGGCGACTATCAGCGCTTTCTCCTCCACCTCGCCGACCGACCGGCGCCAGCTTCATCATCTGATGTGGCACCCGAGGAGCGAGGCTGGGATCGCATCTTCGTGTTGGCGGGCAATCACGAGTACTACAAGGGCCACTACGAAAAGGTGAAGCCCATCATCGCCGGCGTGTGCGCCATGCGACCCGACAAGCTCATGTTCCTCGACCGCACCGCCGTCAGGCTCGTACTACTCACCGCCAAACACATCGCCTTCGCCTTCACCACCATCAACTTCTCTCACCTCTTTTGTGGTCCACGCAGGATAAGGAGGGTGTGTGGCTCCTCGGCTGCACGCTGTGGACCCACATCCCAGAATCCGTGCGTGTCGTGTCGTTGGTCGTGTGCGTGTCGTGTCGTGTCGTGTCGTGTCGTGCCGTGCCGTGTCGTGCCGTGCCATGTCGTGTCGCGCAGTCCATGGCTCACTCGCTACTCGCCACTGGTGAAATAGGAAGGGGCGGAGGCATCGCGCATGGTCAACGACTACTACAACATCAAGTACAACAAGACCAGGCACCACCACCATCACCGCCACCCCCTCCACCCTGCCCACTCGCGCTCACTGGTCTGACCAGGCTGAGCGTGGACGACACGAATGCCTTCCATGAGGAGGAGCTCAACTGGATCAAGGAGCAGGTGGACCGCATCACGGCCCAGCACGGGGACGACCGCATTGTGGTCCTCACCCATCACGCGCCCACGCCCAACTCGGTCAACCCGGCGCACCACTGCCTCGATGCCTCGGCCTTCACCGACCTCGAGGCCTACATCAAGGGTACGTGTGCACACGACACCCGCACACGATGTATTGGCTAACATGACGCACGCATACATGCGACAGCGCACACGCCACCGATCGCGGCGTGGGCCTACGGACACACGCACTGGTGCTCTCGAACGACGCTCGAGGGCGAGCGAGGCGGCCCCGGCTGTCAGGTGGTGAGCAACGCCATGGGCTACCCGCGCGAAACCATCCCCCACTTCGACATCACCTACGCCCTCGCCCTCCCCTCTTCTTGACCCAACCCACCATCACCATCACCACCTTCATCAACTCTTTCTAGTCCACAAAAAAACCCTATCATTCGTCTTCGTCTCCTCGTTCTACAGGGTCCCCTCTGGGACCGCATCATCGGAGCACCGCGGAGGTGGCTCAGTCGGCCTTAGCCGATCCTCCGTTCTCCGCCAACGCGGTCTGCCTCTTGCGCAGCCAGTACTCGGCCTTCTCCATGTCTCGCGCCACTGCACATGTGCGGATTCGGTGAGGATCACGCACGCACGCACGCCGGTAAAGTGCCGGTGTAAGTCCACGTACCGCCCTTGCCCTCTCTATAGCACTGGCTCACCTCGTGCATGCTGTCCTCATCGCCTCCCTCTGCCAGGCTCTTGAACAGGTTGAAGGCCTGGACGACGCGACCATCAGCATCATACACATCACCATCGGCATCGCCAGCTGACCGCCTGGCGATGGAGACAAGAGCAACAACGTACGTGGCGGTCGTCCCTGGCCTTGATCTCGTCGGACTGGTAGAGGATGGCCAGGTTGTAGGTGGCCATCTTATCGCCCTGGGCCGAGCTCTTCTCGAAGTACTTGAAGGCCATCTCCACGTCGCGCGGGAACACCCCGCCCACCTCGTTGTAGGCGTCGCCCATCATATTCTGCGCCGCCGCATGCCCACTACACCCCCGATCATCTCCGCTCAGTACCGCACACGCACACGCACACGCACACGCACACGACGGCACGCACCTGTCCGCGGCCATGGCAAAGTAATGGTAGGCGAGGGCGCAGTCGACGGGGGTGCCCACGCCGCGGCGTTGGCAGCACCCAACGTTGTACAGGGCCTTGCTGACCAGGGCGCCCTCCTGGACGCTCAGGCCCGATCGAACACGGCCGGTCTCGTCCAGCCCAGACTCCACCACATGCATGAAGTACCCCAGCGCCTTGGCCTGCGCACATGTGGGCGCGTTGTGTTGTTGTGTCAGCGCGCGTCTAGTCTCGTGTGCTGTGTGTCGTGCGTGGAGCGGGTGGGGTGTTGACCCGTTCTTCGCCCTCGTGGATCAGGTAGTACTTGCCCAGCTTGTACTGGGCCTCCGTCGATCCGAGATTACACGCGCGCAACAGCATCTCTGCCCGGTACGGATCCTCCGTGTCCATCATCCTGCCCAGCGCCGCCCATCCACCCATTAAGCAACACAAGGCCACACGCGACACGCACGCACACACGCACGCACACACGCACGTGCGCACACAGGGTGTGAGTGTACCTGGCGCGAGAACAGAGCTCGGTGGCGATGGTGTTCTGGAGTTGGTTGATTTCGTGGTGGAGGCGGTGGAGGTCCTGGTTGGACTCTTCGAGCTTGTCCCGCAGGCTTCGCGTGCCGGGGTGCTCGTCTACCACCTGCTGCAGGTCGACGCTCAGCTTGCGCGCCTCCTCCAGCTGCGCAATACACGCCTGGATCTCCTCCCACGCCCGGTCCAGGTCCACCTTCGTCTCCTCCCTCTCCCGCATCAACGCCGCTCTTCACTCATTTCATCAGCACACCGCACCACTGCACACCACACACTACACCGCAGGCGCGCGCACCCGGATTGCTGGAGAGCGTTGGATTCCTGGTGGAGAGCTGTGGTCTCCTGCTGGATGGAGAGGGCCTCGTGCTGGAGTGCCTCGAGCCTCTGTCGCTCGGCCTCCTGGGACGCGCGCAGCTCCTCCAGGCGGCGCACAAGGGCGCGCAGCTGCTCCTCGGCCTCCACCACACGCGCGTCGTGCTCGGCCAGGTTGGCCTCCTGCCGGGCGATCAGCGCCGCCTTCTCGCCGGCCGCGCGCCCCAGCAACTCGGCCTGGTCGTGCGCCCGGAGCAGCTCGTCCTCGATTTGGCTCAGCCGCTGGGCCTTCTCAAAGTGGCCCAGCTCGCGGGCGCGCACGTCGCGCAGGCAGCGCCGCAGGCGGCGTGCCGCCACCGGCTCGCTGCGGCCCTGGCGGATGGTCTTCTTGAGGGCCTTCCTTCTGCGACGCCAGCGCGCGACCGCGTCGCGGGTGGTGCGGCTGGGGATCAGGCCCGCCAGCGAGACCGGGTCTCCCTGCGGGCCGGGCACGGGCACGTCGTCGCTGGCTCGGTCGGCCGGCAGCCGCTGCTGGATCCAGGCCTGGATGGCGGCCCGTTCGTAGGTGTAGCCGTCGCCGGCGGTGACGACCGGGTCGTTCATGGCCTTGAGGGTGAGCGGGCACATGAGGTGCTGCGGCGTGGTGAACATGGGCGTGTTGAGGAGCTCGGTCAGGGCGGCGGTCAGCTCCGGGTCATCGTGCGGCTGATCGTCGTCAGCCTCTTCTACTTCTTCGACTGGCTCGGGCACTTGAGTATCGAGCGCCGCAAGAGGGACAGCGGTGGCCGACGCGATGGTGGGCGGCTTGGCTTGAGGAGATGGCGATGAAGAGGGGGAGATCTTGGGTGTGGGGACCGTAGGGCGCCCGTTGTTGTTGCGGCCGGGCGGCGGGGGCCACGTGGTGGGCGGTCTGGAGGGGAGGCTGGACGTGTGGGGCGAGGTCAAGGCTGCGCTGCTGCTAACGGACTTGCCCCGTTTGGCAGGAGGCGCGGTGCCTGCAGACTTGTTCGCAGCCTGGTCATGGCCTCGCGAGTTGTTGCTGCTGAGCGAGTGGTGATGTGCAGTGCTGGCCGAGGGGGACGATGCAGGAGAGGCAAGGGAAGAGGAAGAAGATGATGGAGAAGCAGAGGAGTGCTTGTCGCCGGTCGGTTCGAGTAGTCGCTTCCGCTTCCGGTTGTGGTACTGCTCCATGTCCATCACCATGCCCGACGCCTCGGACCTGCTCGACCTAGGTGTGTCCCCGTTCGTCGCTGCTGGCGTCATCTGTCGCTCCAGGTGCGGTTCCATCGCGCTGCCATACTGTTCTTCACTGTGTGCGTGGTCAGGCGCTATTGAGCCCTGCGACATGGTTCTGACCGGCGAGTTGATGGGAGAGTTGATGGGCGACACGTCGGGCAGGTCCTCCGCCTCGCTTCCATCGTCGGCTTCGGCGTACATAACCGGGGGGACTTGGGTGGAGGCGGCACCGGCAGTGGGAGGCTTGGTGGGCGATTGAGGCACGCCCCCCGGCAATTTGCCCCATAGAGGTGTGTTACCCATGGACCTGCGTGCAGGCTTCATCAAAACGCCAGGTGCTTGGTTTATTTCTTCTGTAGATTCAGGGCGAGGGTCATTTTTCATTTCTTCAATACACACAGAAAAGTAGTGGGTATCAGCACCTTATTGAACGAGCAGCGCGAAACGATGAGCTAGTAGAGTGCGAGATCGATTGTGCCCACTCGAGGTTCAGGCATTCATTTTTTAAATCAATTTCTTTTGCTCTCTTAGGAAATTGATCGCAATTAGGAAAGAGAAAAAACCGGTTCATCAGCGGTTGGCGGGCTTCACTTCACAGCGAGAGCTCTCTCGCGCCAGTGCCTTGCCGCCTCGCAGTCCTTTCTCACTGAGTATGAGCACGTATGTGCGTACATGTGAGTATGTGAGTATGCACCGCGCGAGCTGGCTTTGGTTTCGTACCACCCCTGCCTTCCTCGTAGCACCAGCTGAGCTTCAGCATGCTCTCCTTCTCTCCGCTCTCGGCCAGTTCCTTGAACAGCGCAAATGCCTGCCATCCACAACACGAACGTGAGCGATTCCATCCCCTCTCGCAGAAAGGTGACCAAAGAAAGAAAACTAACCTTTGGCTCGTCCCTGGCCTGGTCGGACAGAAGGAGGACGGCCAGGTTGTACTGGGCCGGTCGATAGCCCTGGGCGGCGCTCTTATGGAAGTACCCCAGAGCCAACTCCACATCGCGCGGCATCGCCGGGCTCATAATCCCGTCGTAGAAGCTACCCGCCATGTTCTGCGCTCGCGCGTGTCCTCTGTGGCGCTCACGTAGGCTCAGCCAATCCTAGTCCATCCGCACACGCACTCACTTACGCACGCAGACGCGCACACGCCACGTACCGATCGGCTGCGTTGCAGAAATAGCAAAAGGCGAGGGACGGGTCGGCCTGCGTGTGGATGCCGTACAGGTGGCACAGCCCGAGCTGGTACATGGCCTTGGTGGCCCACTCGTCCTGCTCTGCGTTCGGTTCCGCAATTCTCGTCAAGTAGGAGTACGCCTTAGCCTGCGCGACGCGTGCGACAGAGCTTAGCGCAATGGCAACGGGAATGCAGCGATGCAGGTGTGTGGGTGCCTTGAGTCCGGGGTCGGTGCAGCGCATGTAGTACTTGCCCAGCAGGTACCGGGCTTCCCTCGAACCTAGAGCACGAGCACGCGAGAGCATCTCCACACGGCTCGGGTCCTCCTCCGCAATCACACTGACACGAACACACGAACACACGAACCACGGCACGCACAACAGGCACGACACCGACGCATACTTGTTTGGACACTGCCTCTTCAGTTGGTGTACAAGGTCTGCACCGTACCGAGAGCATCGACATAGCTCCTTGGCAATCTGCTGTTGAATATCATCGATCTCCTGGCGCAAGTGACCTAGGTCGCCGGCCGACAGCTCGAGCTTATGCCGCAGACCGGCCGCGGCCTCGGGGTGCTCTTCGATCACCTTTTGCACCTCGTTGGTGAGCTCCTTGGCCTCCTGCAGCTGCGCACGACACGCGATGCTCTGCGCCCACACATTGTTCAGTTCGGCCCTGGCCTCCTCCGCCTCGCAGAAAAGTGCCGCCCTGGGCAACGCCAGTACCAGGTCGCGTGAGCTACGCATTCCACACATACCGAACGGACATGCGTAGGCATACGCACCCAGAGTGCTGGAGGAGCGAGGTCTGGTTGCGTAGTGCGTCGACCTCTTGCTGGAGCGGGGCGAGCTGCTGCTTTTCGGCGCCTCGGATGGCCCGCAGCTCTTCGAGTTCGCGAGAAAGCTCGTGCAGCTGGGCCTCGATCGTGCACATACGCGCCTCCTTCTCGGCGATGAGTTCCTCCTTGGCCGCGACGGCGCTGCCGGCTTCGTGCTCCTTGCGTTGCACCTCGCGCAGATCGAGCTCGATCTGGCCCAGCTGTTGGGCCTTTTCAAAGTGGTTGCGCTGTAGTGCGTGGATCTGCTCGAGCCTGGATCGCAACCGACGGGCCACCATGGACTCGTCGGCGCCCGTCACAAGCGCCTCCATCGCCTTGCGCCGCCGCTGCCATCGCTCGACGGCCATCTGGACGAACCGGTTGGGGCGCAGGGCGGCAATCGATATCGCGTCGCCGTTGGGTCCGGTCACAGGCACGTCGTCGTTGGCCCGGTCGGGAGGGAGGAGCCGACGGATCCAGTCTTCGATGGCCGACCGCTCGTATGTGAAGCCATCCTGCACGACCACGCATCAGCACCGTGTGGCGTGTCGCGTGTGTCGTGTGGACGAACCTCAGCAAACACGGGGTCGCTCATGACCTCGTGAAGGAGCGGGCACATCAGGTGCTCTGACGGGGCGTAGGCGGGCGTGTTGGCGAGCTTTTCCACCACATCGCGTACGTCGGGGCCACCCTCCTCGTCCATCTGATCGGCATCGTGTTCGTGGAAGCGCTCCTGCTTGATGTGCCGCGCCAGCCGAGCGAGACCGACATCGGCTTTTGGCTTGCTCGCCGACGCCGACGCTGGTGTGATGGTTGAGGCCGGCCAGCTCCGACGCGGCGCCCCACCAGCTTTGGCCAACTTGTGGACGAGAGGCAGCGGAGGGGCTGTTCTAGGACAGCTGGCGGTTTGGGCACCAGTCGGCACTGGTGTACTGCCCTTCGTCGAGTCAACGGCGCCGCCACGCGCCTTCTTTGGTGAGACCGCGGCAAAGGCGAGCGCGTTGGGCAGGCTGAGACCAACTCGAGCGTCGTGCTTTCGCTTCCGATCGTGTTCGCCATCGTTGCTGCGCCGCTCTGACGCCTCCGATGACCTGCTCGGTATTGTCGTGGTCGGCGTGGTCGGCGTGGTTTGGCTCGACAGGCCTAGAATTGGCGTGTGCTTGGCGGGCTTCTTCAGACCCGTTGGCAGCACAGGCAGCAATGGCCTCTTGAGGCTGCTGCCGCCGCTGCTCGGCGTGGGTCTAGTACTTGAACTCGACGATGGCGACGAGTTAGCGCAGTTGGAGGTCGGGAGCAAGAGCGGGGTGGGTCGAGGCGCTGCCGCCTTCTTCGCGTCCGTCTCGCTGCTGCTGCTGCTGCGGGCGAGGCCAAAGTCGGGCAGGTGGTCTGGTGCGGTCCTGCTGGGCGAGTTTGTGGGGGAGGAGATGGGCGAGCCGAGGGGCGACACTTCAGGCGACAGGTCCGCCGCCCCGCGGAAGCTCGCCAGGTAGTCGTTGTTGACCACCTGCCCTGGTACGGGTGATGCTTCCGGGGCAGAGGGTCGCAGAGGAGGCAGGGAGGCCAACGGCGCGCGCTGGCCCCGCGGAGAGAGTGCGTTACCCATGAGCGGGAGGGCACCCTTCATCTAACGTCGGTCTCTGAATCCAAGTTAACAAGTCAGCCCAGCAGAGCAACAGCGGGGAAGGGGTACATACCTGGCGTCTGGACGGCCAATAAAGTACTGGTGCCTTGGCTGGTGGCGCTGGTCCTTGCGTCGCGTCCGTTCGAGAAAGAAGAACTAATTTCCTTCCGTTTCCTTTTCCACAACTAAAAAGAAATACAGCATTAATATCTGGGCCAGAACGCAACTCAGACTTTGAACTTCTGGCAGCGGTGTTCCTCGTGCGTGGCCTTGCATCGCACGCAGCAGAACCGCGACCGGCACTTGGTGCACGTGTAGTTGGCGAAGTATCTGCACGCCCGTGGTGAGCGCACGCACGCGCGCATTTGCGAGGGAGGGGATGGGAAGCGGCACCCGCACACAGAGCAGAAGTGGCGAGGCGGGAGGCGGGAGGGTTCGGCCTGCACGGAGAAGTAATTCACCTCGGCATCCTTGTCCTGCTCGGCTTCCTCTTCCAAGACTCTGTACACGTGTGACGCACACAACCACACACAACCGCACACGCACGATCAGCCTTGGCGTGGCACGTGTGACACGCGCCACCAAGCACTTCAAGTGTGGCCGTGTACCGATCGAAGTTGTACTTACGGAGCCGCCGCAGGCCTGACTTTCGTCGCTTCTTTTTCTTGGAGAACGGCCCTTCGGCTGCACCATAATGATCGTCATCATCGATCACAACGCAACGACATCAACCAACCGCACGGGCGGAGACGAGAAACGCGCGCGTGTTGGCGTACCATCTTCCTCGGCCGTGGCTTGCGCAGCGTCCTCTTCCGTGAACCCGAAGTTGTCCTGGTGGTGCAGCACAAAGGAGGTGCAGCGAGAGTGTTGGAATGCGCACCGACGCCGATCCTCGGGAAGAGGTGGGCGGGGAGGTGTTTACCTTCTCCAGGTTGGCCAGGTGCTGCATGAGCTTCTTGTCCTGGATGGCGTCCATGTCCCGGTCCTTCATCTTGGGCGTCAGCGCCACCGCTCTGCCTGCACCGCGAACCCAAGTGAGCAGCGTACGCAGAAGAACGTGGCACGCCTCGAGCAACCAACTGCACACCGCGTGGTGGAGGCAAAACGTACTGGAGGCGCGCCGTCGAGTGGGCGGGGGCGTGGCCGCGGGGGTGAGCGAGAACTCGCCCGGCTGGTACTCATCTGTGCAGGGGCAGATTTGTTGTGAGGTGGGTGAGAAAGCGAAAACAAGTAAAAGGGCGACGAGACTGAACCATCATCTTTTCTCTTGCCGCCCCTCGTTCGCTTGCCCTTGGCACTCATCTCCAGATCCCTGTGTTTATTTATTCCGGAGTTTCTTTTCTTTTTTCTTGGCGCTTTTCTTGCCCTCTCTGGAGCAGACACTGCCTGGCACGATACACTCTGGCATTGCCCGCTCTGCTCTTGCAACTACCGACCATGCATTGTTTCTCCATGATCACTATACACTGTGTCTTAGTGCCAACGAACACTCAGCCTGGGAGTGGCCCAGCGTCGCAATTCCGCGTCGATGAGATGCAACCGCGGGAGAACAGGAGCAAGAAGAGAGAGACAGCAGCTTCTTCAGAAGATGTACGCGAAGCCGTAGAAGAGCCTGCAAGATCAGGAACGACATTAGCAGCTGTCACATGAGAGGCAGAAGAGGGAGGGAGCAGCGTACGTCCAGAACAGCACGTAGGACTGGGCCGGGAAGAGAAGGCAAAGAAGAGAGAGGAAAGGAGCTAGTGAGCATGTGGTGGTGGGTAAGCGCAGCGAGCGTGGAGCAGGTGGTACCAAAAGGCCCTGTCCAACAGCCTCGGTCCACAAGGCGGAGGGGCTGGTGAAGTACTTGCTTGTGTTGTAGCCTGTTCGGTGGAGAACGAGCAGCGACACCAGTGCAGACGCTGCCGCGTAGAAGATGAATCCTCCCAAGCCGGTCACCCCCAGAATGCCTGCCGCACTTCCTGCCACACTCGCCACAATGATTCGACTGCCGACCGCCAATTTCATCGTCAGCATTGAAGGCGTGAATTAATCTCGAGCAAGGAGATCAACGAACCAAAAGAAGATGGCCCGATTATTGTGGGCGATGGCTTCCGGGTTGTGCAGCTCGCCCGGTTCGCCTTGCTTGGCCATGTCCTTGCTCATCTTGGCAATTATTATGATGATTAAATAATCTGGCTGACCTTTTCTCTCTTTTTTTCTTTCTTTCTGCAACACAAAGATCTTTCATCACCGAGCCCTGGCCGACCGGCGATAGAAGGCCAAGCTGGGCAGGAGCACACCCAGGCCAACCAGCCTGCAATTGATAAATCAACATCATCAAACGAGGTCCGTTCGTGTGCGTAGTTGGCCAAGCCAACAAACCAAGGAGGGGGCAGGGGAATCGTACACACAGCCATAGGCAAGGAACATAGTGTTGGATCGCTCGGTGTACATGAACCCCACTCCATCGCTCCGAAGCTGAAGGAAGTGCTCGTTGATCCTCTTCGCCACCTTGGCACCATGCCGCGAGCTCATCCTGCAAGACGGTGTGGTGCGTGTGTGTGGTGTGCGTGCGTGTGTGTAAACAAACACATCACTCCAACCACTGGTTGACATGTGCACGCTCGAACGTCCGTACGTCCATCGGGGGTGGAGTGGGAGCAAGGTCTCGTCACCATGCTCATCACGAAGTACGAGAGTCACCGGCCCTTCGCCGTCCGCGTTGTGGAACGCGCTGGCTTGAAACCGAGCCACAGTGGCATCACGCAGCTGATCGCGCACGGACGGGGCCAACCACGCCAGCACCGGCTCGAACGCGAACCCGGCCCGCACCACGCACTCGCCCGGCCTGAATGCATGAACAATAAATCGTGAATCAGAAGAAAAGTAGTGAGATGAATGTGGAATACATCTTTGTGGAGGATGCGCACCGCGGCTCGTGTGTGGCAGGTTCGAGTTCAGGCACCACCGCTATACCTCGGGTGGGGCGGGCGGCAGGGCGGCACTCCAGCACGCCGGGCGAGGCGCCTGCACATACCAGCACCACCCCCAGTGCCACGAACAGTGCGCCCCAGCCCGCCATTCGCCACACGTTGCTCGTCCAGTGGTCCCCCTCTTCCTCCATCTCTCAGGCCTGCTTCAATATTTAAATATTTATTTCGGTAATTATAGCTAATTATTTTATTAAAACGATAAGCTGCGTTCAGGCGAAACGGAGTACAGAAGAACGAAAAGAAACTCGAAGGGGGGGGGAGACAACACCAAAGCCCAGAGAAGATGGAAGAGGAAGGGGGAGCGCGGGGGAACCCGTTTGAGGTTTTGCCGGAGGAGCTCAGCGTGCGTATCCTGCGCGAACTGAGCGCCGACGCTCTCGTGAACGCCTCCGCCGTATGTGCGCAAGTACCTTCTCCTCTTTCTCTGTGCCATCCATGTCCAACGAGGATGCCGTGCTCACATTAATTCGTGCTTTAAATCTGCGTAGTGGCTTGTGCTGTGCGAAGATGAAAGCTTGTGGTAACGAGCAGCAACTGCTTCTTCTTTCTTGGCTTCGCCTTCTACATGAGCGGCGCGCACCGAGGTGACTGACTCATGCTCGTACCGACTCACTCGGCAGGCGCTCGATATGCCAACGTTCGCACCCGTCGAAGGAGTGGCAGGATGCCCTCGCACTGTACAAGGAGCAGAGCGAGAAAGCGTGGAAGCAGATCTACGTAGAATCGAGTACGCTCTCTCTCATAACCGCCGTGCAGCGTCTGTGTGAGGCTGCCTAACATTGTGTTTGCCTTCGCCCTTGCTTCTCTCTCGGCGATCTGTGCACACATACGCTGTGCAGTTCGCTTCTTCCCAGGCACGACCGTGCTGACTGCTGATATGATGGCCCAGCTCAACGCCTGGCTTAGCGGCTATAGAACCTGGAAACTCATCTACCGGTACGAAGAGAAGAGCTGTTAACGCTACATTACAGGCGGCTGATGATCCTAACCTCAATGGCCGATCATTGGTATGACAGGGCGTCGGTGCATGGGTTCACAGCCAGGGGTTTCCACAAGCACTGCGACAAGAAGGGTCCCACGGTCACGGTGTGCAAGACCGAAAAAGGGTACTCGCGGATCCCCTCGATCGTCGAGCGTATCTAGAGCGCGCGCATGTCCGCTGACGAGGGCGGCAGGTACATACTGGGCGGCTACAACCCGCTCTCGTGGGACATTTGGGAATCGCCGGCAGGTTCGTCGCCACCGACGGCGACTCCAACCGTCGGCGACGTGCCGTTCATCTTCTCGCTCAAGAACCCCAAGGGGTAAGCCCGCCCCGGCACAACAGTTGAATCGACCTTCATGTTCGGCCAACGCTGCTTCCCGTCTCTGCGCTTTGCCGTTGTCGTTGCACACAGGGTCGAGCCGTGCTTCATGCAGCACAAGGGCAGCGGCACTGGAGTTATCAACAACGCGAACTACGGGCCGACGTGGGGTGCAGGTACGTTCACGGCCGAACCTCACATCACTCACCGCATCGCCTCTCATTTGCTCGCGTCTGGCGCGTGATGATGGCGCTAACGATGATGTTGTACGTGCAGAAGCGAAGCAGGACCTGGGCGTGTTCGGGTACCCGCACAACAAGGGCCGATGGAGCTGGAGCAGACTGGGCTCGTTCTACTCCTCGACCGCCCTGCGGCAGGCCCTGACCAAGGTAACGCACCACGCACCCCCCCCCTCCCCCGCTGATTGAGAGGCCGGCCTGATCCCGATACCGTACGCAGGAGGAGGACTGGCACTGCTTCCTGGCCGGTGAACCCCACTTTCTGGTGGGGGAAGTGGAGGTGTTCGCCATCGACCGGGAGCATCCGCACCTCCGGCGAGAGAAGGAGCTCGCTGCCCCGCCCGAACGCAAAAGAAGCGTGTTCGCTTCCATGGTCCACAGGCTGCGTGGCTCCAAACGAACTGGAGCGAAAGAGTGACAAAACCCAGCAATGCAAAGCAAGGCAAGGCAACCACAAAACACGATTACTGTCTGTATCTACAAAAATAATAAATAAACCTTTGAACCGGAAGAGAGAAGGAGCGCTACAGGAAGTAGTCGGGCACGTTGGCCTCCGGCGTGGCCCTTGTGTTCTCCGGCGCGGCGGAAAAGACGTTGAAGTGACGATCGCCACTCTGGAACACGCACGACACGCAACACAATACCGCACACGCAACACGCGCATGCACAAACATCAGCCGACCATGATGGACACCCGCACCGAGGGGCACTCAGCGCCTTGTTGCGTCGTAGGAAGGACAGCAAGCACGTACCTCGGATATCTCCAGCACGGAAGCCACGTTGCCGCAGCGGTAGCAGTAGTTGGGGGCGGACCACACGGTGGACAGCTTGTCATCCCACAGTACCTGGTAGCCTTCCATGCACAGCTGATGCGCCCGCAGGATGTGCTGCAGATTGTTTGTTCGCAGAAACATGTCCACCACGTCGGCCCCAAACGTATACCCGGCGTTCCTGCACGTATGAAGCATACAACTTGAGTCCCATGACAACACGCACACGCACACGCACACGCACACACAACGCACATCACCTTTGTGAAAGATAGAAGCCGTCCTTGTCGGGCTCGGGGTCGGACCACATGAGGTCGGCAATGGCACCCTCCATGGGGATCTCCCCGAAGCGATAGAGCACCTTGATCTGCTCCAGCGAGAGGATCTCGGGCGATAGGCCTGGCGCACCATAACAAACGAGCGAGCATGTGTCAGGCAAACGCGGCACACGGGGTTCGGCAATGGCGGCACGCGCGGTGACTGTAGTGGTGCGTGTGCGGCGGTGCGTGCGTGCCGAACCTCCATGAACAGCGAAGATTTTGTTGTCGATGGTGGCTGAGATGGTCAGGAAATCGAAGACCTCCATGAAGTACCTCCTGCGAATGTTCGATGAGGCCGCACAGACTACAGATGAGGAGAGAGAAGGAGAAGGAAATGCGGAGCAGGGAGGGAAGGCGTTAACGTTACCAGACGTTGGGGTTGCCATACTTCTTCTTGCACTCGGCATAGAAGCCGTAGGTGAGCGAGATGGCTCGCGATTCGTGATTGCCTCGGAGCAGGTGCACTGCACACGCACACAACGTGTGAGCAAGGAGCACAGAGACAGACTGACACGATGCGTGTTCAGTGTTCGCGGCGGTGGGCGGTGGGTGCACCTCGGTGCGGGTGGCGAAGCTTGAGGGCGAGGAGCAGCGACACCGTTTCGACACTGTGATGCCCGCTGCACGTGCCCAAGCGGCGGCGGCAGGAGGGAAGAGAGCCGTTGCGGGTTGGCCGCCAGTGGCGATAAAAGAAGGGGGAGAGAGCGAAAGGGGTCCGACGGTACCGATCGACAAAGTCGCCGAGGAACAGGTAGTTGGTGTCCGGCACGTAGCCGGCGATTCGGAAAAGCTCGATCACGTCGTAGAACTGTCTGTTGAGGATGAGATGAGATTGGGGGGGGGTAGTAGTAGGAGAAGGAGAAGCCACGTGGGCCGGCGGCAGGCGTAGTACCCATGGACGTCGCCAACGACGGTGAGCGGCGAGGAGAGGCAGAGCACATTTGGCTCATTTACGAGCAGTTCCCTCACCTTTTCGCAAATCCATTTGACTGCGTGCTCGGATATCGGCTCGCACTTGTAGAGCTTCTCTATGCAGGCGTCTAGATCCAGCATGCTCCCTTCTTCATCGACTGCCCGTTTGTTTTAAATTCAAAAGTAGTCCTAAAAACAAATCAAAACCAAAAGCTTAAGGTAGTACATGACGTGGCCACGTTTTTGCTTGCGACACAGTGAGACACATGGAGCACCGCGAGCGTCAGCTGCCAAACACTGTCTGGTGCGCGGTCGGGTTGAGCGTGGCCAGGGCCTCGCGGTTCCTCTTCGTCCACGCAGGGTACGCCGCGTTCCGCCTGACACGAAGCGGAAAGTGAGCAACGGCGCTGCAGGGTTTGAGTGAAGAGGGACCACGTGCGTACTTGATGGCGGCGAGGGCGGTGGCCTCGAGGTTGGCGGCGTTGTTGAGCACGGCGTAGTGGTAGATGGCGATGGCATTGTGGGACTCCAGCAGGTGGGTGGCGATGAACTGCTCGATCATCTGGCGCAGGTGCGGCGAAATATCGTACTGGTCGCTGATGCGCAGCATCTCCAGCGCATACTCCGTTGGGAACTTCGCGAATAGGCCTGCAGCGCGCGTTGCCTAGTTAGTTTTGTGTCATCGTGTGCGGTGGTGCGGTGCGTGTGCGGTGGCGCGTGTACCGGTGTGGAGGAATTCGAGGACGAGCAGGAAGCAATCGCGGGTGACCTCGGTGAGTTCGATGCGCTTCTCCTGGGCCTCTTTCATTCCGCTCTGGAGGATGGCCCGGAAGAAGGGCGACAAGGCCAGGAAGCACGGGTGGGCCAACACCTCGTGATGCACCGACTCGTCCGCGTCATCTGCTACCACCACCGTAACCTGCAGTCCCCCGATAACGCTGTGAGCTTGAGCGTACCAGGACACACGACACACACGACACACAGCACCTGCGCGTAGTCGGTGGTTTCGATGGCCTTCTTCAGGTCGTCCACCAAATTCACGGGAAGCTGAGGCCCATTACGCGCTGCGTCAGCACGGCTCGGAGTGGCATGGAGAGGGGGGGGGGTGAGGAGCTCGTACCTCGGTGAGGCTGTACTCTCCAAAACGGATCGCGTTCTCGCACTGGAGCACAAAGGCGTCGGACAGGGAGTACTCTGGTGCGACGCGGTCAGTCAGCCGGTTGCCAGCCACTTCACACAATGCACCAGCGCGCGCGCGCACGGGGCCGGTACCGATTGCAATCTTGGCGAGTCGGACGTCGAGATCCTGCTTGGCCATGAGCTGCTGGGCGTTGAATTGCGATAGCCGGTCGGTAGGTGTTGAAGAAGACGACGAGGAGGATTGCTCAGAGGATCCTGTAAATAAATACAAATATATAAATAGAAATATATATAAATATATAAAAATACTAATAAATGTGTCGAACGCGTACCAACAGAGGGATCTTCTCGCTTGACGCTCCTTTGCCGCGATTCGTCGTCGTACCGCTTCTGGTAGAGCGAGGACCCAACCCGCACCTCCACGAACCGCTCACTGTCGACTCGCACCCGGATCGAATTGCCTGTCGCACGGACCCGTCGTCCGCCCCGGGCGTGTGAGTTTCTATTTTCCAGAAGATGCAGTGATACCCAGAGGTGCACGCGGGTATGGTACCGTCGTTGGCCGTCACCGCTTGCTGGTAGGCCTTCTCGAGCTCGTCGTTAACCTCCGGCTCGAAGTCGGCCCAGTCCGGATCCGCAAACCTGTGCGCAACACATAATGACCGGTCACCGATCGTTCATCAAGCAGTGGGGCTGACAGGGCCCCGGTCGTCCCGTACCAGGTCCACCTGACGGGCGGCTTGGGCGGCTCCTCTGCCTTGGCCGCGCCCTGTTCGGGCTTTTCCTCCTGCTTGCGCAGCGTGTAGCCGAAGCAAGGCACGCTCGGCACGGCGCCCGTGTAGAGGAAGTGGAGCATCGCCAGGAACACGTCGGCCTTGTGCTCCTTGATCAGCACCCTCGCCCGCCTCTTCTCCTTCTGTTACGGTTTAACAACAACACAACAACGCACGTGCGACGGGTGTGAGGCGGCGTTGACGGAGAGTGTGAGAAAAAGAACGAAGAGTGGAGGGAGCTTGCCTTTCGGTGGTGCTTGGGCGAGCCGGACTCGGGCGACTCAGTGGTGGGTACCAGTCGGCTGCTTGACATTCCAGTTATAGTTTCTGTGAACAGGGTGGACAGCGCGTCAGTACTGCCCTCAAACACGGTGGAGTGTGAACAAGCACAAGAATTAGTACCGAGCTTGGGCGAGGCGTTGCGGGAGAAGCCGAACTCGCCCGATAGCTGTACGTCGGCGCTGCTGGCCCGCCGGCTGGCGGACCTCTTGCGTGCGGCGGACTTGGGCAGTGACGATTGGAATACGGGGCAGCGCGACGCAAGGATCGCACTGTGCCTGTTCAGTTGTACACGACGGGCCGCCCGAGAGTGAGTTGCGCGAGCGCGAGATATGACGGGAGAGGTCGGGGGCACCCAAAAATTCGCTTGTCGCCATCAGCGTCCAGGACGAACTCCACGTCGGCCCACTCTTCATTGTTCACCAGCGAAGCCAGGTGGTCGGCCAGCGCCTGCTTGCACTTCCCTGCTTCGGTCCACATGATCGGTGTCGCGACCAGGCTCGCGATTTGAAGGGGCAGCACTGTTTGCGTGCGTGCGTGTGCGTGTGCGTGTGCGGTGATATGTGTGCGTGTGCGGCACGCGTGAGTATCACGAACTTGCACAGTGGGAGGGTATTGGCGGCGGTGTACTCTCGATGGCCTGGAAGCTCTTCTGGAGATCGTCCGCAAAGGTGCGATAGAGGATTTGGAAGTGGAGCTCACCGCACTCCACATTCTCCAGGGGAACCCACACGTCCACAACCTGCGTGCTCGCATATTCTATGACACACGCACACACGCACCACCGCACACGCACGCACGCACGCACACAAAAGAGAGCGTGTTGCATCAGAACACTGTGAACAGCACGAAGGTGCGGGCGAGGTTACTCCCAAGGTGGAGGACGACGTTGCCCAGCGGGTCGTCGCGCAGGAACTTGTCCTTGTCCCACACATCGCAGTGCAGAGCCTCGTCGGCGTGGATCTGGAAAGTGAACTTCTCCTTCCACACCGGGTTGAGCGTCTGCGCAGACACCACCAAGCGTCGTCAAATATGGGAGTGAGTGCTGCCGCTGCGCGCATTAGAAACCGAGAGCAAGCCCTTACGAGGCGGCGTACCTTGTACTTGATAGTGGACGAGTACTTCTTGTCGCCCAGGCGCAATATCACGTAAGGATCGCTGGTGCCTATGCGATAAAATAATAATAATAATAATAAGCTATTTTGTGCATTTATTTTTTATTTTTTATTTATTTTTATTTTTATTTTCACCAGGAAAAAGTGCGGTTGTCGACGAGGGGGGAAAGCGTACCGCAGCTGTCACGGATGGCGAGGTTGCGGCCCTCGACAAGGACCACCTCGGCGGTTCCTCGCAGCAGGTGCACATCTCTCGAGCCGTCACTGCCAAGCAGCGATGTCCGCCTCAACAACTTCATCTTGTTCTTAAAAGATCACTATTTTGTGTGTTTTTTTTTGTGATTTCTTTGACCACGGAGAGTCCTCTTTAGGTGAACGAATAACTGCAGCTGTTGCCTGGTGTTCGAACCGAACGCGAAAGAAACACAACGTTCACAGCACGGCCAGCAAAAAGGAATGACGGAAGATGAAATCTGCGTCACCATCATCGAGGGCAAGGGCCTTGCCGTCAAGGACTCTTGCGGTACTGGTTTATTATTTTTAAGATTTTTAATAACTCATTCACCAGTCGCCAGTCACTAGTCCTTGCTGCAACGTTTCGTTCTCGTTATTTTATGTCCTCCTGTATGCATCCATTTCTTCTTTTAGCATGCTTACAAGCCGGAGCCATTACAGGCACCAGTGATCCTTTCGTCAAAGTGAAGCTGGGCACCATAAAGCACAAGACAAAGAAGATAATGAAGAACCTCAACCCCCGCTGGAACGAGAAGTTCTTCTTGTACGTGCACTCTCCTCCTCGTCCTTTTATTAATTTTTAATTAATAATTCTTATAATGGAAATATGGACATTGAATTAAAATTTAATATACAAGACTATTGTTTTGCCTTGTGGACAATTGTTTGCTAACGTTCCGCTTCCTCGGCAGCAAGGGCTCGGGGTTCGCCTCGTCCACGCTAGAAATCACTGTATGGGATTGGGTAAGCTTGAGTGTGGTTATGATGAAGCGTCTTTGGTTTGGCGTGTCTGCTGACGTCGACGGTCGTGTGTCGTGTGTCGTGCGTCGTGCGTGGCGTGTGGGAACGTTCAGGACAGGATCGGTTCGAACGACTACATGGGCGAGGTGCGGATACCGATGTCGGAGGTGATGACTCTGGGCGAGATCAGCAAGTCGTACCCGCTCGTCAGCGGACCCGGCCACGAGGGCGAGCAGGTCTCGGGCGAGATCAGCATCCGCGTGCAGGTCATGGTCCAGGGCGACCTGCAGACCGGCAACCTCAACGCCGAGGAGCTCCGTCGCTTCGCTCTTCAGAAAATGGTGAGCCAGCCTGCATGTATGTCCAAGTGCCACTTCTCTTGCTAACCTGCGTGTCCCTACATCAAGGCGAGCACATCAGCGCTGCCGGTGAACACGGGCAGCACGAACCTCGCTGGCCCTGAGGTCCCGCCGCTGCCGCCGCGCGAGGAAGGCTACAGCAGCGGCAGCTGTGACGCCGTGCCCACCACCGCAGCGCGAAGCGCGCCTCCCCCCGCGCCTGCCGCCACCGGCGGTTACCCGCGACCACAGCCCACCACCTTCGCCTCTTCGCCCAATCTCTCTTACGCCGGCGGCGCCGGAGCCGGCGCTGCGCCCGCGTACAACCGCGCTGTCACAGCGCCCGCGACGCACTCGGGCTACACGCCACCGCCGCCCCAGGTGAAGCCGCCCGGCATGGCGCCGCCGCGACGGCAGCCCGGGTCTTCGGGGTCGTTCGTGGGCGTTGCACCCGGGCCGCCGCCGCCGCGTCCGCCGGCGATGCCGCAAGCCAAGGCCCTGTACGCGTGGACGGCCGAGAACCCGGGCGAGCTGGCCTCGCTCGCCGCCGGCGCGGTGGTGTTTGTGAAGGACAGCTCCGACGCGTCGTGGTGCCTCGTGGTAGACACCCAGGGCAATGAGGGCTACATCGCCAGCAACTACATTGAAATGCTTTAGGTTTGGCAATCTACAGAGAGAAGGGACGTGTATCACCAATCGTACAGCTGGCCTGGAAGTGTGTCCTCGAACTCGCCGTCGCCTCCAATGGGGCACTCAAAATTAACTTACTATGAAAATGTGGACGAACATTTTCCTTCATTTTCAGGGATAAAAATAAAATAAAATGTATTGATCAACAACCTTCGCCTTCTTGTTCTGGCTGCACTTTCGTCTCCTCTTTCTGTCTCCTTTCGCCTGTGGCCGCGCGCGGTATCAGCTCGTCATGTTGCCGCGGGAGGGCGGCACAGATCGCCCCACCGTCCCACCTACGGATGACAGCATGCTGGAACTGCAGCCAGCGACCAAGGCGCCCGCACCCGCGCCTGCCTATACTCTGCGCTCCCTGCTCTCTGGGCACCACCGCTCGCCCCCTCCCTCGTCATCTTCTTCAGCCACTTCATCTTCATCTCCACCTTCCCCCCACCTCGCTCGCTCACCGGGTCGCTCCCTCAAATCGCTCCTCACCACAAACCCCTTCTCGAAACTGACATCTCGTAGCGGCTCTGGACAAGAAGAATCAGCAGCCTCCAGCAACAACAATCGTCAAAGCGCTCGGCAACCTGGAGCTCAGCCCCACATCGTCGAGGATGAAGAAAATGGCGTCGGTATCGATAGCTTCGAGGTTGTACAGCCTGAAGGTGGCACCAACGATAGCACTGCAGCGCAGCCCCCCTCTCGACTGCAGGTGCCACCCACGCGCACGCGTAGCCGCAGCGCATCGCTGCCCGCGCCCTTCCAACCGTCGCACGAGCTTCTGCATTCCCTCAATGCACCTCCATCTTTGGCGGCTGCCGTAGGACCCTCCTCACAGATCACCACCACGACCACCTCGACATCTGCTGCCCTGGTTGCTGCTGCAACTTCATCAATGCGAGGCCTGGGCAGCGAAAGTGATGCGCTAGAGCGGCTCAAGATGAGGAAGTACTACTATCGGCGGCTAGCCGACCCCCATACCCTCTTCGACCGGTCCTACTTGCCAGGCGAACGAACGCTTCTGGAGCGCACCAAGTGCATAGGTCTGTCCATGCCCAACGCGGCCATCTGCATCATCAGCGGACGCCTCGTCGTCACCAACTTTCGAGTCATCTTCGATCCCACCTCTGGCGACGACTTCCTCAAGGTGCCTTAATTGTTTCTTATTTTTGTTATTTATAAATAATAACAAATAATAATAGCATGAATTTGTACCGATTATTATGAAACAAAATAATACTGTATTAATTCATTTCAACCCTACGTTGAGCAGGAGAGGATGGGGTGGGAGGAGGGTGCGCGCGTGATGGCCTTGAGCAATATCGCCACCGCCGAAAGGAGCGGGAAGCACCTGACCCTGCACGCCAAGGACGTGCATTCGCTCATACTCGTCTTTGCTGACGACAGGAGTACGCTTTCATTCCCTGCGCCCACTCTTTCCCGCAGTGGCTCAGAGTCGCCAACAGCAGACTGCTCACGCATTCAATCTCCACACTCAGGCGCGTCAGTCTTCCATCAACAGCTGCTGCGAATACCCAAAACCGAGCCGTTGTTTGCCTTCCCTTATTACCAAGCTTCTGGGGTAACCTTACTCTCTTCCCACAGGCACCATACATGGTGTCACGCACTTTATAGTCTTCTTCCTCCTCTGCCATTCGTACTAACGCCACTCGCTGTTCCCGCAGAGACTGAGACGGTGGTCGTACGATCCCTACCTCGAGTTTGGGCGAATGGGTATCACGGAAGGGGGTGGTGGCCCATGGCGCATATCTCACGCCAACGAAGACTTTAAGCTGAGCCCGACCTACCCGTCTCTGCTGGTCGTTCCGTCCGAGATGACAGATCAAGGTACCTCTACAGCTCCATTTGATTTTACAATACAATGCGTGTCGGGCACACTGACACCTCACGTTTCACTTTTCGGTTCATCGGCGATGCAGAGCTCCACGAATGCGCCAAGTACCGGGTCAAGTGCCGTCTGCCCGCTCTCTGCTGGCGATCGGGGAGCGCCGTGATCTGTCGGTCATCACAGCCACGAGTCGGCCTACTGGGTACGTACAACACGCTGTGCCCAGCAGGAGCCACCAGTTCCAACACATTCTTAAGTGTAGCGTCCTTCTTTAACACCACTCATCAAGGGTTCGCTCGATCATCGGCCGACGAAAAGTTCATCAACGCACTCGGGGCAATCAATCCGTCGGTGCCAGTACGAATCATTGACGTCAGGTACAACTTGGCCACCGCTCGTGCCTGCGTGCCGTGGTGTCCGTCATTATGAGGCTGAGCCCCTGACTCACATCACCTTTATGCGCACAGGCCCAAGCTCACCGCGGTGATGCACAAAGCAACGGGCGGTGGTTACGAGGACTATCCCAACACCGTTGTATCATTTTTGGATGTAGATAATATTCATGTCATGCATGAGAGTTTAGATAAGCTCAAGAAGGTACACTCTGCGCTACTCTACTCAACGCCTCGCTTCGCTTGATCGGCTGACAATTGGAGGTGACTCCACGACCAGGCGATTGTGGAGGGAACGATCAAGGACGAGGCGCAGCTGGACTGGTTCGACCGAACCGGCCGGATGCTGTCCGCCATCTACGACGTGGTGCGACACATGGCCGTTTATCCCGGTCCGGCGCTCATCCACTGCAGGTACCTTAGCAGCAGCCAACCCCTTCGCTTGTTCGGCGAGCTTGGCTTGTTATCCTCACTCACTCACTCGCTCGCTCGCTCTTCTCTTCTCTTCGCCCACCGCCTTAGCGATGGCTGGGATCGCACAAGCATTGTTTGCTCCATGGTACGTTCCTGGCCTTCGATTGTTGCTGAGCGAGTGAAGAAAACTTCCTGGACTCACGCTTCCTATTTCTGACTTTGTCTCAATCTATCAAGATGGAGCTTATGATGGACTCCTTCTACCGGACCATAAGTGGGTTTTGCGTTCTTGTTGAGAAGGAGTGGCTCTCCTTCGGCCACCAGTTTCACAAGCGATGCGGTATGTTTCAACGCTAACCAACTGCGCACACGATGTGTCTCGCCTTGGCTCACACCGTGACCGAACTCACACGCAGGCCACGACCAGCTGGGCGGAGACACGCGACCGCAGTCACCGATCTTTGTACAGTTCATCGACTGCGTGTGGACCACCATGCAACTCTTTCCCAACGATTTTGAGGTAATTCATGCACGCAACTCGCACACGACACGCAACACGACAAGCACGACACACACGGCACACACCTTTGCATTGTTGGCTGACAGCTTGCGTCGTTGTCCAGTATAACGAGGAGTTCCTGCTGTTCGTCTTGGACAATTTGTACACATGCAAGCACGGCACGTTCCTCTACGACAGCGACTACGAGCGACGGGAGAACAAGGTCGAGGATACCACCACCTCGCTGTGGGACGAGGTCATGGACAACATCGCCCTCTTCCGCAACCGCGACTACCTCTATCGACGGCGCACCACCAGGCCAGGCGCCAACAACCCCAACGCCGGCGACGACGACTCCCCGCTGCGCAGCGACGACTCGCCGAACCACTATGCCCGACGTCGTCGGTCGGGCACCGTCGCCATCGGGCGTACGCCTGCAGCGATGCGGCCACGCGCCTACGAGGAAATGCTGCCCGAGCAGCCCATCGACAATAACGTGCTGCTGGGGCGGCGACGGCCCAAGGGCCGCAAGACGCTGGCCACGATGGAGTCCAAGGAAATCGAGGAGCTGTCGGCCGCGGGTGGTGGCGGCGGTGCGGCGCAGTCCTTTCCGGCCGTGCCCCAGCTGCGCGTCCCATCGCAGGCGCAGCAGGCGCGCGTCACTGGGGCTTCGCCGGCATTGGCCACGGTCCTGTCGCCGCGCACCATGGACGAGCTGCCGCAGAAAATCCTGGTGCCTTCGCCCAACGCGCTCTCCTTCCTCTCGCCGTCGCAGCGCGTGTGGAGTAACTACTACCTCCGATGGCTGCCCGAGAAGGAGGCCGCCCGGCTCGAACGCATGATCGGTACACCCTCCCCACCACCTCCACTCTCTAGCTCTACGCCTGTCAGTCACTGACCCGAGCTTCGTGACATGCGCAGTCAAGCACCTGCTGCTGGCGGCCAAGCGCAAACAAAAGCGCAAGTCCAACCGCACCGTCAACGGTACCCGCCCACCAAAGTCGTGGCAGCAGCATCGCACACACTCACCTCACCGACCGGCTTTCTTCTTTCTTTCTTTCATTCTTTCTCTTTCAGTGCCGTCGTCCTTTGGCACCAAGCAGGACGTGAATCAGCTCGGCTCCGAGGCGCCCTACCCCACGTGCTCCCTCGCGACGGCCAACAAGCACCTCTCGACGGGTGCGCATTTTATTTTATTTTATTTTTATCTTTTCTATTTATTTTTACCACTACCGTCAGTCGCTGACCAGGTTCTGCCGCATTGTTGTGGTTGTTGTGGGCGCAGGCGACGTGGTTCTGTGGCTCACGCCCGAGGACACGCTGAACCGGGAGATGGACATCTTTCTCGAGAAACAGTTCACCCAGGCCGGCATGGTCATCAACAAGACGGAGGCGCTCTTTTTCGACTACAAGGGCTGGAACGAGGTGCTGGAGACCGCCAAGAACGCCGCGCCCGACGACATTCTCTTCGTCTGGTACCAGACCGACGCCGGCGACATGGAAGTCGCCTCCCTCAGGTAGCTCTTGCACTGTTGCTTTTCCACCCGGCGTTGTGCCGATCACGTCAGATGGCCGACCCACGTTGCGCACCACTTGATCACTACTATTAGGTGGCTCCTGTCGGAGACGCGGAATGCGCTCCTGGTCGTCCGACATCTGCAACTGGAGCTCACAGCGCACGCCATGCACAACCTCAACATCTTCCTCAAGTTCTACAAGAATCGCAACAAGACCCACGTACGCCTACCCAGCCCTGCTGCTAACGTGCTGTGTGTGTGTGTGTGTGTGTGTGTGTGTGTGTGTGTGTGTGTGTACTGGCGCGTACGTGCGTCGCTGCTGATCAGCGAACTTTTTTTTTATTGTACAGTGGACGGAGCGAGCGAAGCGGATGGCGACGAAGCGATTGAAGACCCGCGAGGGGTGGGACGAGCTGTTCGAGGCGCAGCACGTGGGCATGGCCTACGAGAAGATGGGCCTCCTCCCGAGCGACGGCTCGGCCCTGCCCACCGCCACGTCCGAGCCAGCCCCGAGCGCCCTCAACGCGCTCATGATGAACGTCAACCCACAGTTCCTCCTCGACGGCGGCCGCAGCCGTCCGCCGTTCCTCGTGAAGCACTTCACATCGGCGACCGACCTCGATCTGATCGACGGCTGCCTCGAGGAGGAGGTCCAGCTCACGCCTTCGCCTCCGGACGCCGATCAGGGCACGAGCCTCGACGCCGCCGATGCCGAACTTCGCAAGAAAGCCGAAGAGGAAGCGCTTGGTGCGCGCGCACACACACACAGCACACACACACACCCCACCGCACACGCACGCCGCACCCGCACCGCACACCGCACACGCTTGTGGACTGACGACCTCGCAGGGAAGTGGCAGGACACGAAGGTGGTGGTGCTGGAGGCGCGCGACATGCGGCCGGGCAAGTCCCGGCCCAAGGCCCTGGCGGCCAACATCTACTGTGTCGTCACGTCGGTGTCCCGCCTGCGTCAGTCGTCCGTCTGCTGGCACACGCCCCACCCGGTCTGGAACGAGCAGTACTTTGTCGGCGTCTCCGGTATGCGCATTTCCCCGTCGCCTCCCTGCTATTGTTGGTGCATCGGCGCTCACCGGGCTGGTGTTGCAACAGACTCCATATCGGTGCAGGTGCTGGACAAGAGTGAGTCGGCGGCGTCAGACGACTTGCTGGGCGTCATCGACGTACGTCACAGGCTTGCCTGCTCTCATTGTCATCGTCATCATGTATGTGTGCATAACAGAAAAGGGTGCATGTTGTTTGCGTCTGACAGGTGCCTCTGGGTCCGCTGCCCCTGGACCGAGAGGTGGACATGTGGCTGCAGCTCAAGTCCACCATCCCCAACGCGCTTCCTGGTACGCCACACATGGCGCAATTGAGTTCACATTCAATACGTTCGCTCTGTACTCACCACCGTCGCGTACTACCGCACAGGCGAGATCCACGTAAAGATCAAGAAGCAATCATCGCTGGGCAAGCTGGTCGCCCACCTCCAGCCTGCCGACGACTGGTCCGATGACGATGACGAGGAGGAGAGCGAGTCCGATGCCTGCACCGCACACCTCAAGCCCATGGAAGGCGATGAAGAGGAGCAGGTGAATGCCGTCGACGGCAAGGCCGAGGCCTTCGTCAGCGATCCGAAGAAGCCGCACTTCCTGGTGGGCAACGACGAGGAGGAGCGCATCGGTCTGCCGCTGGGCCATCACCACCCGCCGCGCCATCTCCTCGACTCGGCGAGCGACGTGGAGCCCGTCACGGAGGGCTCGGTCGAGGAGGAGATCGGATTCGAAGGCGAACTGAGCATGCGACCGAGCGGGAGCGGCCGGCCTCGCCCACGGATGGCCCGCCAGGACTCAACTCCGTCGGACGTGGGGAGCATGGGCCGGAGCACGTCGTCCTACGACGACATCTTCCATTTCGAAGTCGACGACGATCTCGGCAGCTAATCGCTATGAACGATTTTGGACAATTCATACGTCATCAACAGATCGAGAGAGATCAAACCACCCCAAAGACTCTTACCGTTCGAGAGTAGCGACAAGATTCTGAAAAGAAACGAATATTGTATTGACAAGATGAGATCAGATCGCCTCGGTAGAGAGACTCGACTCATTAGATGAGGCGAAGAATGCGGCGGCAGGTGTAGAGGAAGGCGCGGCGGGAACCCACGGCGTACGTGGGGATGAAGGCGGCCGCCAACAAGCCGCCCGTGTAGCCGTCCATGAGATGGTGCCAAGCGGTGGCGGGCTTCTCCACGCGAAGATTGAGGCCCACATGCTTGAAGCCCAAAGATCCGAGATTCACCATGGTGACCGGATCGACGTCGTTCTCCGCCACGCGAAGCGTTCGCGCCCCGAGGCCGAGCTTGTTGAAGAACGCCGCGCCGGCGTGCGTGAACACTCGAGGCGAGCCGAAGGTGACCAAGCGAATCTGGTCCACGGCCGCCACGAGCTGCGCCATCTGGAGGGCCGCCAGCGTGGCCTGCGCCGCTCCGAGGCTGTGGCCGGTAACCGTCACGTCGAGCTCGGCGATGGAAAGGCCCTGGCTCGCGGCGTGGGTCTCGATGGTGGCGCGCACCTGGGGCCAGGTGCTTCGGAAGGCGGCGAGGAAGCCCGAATGGACGCGCCCGCCCTCGGGCAGAAGCTCGGGGCAGGCGGCGGGCCAGGGGGTGAAGTCGGTGGCGAAGTCCGTCGCGGTATCGGTGCCCTTGTAGGTGATGACGACGCGCGAGCCCTGGGCACGCACGTAGGCCGTTGAAAGGTCGGTCTCGAAGCGGCTCACGGTGAAGCTCGGGTCAGCCTTGCAATTGTCGGCCAGGGGGAAGTAGGCGAGGGTCGAGTAGTTGGCCATCACGAGGGCCTCCTCCTTCGAGAAGAAGGCGATGTCTTCTTCTTCGGCTTCGTCTTCGTGCTGCTCGGCGAGGAGGCAGAAGTCGTCTTCTTCGGTGATGGTCGAGGAGGTTGTCGTGATATCGTCGTTCTCAAAAGAAAAGAAGTCTGAAACGTTCAACGAGGGAGTGGTGCATGACCTCGTCGTCGTAGTAGTAGTGGGGATGGTGGTGGTGGGGCGAGAAGCAGTTGTGATAGTAGTGGTGGTCGAGGTGGGAGCTGAGGCAGCGGTCGAGAAGAGGCGGCCGAGTGTGCGTACGAGAAAGCTCATGGTGATGTTAGCTGCTGTGGGGGTGGTAGCTGTTGTGATGTTCGACTTGTTGTGGTGCTGGCGAGGTGGTTGTTGAGAATGGTCTTTCTTCGTCGGTTGGAACTTATGTAGGCGCCTTGCGCCACGCGTGCGGAGTACGCAACGCTCCTGAGTGGGCGACAGAGCTCCGAATTGGGTAAAACGACACCCGGAAAAATCCCTTTATTTGCTGGACACGTCAGCATCTCAGAGAATCCCATGGCCAAGTAAGGAATGACTGTTCAAGAAAGGAAAGCCAACAGGGCCGCGTCAGGCAGAGAGCTGCTCCCGCCGAAAAGGCTGGCTTCCTGCAGGAAAGCAGCTCGTCCATGCGGCTGTCCAGCAGGAAAGCTGCTCGTCCAGGCGAGCGCGTGGAGTTGGACGACCTGGCGGCCTCCAGCCAAGCCAAAGTTGACCAGACGATGACCGTATGGGAATCTGATGGCGGCTGGAGAACTGCAGCGACGGCGCTGTTGAATCGCGGCTCGACGTTGATGGTGTGGTGTGTGGTAAAAGGGGTAATGGTTCATTTGATGTGCAGTTTCTTTGGCTTGCTCTCCTTCTTCTTCTGCTTTCCTTTGGCTGCTGCCGCTTCGGCCGATCTCGCTTTCTTGTTTCTGTTCTGGGCTTCCCTTTCGGCCTTCTTGGCTTCCTTTTGAGCCTTCTTCTTGAGTCCCGCCGTCGACGTCACACGGGCGGGAGGAAGTGGCGCGTCGTGCTCGCTAAACTCGAACGTATCCATCGTGCGGCGGAAGTAGGTCGGCGGAGCTGCCACAATCCGTAGCCTACACACAACACACGACACGTAAACACGGCTGTTCGAGTTCTGCAGGCCGGAAGGAGGATGAAGAAGACGCACCTCTGATTCTCCTTGATGGGGTGCGGAATCTCGAGCGAGCGACAGTGAAGGTGAAGGTTGTCGATGTTGTCGAGCATGAGCTCGAACCTATCGAAGGCCTCGCGCGAGCCGTACTTGTCGTCGCCGAGAATGGGCGCCTTGAGCACCTCCGCGCAGTGGACACGCAGCTGGTGTTTCCGCCCCGTCCACGGCCACAGCTCCACAAACGAAACCTCGTTGGTCGCATCGGCGCGGGTCTCGTAGCGGGTGACCGCCATCTTCGCGCCCTCGTCTATGGATCATTGTCATCGTCGTCATCATCAGCACCATCGTCATAAGAAAGCCGCGCAGTGTGAGCACATTGCAATGTGCACACAGGCAACAATCACGGGGGGGGGAGTGAGAGGCGCTCACCTTGCATGTTGGCTGCCACGCCCATGCCCTGGCCGAGTTCCTTGAGAGGCACGGCCAGCCGGCCGGACCTGGGGTTGGGCACGCCCGCGAGGACGGCCCAGTACTGCTTGGTGACGTGCTTGTTCTTGAAGAGCGACGTGAAGTGGGCAGCATCGGCGCGGGATCGGCCCATGATGAGCACACCGCTACATTCCTGTGTTTGTATATGACCGTGTTCAATCAATGTATCCGTGGTGTGTGTGTGTGTGTGTGTGTGTGTGTGTGTGTGTGTGTGTGTGTGTGGTTCCATGTGTACCTTGTCCAGGCGATGCACGAGTCTTGGTACTTCCTCCTTGTCGAATTTGAGCGCGGATAGGAACCTACCCAGGTGATTGTCTCCCACATCGGACCCACCTTGCACGGGCAGGCCAGGCGGTTTGTTGAGTGCAATCAGGCGGCTGTCCTTGTAGATGACCCAACTCTGCGCCAGCTTCGTGTCCTCCTCTGATCAAAAACGTGTGAGCTAGAGACCACACGCGGGAGCTGCTCGTATAATAAGAACGAATAATAATAATAACATAGGATGTGATGCGCGCGGGTGCACCGGAGAGCGGGTTCATTTCCCGCTTGATGCGAGGCTTGGCGTCGAGCTTGAGAGTGTCAAGATAGGCCGGGTAGGTGATCACATCGCCCACCTGCAGTTGTCGCTTCCCGTCCAGCTTGGCGGTCCGCTTGCTGCTCGTTGGTGCGTCGCCCTCCTCGTCCACCACCTGCTCCGCCGCACCAACCACTCGGATCTAACGCAAAGCGTCAGCACACACACACACACACACACACACACACACACACACACACACACACACGAGGGCGGAGAGGAGGGGTGCCTTGCGCTTGCGAAGGAGCTTCTGGAAGAGGGAGTTGGGGAGGTGCGGAAGCTGCAGCTTGAGCCACCGATCGAGGCGCATGTCGGCATCGCCCTCGGGCACCACGCGCCGCCTGTCGCGGGTCTTGGGCTTGGGCCTGTCTCCGGTAGGGACACCCTGCTCGTCCCCAGCCTCTTCTTCATCATCCTCTTCATCATCGGCGGCATCGAGCTCAAGCGCTTCTTCACCCTCGGTCCCGTCGTCGTCTTCATAGTGATCGCCTTGACCGTCGACCATTACGAGATCCTCCTCTCCGTCGTCGTCGGCGTTGAGCTGCACGCCGGCTCCGGCGGTCACCGGGCCGATATCGCCTTGGTACGTGACCCCCTTCTTGTTGATATCCCTCCGCTTGCTGTTCAACAGTCTTCTCCGCTTCTCGTCGGCACTCTGTAAGCTGTTTGCCAGGGGCGCGTGATCATCTTCACCCTCATCATCACTCCGCCACCCAGCGCTTTCTCCGTCTTCATCTTCCTCTCCGTCGTCTGCAACCGGCAGCGGCTTCGCTCCTTTCCGAGTAAAAGGGGGCGCCGAGGTGGCGATGGAACGATGCGAAAGGTGATTGAGGGAAACGAACAGCGGTATCGAATGGACGGAAGATTGCCGAGCCGGAGCTCCGTTGAATCCTCTTTGCCATATATGCGGCACACCAGTAGCGCGTGCGTACGTGGTTGTGCCAGCAGCAATCGGCAGACGCCTTCGTCCATTCACAGCCGCTCTCATCTTCTCTATTTTCTTCTTTGATTTTCTCGACCCCTGGGCCTTTTCTCTTTATTTCCCTTTGCTTACGTCATCGGCAGACACGACGCAAAGATCAAGAACCTCACACACCTCGCACACAGAACGAGAGCACGCCTTACGCAAGCAAAGCCAAATGGTGTCCCTTTTTCTCCAGATTGTGTGAATCATCTGGCACATGTGCTGATCCTATCCAACCCCACATCGATCGCTGCAGAATTTCTGGAATCTGACGGGGCTGCCGCAGGGGATCCTCAACTTCCCGCAGGGCGCACGGTTTGAATCCACCTACCGCTGCTATTCGGTGGCGATGATGGGCAAGGAGAAACTGGAGAACGGCGGCAAGAGTACACTCTCCCACGCCATCGTTGTGCTCTTCTTTTAGGCTAACCCCAAATGCTGTGCAGTAATCTTGCCAGCATCTGCACTCGATGTTCTCGGTACGTTATTCAATTGAGACTTCACCATCTGTTCTGAGGGCACTAACACGGCGTCTTGTGTAGCGCGCCTCAATATTGAATACCCCATGCTGTTCGAGCTGAGCGGCTCGCAAGGGCGCGTCACCCATTGCGGAGTGCTGGAGTTTGTGGCTGATGAGGGCTTGTGCTACCTTCCTCACTGGGTAGACCCTTGCTTCTTCTATTTCTGGCGCCAGCGCGTACGCTAATGCCCGTGTACATCCTCTTGTTGTTGCGGCGGTGTGCAGATGATGCAACAACTCTTGCTCACCGAGGGCCAGCTTATCAATGTCAAGAGTGCCACCCTTCCCAAAGGCACCTACACGAAGCTGCAGCCCGTCGACGAGACCTTCTTGGATCTCACCAACCCTAAGGCAGTGTACGGACTTTGACTCTCGGCCTCACCACCCAATCTTGGGATTATCATTCTCACGACTGGTTGTTCGCTGTTCGTTACTCCAGGCTGGAGAACGCACTCAGGAACTGGTCCGCCCTCACCGCAGGCGACGTGATCATCATCAACTACAACAAAAAGTACACATCACGAGCTCCGCGCAGCCTTTCCCCTTACGCATGTGAAACTGACCCTCTCCATTCAGGAACTATGAGATCAACGTGCTCGAGGTGAAGCCTGACACCCCCTCTCACGCCATTTCGATCATCGAGGCCGATGTGATGGTCGACTTTGCCCCTTCAGAAGACCAGCTGAAGAAGGGTACGTACTCTAAAGCCCCCTCCCGGACGGTCGGGCAGCGATTGATAGATTGATTAAATTGGTCCTGCAGCCGAGCAAGCGCGCCGACAGCAGTTGGAGAAAGCGGCCGTGAGTTCGATCAAGGGCAAGGGCAAGGCTACGGAGAAGGAGGCGCCCGGGGCCAAACCGGCGGAGCCTGAGCCCGAGGTGCCGAAGCCCTCCTTCCCCGGATCCGGCTTCAGACTCGACGGCAGGTCCATCAGTGCGACTTCAAGCACCCCTTACTCCTCTTCGTCTTCATCCTCCTCTTCCACTTCTTCGTCGGCGTCCAAGCCCGTCGTCAGGCCCACCACTTCTTCCTCTTCCTCTTCCTCTTCTGCTCCGTCGCTGTCGGCAGCCAAACCAGCGGCCGACTCGACGCGAAAGCCGGGCGGACTGGTCTTTGGAGCGGGGAACACCGCCGCGGCCGCCGCCAGCGCCAAGGCCAACGCCCCAGCGGCCAGCAAGGACCAAGGCAAGAAGAAGGAGGAAGAGAAGAAGCCCGCCCCGCAGGAGGAGAAGAAGTTCGTGCCCTTCTCGGGCGCCGGCTACTCGCTCCGAGGCTAGACGAGACTCGACTCATAGCTATGATCAACGTCAAGGGGCCTTGAACCGACATGTACAGACATCATCATCATCAGGTCAATCACTTCTTCTTGTTTATCCGCTTCCTCCTATCCTTTACAGTCTTTCTACTCGATGTCGTTGATGACGATGGTGATGATGACGACGTGGTGAGGCAAGTTGTGGGGTAGCTCCTACTAGGACTTGTCCTTCCTCGTCCAGAAGAAGGGGTCGTGCTTGAACTTGGTGTTGAACTTCTCGTACCACATGTCGAGCACCTTGGTCGGGATGAGCAGCAGTTCGTTCCGCGTGTCGGTCTGCTTGTTGAAGCTCTCCATGAATCGGAACAGGTCGTCGGCGATGAACTTGGCGAACAGCCGGTACTCCTCTTCCTGTGGCGGCACCGGGCTCACCTTCTTCACGATCTCTGACGACGGCTCCAACATAATCCCTGTACCATCATCATTCACTGGCCATGAGACACGACACGCACGACACGCACGACACGCACGACACGCACGATATGCACGACACGCACATACCGAGCTGGGCCTGGAAGGGCTGTGTGACAAAGGCGGGCGGCCAACGCACTTGGAGAATGTTGGAGGGGAGGTTGTTGGAGACGGCGCCCAGATAGAGCCACTCCTGGTAGGGCGGCGGGCTGATGTACACCGTCAGTCCGAACGACGGGTCTTGGATGGGTTGAGTGAGGAACACAGTCAACTGGGTGGACGGAAACGCACAACATGATGCAGGTAAGGGCCGAGGTGAGCATGTGGCACACGGCAAGTATTTTTTGATTGAAGGGTGATACCTGGCGTATGGCCTGAGCGTCAGGGATGAGGACGGTCCATCGGCCAGGGCTGATGGCCTGTGCGGTGGTGATGACCGGCTTGCCGGGCACCACGACGCCAAATGGCGTGGCCTGTTGTGCTGGGTCCTGCTGCATCTTGCGCTGTGGGGTATTTATTGTGTATTTAAAAATTCATTTCTCTTTCGTATTGTTTCTTCTCTTTTGAAAAGAGGTGTGAAATAACCTGAAAATTGGCCAAAAAGCCGTCTCCCGCCACTATTCGAGGAATTCAAACCCAAGTGACGTGTCGTTTGATTACAAATCTTTCAATTGAAATTAGATTTCAGAGGCGAAAGATGCGACGAAGAGGCGGAAACAACGCAGGGCTGATTTTGCTCGCCCTACAGGTGGCCCAAATTGGGTTCGACAAGATTCCTCCCGTGACGCTCATCGTCGGGGCCATCAATGTGCTCCTCCACTACGTCGATACGAGGCTGTCGATCTATGACGTGTGCATAGGAGCCGGCATGGTGTGGCATCGCTTGGATCTGCGGCGATTGCTGCTTGCCTCCTTCTTTCATCTTGACGATATGCATCTCTACTACAACATGGTGTCCCTCCTCTGGAAGGGCCGCGACTTGGAGCCGCGAATGGGCAGCAAGGTACCCACCTCACTTCCCACTTCCTCTCCTCGCAGTGCTTCTTCTTCTAAATGTACGCCGGCTACCAGAGATTCGCCACGTTGGTCGTCCTGTTCGCTCTCGTCTCCAACATGTTGATGGTGGTGGGAAGCGTCCTCTTGGATCGCTTCGCTGACATGCCAGGTGCGTCTCTCCTTCTTGCTTCTTCTCTCCTCTAGACACTGCACTGATCTGGGCGAACGTGCACGCACATACAGGCCCCTACAACTCGTGCGCTGTTGGCTTCTCGGCGGTCTTGTTCGCGCTCAAGGTGGTCACCACCCACTACTCCACTTCCCCGTACTCTCACGTACAGACCCACCACTTTGCTCTCTGCTAGCGGCTGTCTTCTTCTTCTTCTTCGTGCTTACACTTGTTACTTGTTGTGTTGCGCTGACCGAACGGCCTGCAGTTCATGGGGATGCTCGTGCCCACGCAGTACCTCTACTGGTTCGAGCTGGTGCTCATCCACCTGCTCGTCCCCGGCTCCTCCTTCTTCGGCCATCTGTGCGGCATTCTCACCGGCATCCTCTACGTCAAGGTACGCTCTGACACAGCAGGTGCCACCTGGTTTGCTTGGGACGTGATCGGTAACCACACACACACACACACGACCGCACATGCAACAGGGCGTCTTCCGGCCCATATTGGAGCTCGTCGACTTTGTGCTGAGCTTCTTCTTGGGCGGCCTCCCACCGTCAGCAAGCGGCGGCGGTGGAGGCAGGTCCCTGCGCGACGGTGTCATCTACACGAACGGCGGCCATGCACCATCTCATGGCTACGCGCACCAGCCAGGGCCATATACCGCCACCAGCCAGCCGTCTGCGTCGCCGCACTACTCTGTCGGCCGTGGCGGCAGCTTTGCCGGCCGAGGCTACCGCCTCTCCTGAGCCCTTGGTAAAACCCTCACAATCAAGTGTACAGTAAGTGTACAGTGCATTCTCGGGTAAGACCAGACCTGGTCTACTGGTTGATGTGTTTGCGTTATGTTTACTTTCCCTCACGAGGGAACATATAAACGTGAGTGTAAATGGTGAGATGATGTGACAAAGTCCAAGTTCGAGAAAGTATGCGGAGCATGCAACCAATCTTTGTTTTTTCTGCCTTCTTTTCAGTTTGTGCCTTTTTATCGCTCGAAAAAGTCCGCCCCGACAGCTTATTGTCCCTATTCGGGCACAGACGTAAGCCACCCATTGTCGAAACATGACCAGCATTAGCCGCAAAAGGACACACGAGGAGCTCGGCATGGCTCAAGGAGGCCTCCACACCACTTCTTGCCCTTCTTCTCTTGCAGAATTAACACTGGACGGGCTGCTGATAGAGTTGAAAGAGTGGGTATTCGACCGCATCGACGACCCGACGAGCTTCTACCACCTCTGCCTCGTGTCCCGGTCCTGGGCCTCTGTCGGCCGCGCGGCTGGGCTCCAGGCGCGTGCCAAGGACCGCTTTACCCGTCCCTCTGCAATCACCACCTACCGCTCCACCCAATGGGACGTCGAGCTGCTGACCTGGCGACTACCCAATGGCCGGCCCCACGGCCCCGAGCGGGTCGCGATAACGCCGCACCGCGTCGGCGGCAGCGGCTGCCAGGTCTACTATGCCGAGCGGGTCTGGGTCGATGGCGCCCTCGACGGCGACGAGATCATGTGGGAGATCAACGCCGCACAGCGCCGCTGCGCTGGCAGCGTCTATCGCACACACCCCTACAGCGGCATCGACGCTGTGCTCGCCTGGCAGGCCGACCCCAACCACGCCGCTGAAGCTGCGGCCGCGGCCAAGGCCTACAATTCGGGACCGATCGCCGAGCAGACGGCGATGACGATGGCGACGGAAGGTGGTGAGGTGGTGGATGACCGGCAGGCCGAGGCCAGGGCGCAGCTGGGCCGGTGGGCGCGGTGGGGCGTGGTAGTCTTGTGGCGGCGTTGGGCCGCCAGCGAGCTGGTCTGGCACGAGGAGCTGCTCGAGGAGATGCTCGACGCCTACGGCGTAAGTGGGGCCTTGGAACCCGTCGAACAATGAAATGCAGTGCAATGTAAGAAGATGCAATGTATGTACATTGGGGGGGGGGGCATCAGTGTTGGGGTTGCATGAGCCGCTGGATGGCGGCGACGGACTTGGGCACACCGGCGGAGAGGACCCGGTTGCCCTGCGCGGTGATGAGGACCACGTCTTCGATGCGCACCCCGCCAAACTTGGTGTCGAGGAAATGCAGTATCTTGTCCTTCACCAGGTACGGCGCCAGTTTGCTGTTGTTCAGCGCTGGTCGCAACAGCGCGTCCTACACGCACGCACACGCACACGCACACAGCACCGCATGAGGGCAAAAGAAACACACAAACGCACACAGTGAGCGCACGCGCACCATGAAGTAGAGGCCCGGCTCCATGGTGAGAGTGTAGCCCGGCTTCAGTACGCCAATGGTGCCTGGGTCGTGTACGTCCAGACCTAATCAGAGCGAGAGATTGGTGTGAGTGAATAGTTGCGGGTATGCGTGTGAGTGATGTGTGGTGTGTGGTGTGTGGTGTGTGTGCGTCGTGCCGATGTGGTATGTGTGTGTGTTGCGCACCGACGTGATGAACGAAGCCGTGGGGACAGAAGTAGGTGGAGATGGAATTGGCATCGAGGCCGCTCAATTCTCCCTGCACGAAGCCGGCCTTCAGCAGGAGCCTGTTATAGTAGCTCCGCAGCTCGGCCGACAGCGTCGGGTAGTCCGCCGCGGGCTGCATCATCGAAATGCCCTTGGTCTGCAGGTCCAGCACCAGCTCGTACACCAGCACCTGGTCCTCGGTCCACTCGCCGTTCACCGGGTACGACCCTGCAAGCAGCAGCGCGTCGGTCATCAGATTCAAATGGGGTTGGCGCGACCAGCGATGCGAAGCGACGGCGTACGGGTGATGTCGGTGGTGTAGCCCAGGTACTGGCCGCCCGCGTCGACCAGGAAGATCTGCCCGTTCTGCATGACCGCGTTGTTGTCGGTGTAGTGGAGGATGGCGCTGGCCTCGCCCGCGCCCGCGATGGGCCGGTAGCTCTGGTGCGCCAGCCTGGCACGAGGAGCCGCGCACGATATGGTAATCGAACGCGTCAGAACCGTGCGCGTGCGGCTGCGTGTGCGGTGGTGTGCGTATGCGCTTCTCCAGGGGAAATGGGCGGAGCAGGCACCCGCAAGCGTAGCACAGATTAATGAAGAGGCCGTCCATGTTGTATTCGAAGGCGCCCGGCTTGATCGACTTCATCAGGTGGACGTGCGCCGCTGCACTCACGTCGGTAGCGATGCGGATGAGCTCGATCTCCTCCGCCGATTTGACGGGCCGGACAAAGTTGAGCGCCCTAGACACGCCGACGCGTTAGAAGAGCCATTCATCACCCCCGCTCGCCGCAGCGACAGCTGCGTCATAGCGGCAAGTGGCGACGCACTTGATCAGCGTCGAGTTGTCGACGGTGTAGTTGGTCAGGAATCTCTGTCCGGCCGTTGCGACGAGAGTATAGACTGGGAGAGCGGCTTGGTTCGTTCGGTTGTACAGCGCAGCCGCAAGCTGGGGCGCATAAAGCCTGCCACGCACCACGCAAACACGCAGCACACAGTAAGACACGGTACGTGTGGTGTAAGAATGCGATCGGCCAGCGTACACTTCGTCGACTCCATACTTGGCCTTGACTTCCGCCGGCTGGAGGACTTTGCCGTTCCTGTGTGTGGGTAGAGCACGCACGTTCAGTGCATGACACGACACGACCAACGACACGACCAAATAACACGACACGCATGGGACAGACTCGTGCGAGTTTGATGGTTCGCGCACCAGATGGCGTAGGTGCTGTCGCGCGCGGGCATGAAGAGCGTGGTGCGGCCCGAGGCGATGTCGATCAGCACCGAGTAGCCGGGCTCGTCGACCCCGGTGAGGTACAGGAACGAGGTCTCCTGGTAGAACTCGAGCTCGACGTCGTTGCGGTAGGTCAGGTCCAGCCCTACGAGCAGCAGCAGCCCGTCGGCCCCGCCGCCGGCCTCGTCCTGCCACACGGCCGGGCTCAGCAGCCGCTGCCGCAGGCCCTGCCGCATCGTCGCCAGCCAGGCCTCCGTGGGCGGCTCGAACGGCGCCACGCAGCTGGTCACAAACCCGCTATCGCCACCACCCGACGAGTCGCTGGTCTTGTCATTCACCTCGGCGGCGTAGAGGGAGACGAACACGACCACCAGCACCAGGGCGACGGCGAGAGCCACGGCCAGCGAGGCGGTCAGGGTGCGGCCCCACTGCGGCAGCCACCAGCAGACGAGCGTTGAGAAGAAGGGCACAAGGATGAGAACAAATCTTTGGGTGGGGGTGGGGTACCAGGGCATAAAAGCGGGAGAAGCGGGAACCGAGGCTCTCACCCAGCAGCAGCGGCCTCCCCTCCAAGTCCTCCATGTCGTGGTGAGACGTCCGCCACCGGTGGCCGGTCTTGCGGCTCGTCATACGTCTGCCGATTGGGCGGGATGACAGCAATCACATATTACAAATTCCGCAAAATGTTGTGTATGCTAAGCGTGTGTGACGTTGGAATTCAAAATATTAGGTGATAAAGCGGCGCAACCAGAACGTCTGGCCACCTTTCGCTCGCCGATTACGGCACACCGCTCGCCCCGGGGCGTGAGCCTTTTCTTGTAGATTGTTGTACACACGGCCAACACCGCGCCATGAGGTCCGTCGCGGCTCTGCTGGTTCTCAGCTTCTGCCTGGCTCTGGCCAGCGCCTCGTTCGAACCTGCCTCCCCTGCCGCCGGCTGCTCCGGAAAGCCCAACTTGTCCCCCATCTACGACGATGCCCCTCAGGTACTGCCCCATCAAACTCAACCAACTTGGTCGTCTCTCCCCCCCCCACATCTTCGTTATTTCTTCGCTTTCTCATCTTGTATGATGATTTTATGTTGATGGCTCTTGCACATAACCACAGTTTGTGAAGTCAGTGCCCAACGGCAAGCTCTACATCCAGCGCAACGTGACTCCGCCCGTGTACATCGTGCACCTCTATGGTACCGCCTACGAGATGGGCTACGCGCAGGGTCAGCTCTTCAAGGACATCGGCCCCAAGTTCTGGCCCTCGGTACACCAACCCCGTCCTGCTAGCCCGTGTTCTGCTTCTCTTTGTCATTTTAATGTTATTAATAACAACATTATTTATTTTCCATTTTTTGTCACCATGTGGGCGCATACACTCATGAGTGCTTTTATGGTATAATATGTAGATCATGGAGTACATTTACTCCCAAATCGACCAGTACCTGAAGATGTTCCCCGAGTGGCTGCAGCACCTCATCGCCGAGTCTGGCGTCGACGCCGCTCTCGACAGTACGCTCCCATGTTTATATTTATTTTTTTTTCTCTTTTTCTGACTGACGTCTGTGGGCTGGCGCGCAGTCACGGGCTACATGACCGAGGCCTACACGCCCAAGCGTTTCTTCGACGAGATCCGCGGCATCGCCGATGGTTCCGGCACCGACTACACCACCCTCTACCGCATCCACATGTTCCCCGAGGTACGTGTCTCGTTCGCGCTGCTTTGCCCCGTGTGGCTGTGATGATGTTGGATGGTGATGATGATGACCGCTTGGCGCCCGCTCACGATCGTATGCTCGGGCGCCGTCGACAGCTGATCCAAGCGGCCTGCAGCATGTTCGGCGCCTGGGGCAAGGCCATCGCCAACACCAACGGCACCCTCTACCAGCTTCGCGCCCTCGACTGGTCCACCGACGGACCCTTCCAGCAAGTACTCACTCCTTACAAACTTTTGACTAATTATATCTCTCAAATAATAATAATAATAATAATAAAATTAACACCATCATGTTGGGCGTGGTCAGATGCCTGCTGTGCTGGTGTACCACCCGAACGAGGGTGACGGCCACACCTTTGCCTCGTTCGGCTGGGCCGGCTTCATCGGCACCATCTCCGGCTACTCGTCGTCGCACATGGGCGTGTGCGAGAAGGTGTGGGCCGGCTACAACGGCACCCTCGCTCGTGTTGGCGTGCCTTGGCATTTCCTTCTGCGCGACATCATGCAGGTACGACCACCACTCCGCCATGCAATCACACGGACAGCGGCAAGTTGATTGATCTCACCATCTTTCGCACACGCGTACAGTATGACACCGACATCGCCGATGCGACCATGCGCATGGAAGCGGCGCGCAGGACTTGCGCCATCTTCGTCGGCCTGGGCGACTACACCAACACCTTCACCGCCTTCGGTTACACCCATGACAAGCTGGTACGCCGCCACCACCAACCAAATCACCCAGCCCAGCGCGCTTTCTTAACTAACGTTGCTATTGGTTGTTGTTCACAGCACATCTGGGATTGGAAGAACTTCCCGGTGTACCCCGACCACCCGAAGATGGAGGGCCTGGTCTACCTCGACAAGCACCCCCAGCCCTCGGAGCACGTGTGCTTCTCCTCGCTCCTGCAGCAGTACTACGGCAGCATCACGCCCCAGAACACCATCAAGTACATCACCTCGCAGGGCGAGACCGGTACGCCAACACACAACACACACACATACACACACAACACACACACACACACACACACACACACAACACACACACAGCAACCCCGAGCTGACTCTTTCATTGTTCGCATCGCATCAGGCGACATGCAGATTGCCGTGTACGATTTCGCGTCGGATCACGTCTACCTGGCCAACGCCGGACCCGCGCCCAACGCCGTGCCCGCCTACAAGCGCCCCTTCATCCGCCTGGACATGGCGCGCCTCTTTGCCGAGCCCAAGCCCTAATCACGCTTTGTGTTTGTTCTGCTCTTTACATGCAACCACATCATCACCACCCAACTTTAGTAGTTTCTTCTTGTAAGTCAACAGGGCTGTGCGGTGGTGCTGACGTCACCATGAGCGAACTGAAAGAGAGAGAAATAAAAAGTAAAAAGAAAACAAAATCAATTATAAAGATGCAGACGCGCCGACAACAGCAGCTCGATGAGGAGGAGATCGCGAAGCAGCTCGAAAAGCTGACGCCCGAGGAACGCGTCGAGTTGGAGAAGGTGAAGAATCAGTGGGAGGCCATCCAGCGAGAGAAGAATAAGAGCATCCAGGAGCACCTGCGCGACTACAAATGGAGCGATGAGGAGAAGGAGGCCCTGCGCTACTGCGCCGTGCGGGTGGGTGCCGCCAGCGGCGTGGGCGGCGTGGCCTTCGCCGTGGTGGGCGACCTGTGGCTGCGCAAGGTGCGCGGCGTGACGCGTCCGCTGCCGCGCGCCCTCTTCTTCGTGCCCACCACCGTGGCCGGCCTGCTGACCGGGTTCGGCTTCACCTCGGGCCTGTGCATCAACCGACTGAGCGAGCTCAACTCCCCTCTCGGAGCCTCCATGCGCGACATGTACCCACCCGTTCAATCTCATCTTTCAGCTGTTGGATGGAATTCTGGGAAACGTGGAGATGAAGCGCTTGTCTCACCGCAAGAGGAAACGCGCACAGGCTCCGTGCGCGCACCCTCGCGACGCATGGTGCCAGCCCTGACGTGGCCCCCAACCTCGAGAATCTCAACAAGCCACCCGGTGCCGAGCGCTTTGGGTACGCTACGTGCGCGAGCCTGCTTGGGTGTGGCGATCACTCACCCCACCCGATTGTTTCTTCTTCTTCTTCACTTAGCCGGCCTGGCGGGCCAGCAGCAGCGGCACCGGAAGCTCGACCAGCCTGGCAAGACGCCATCCTGGCGGAGAAGAAGGAGGGAGACCTGCCCGCACAGAAGAGCTAAGAGAGAGAAGGGGAAAGAGGCCTCGATTGTTCTCACCTTTCCCTTTCTCCTTCACTATTTTAACAAACCTTTCCTTTATGCCTATGACCCACCCTGGCCGAAGTACTTGGCGATGATCGTGATCAGGATGTTCAGCGCAGGCAGTGCTTGATCTTGTTGACTCTCCTGCACAGGAGACCGCGCCCATGATGAGTGCGACACGACACGACACGACACGACATGGAGAGAGTACCAGGCGAGACCGATCCTCGGCGAGCCGTCGGAGAAGGGATCGAAGCGCGGAGGCCATGTCGGCGTCGATGGGCTTGTCCAGCCGCGACAGGAGCGCATACAGCCACTGTGTGTGCACCTCGTCGACCTCCTTGGCCTTCTTGGCCCAGCGGATGTGGTACTCGAGCAGCTGCCTCACCGAGACCTGTGTGTCGTGGGTCGCTGTTCGAGTAAGCAGCACCACAGTGTGTGGCCGATGAGCATTGAAGGAGGAACGGCGTTCGTACGATGTCGAGAGTCATGACAACCGACATGGTGGGTCGAGTGGGCGTGACTAGTGTGCGCTCGTCGCCGTGACGATGTATGCCCAAGTTGATCTGCTTCCACCGCTGTGCGTCCTGCAGGGCGAGTCAGATAAGGCGTTGAGCGTTTTCGCGTTCGACGTTGTCTCTCTGTTTTGTTGTTCGACACTGATCCCGAGCTCAAGCGGACGAGGTTTGTACGCACCCTGATCGAGGGAAGCGGCTGTGCGAGTTTCGGCTTGGGCATCGCTTCGTACCGATGAGCAAGATCCTAGCAGAAGACGAAGGCCCAAACACGATCAACACTGTGTGGTGCTTGCGTGTGTCGGGTGTGCGGTGTGTCGTGGGTGGTGTAGTACTTTGCGCAGGGCATCAAAGTTGAGGAGGAATGTGCTCTCCCACTCGGGGGAGGGTCGTAGAGCCTCGGGACACTCGGCGATGTCGGGTGGTGGCGTCAAAAAGGTGGTCTGCCGGCTGTGTGTGAGAGAGTGAGGGAACAACAGCGTGTCAGTGCCTGGAGCACAGGAGCAGCAAGTCTTCTGAACCACGTCCGTCGTCTCGTACCTGTCATACTGCCGAGGGTCGATGTTTGATTTGACCACCTTGGGCACTCGTTTCGCCTCCCATCTGTGTTGGCAGCACGAGGTCAGATTTGTTCATTAGATTGGGCATGTAGCACATGCAGGAAGGAGGAAGGAGGAAGAGATAATAAGAACCGAACGCGGCGCAGATAGTCGAAGCCATCCATGGGCGGACCGGCGTCGGGTCCCAGCTCGCCATCAATCTTGAATGCACGCGGGCCGATGTAGTCTTCTTCCTCTTCCTCCTCTTCCACAGCCGCTGGCGACGCAGGCTCCACCCCCGCCTTCTCGCCCCCCGCAGGCACTTCCTCATACGCTGCCCACTCCATCTCTCGTGCAAATATAAATCAAAAAATAAATAAAAAATATCATAATATATTTACTGAATAAATCGCAGCTTTTTCACTAATTATCCACCATACGCACAAGATGAACATGAATCATCGTCAAGGCACAACCTCGCTCATGGCAACGAGCTGAGCCCTATGTTTGGAGGCCAGGGAAATATTCGAGTGTGTTAGGATAAAACAAAAATGGGTGGTGTGTACATCGGCATGCTCTGTTCCTCTCTTTTCAGGCGTTGTAGACCTTGACTATGTCGAGGATGGGCTGGCGGCAGATGGGACAGCCCTTCTGGTGCTTCTTCAGCTGCTGCGCGCAGTCGTGACAAGCCGCCAGGTGGCCGCACTTGTAGAAGATGACGTCCCTCTTCTCGCACAGGCAGATCACGCACAGCGACTCATCTGTAAAGATCACATTGCAAGCCAAAGATCGCATCGATCAGCACAGGGCTCGTTGGCCCCGATGATGATGATGGCTCGTGTAGTACCTTCTTTCTGCTCCTTCTCGAGCGACAGCTGCGCCATGTTGGAGGAGAGGTCGTCGGGCGGCGCGGAGGGCGCGCTTGCCTGGGGCGGAGGCGCGGCCGCGGTGTGCATCATCGTCGCCGAGCCGGAGAGCGGCCCGTAGGGGAATGGATATCCGGCGACGGACGTTGATGCCGAGTGCGGCTGCGGAGGCGGCGCCGTGAAGTGCGAGCTCGTCGGAGCGCCGCCGGCGGGGGTCGTCGTGGCCGCGTACGCAGCGTAAGGATAGGCCGAGGCGTCCGGTGGCGGGAGCGCGCCGCTGGTGGGCGCGGGCGGGTAGCCGGTGGTCGTGGGATAGACGCCCGAGCCGCCGATCGCACCACCCTGCTGGTAGGGCGGCGGATAGGGCGAGGCGGGGTAGGGCATGGAGCCCGGCGGGCCGTACGGCGCAGTCTGCGGAGGCGCCATCATAGGATCATAGCCGGGATAGGGCATGGTGGGGTGCGGCGGATAGGCGCCCGATCCGCCCGGTCCGGCGGCGCCGAACGGGTAGGGCTGGGGCGGGTAGCCCGCGGGCGAGGTGGCGGTGGTGGGCGGAGGAGGATAGGGAGAGTGCGGAGGCGGGTAGGCGCCGGCCGGTGGGGGCGCCGCGCTATTCGGGTCAAAGTAATGACCAGCCTGCACGAACAGAGCGTTCCAGTGGCCTCGGGCCGAGGCGTGGATGTTCTGCGCCAAGTACTGCACTTCGGGTCCGTGCAAAACCATGTCGACGCGCATGAGCACGTCCACGCGACCCACGCCAGGGCACCCTGAAAAAAAAGGGGGGGGGGGATAATGGTGAGCATTAGGAGACAGTGGGGGCGCACATGCAAGTGGTGATGCTGTGTACCGTTGAGGTGGGCGTGGCTGTCCTTCCATCGGGCAACGTCCATGGGCGCTCCGGTGACGGGGCTTATGAGTTTGCCCTGCTTGCTCTCGCAGAGCTTGGATGCCGCTCCCGGGAAGCCCGCGCACAGGCACAGATTGCATATGGTGATGCTAAAAGTGGCAAAAGAGTGAGCAGCTGACCACCTTTCAAAAGGGCGCGCAAATGCGGGCGAAAGAAGTACCTGTGCGCCAACTTCGAGTTGGCGGAGAAGCCGAGACCACGGCCTTGCCAAGCCTTGAGGAGGAAGTCGCCTTCCTTGTCCGTCATCACAATGTGGTACCAGGAGAAATCTTTCCCTTTGCAGCCCGCGCACACATAGTTGGCGAACCGTGTGTTGGTGTCGCACCCCTCACCAGGGCATCCTACAAGCACACGGAAAACACGATTAGCAGAGAGAGAGAGAGAGGCGATGACGATGGTGGCCGACTGTACCAGCATAAGTGGTCTTGCCCTGGCGGTCGATGACTTCGTAAGGCTTGGTGAGCAGCGTCCTGTGCCTGGCACAGCCGGGAAAATTGACAAATAGGCACTGTTTGCACACGCCTAAAAGAACCGACGAACCAACGGGCAGTTTAGCCACCACCTTCACTGCCGGTCGGGTTATGGATTGCGTGGACCCGCACAGGAGCGCGGTACCTATTGCGACAGGGTGCGTTTGGCGAGGGTCGACGGTGACGGCAAGGCTTTCGACGCTGCTAGGACGGCCCGAAGACGGCGGTGGAGCTGGCGCACCTGTAGCAGGCTGCGCAGGCGCGCTGTAGTGGATCGCTGACCGCACGCGCCCGGTGGTGTACTTGAAGTCTGACCACCGGCCAACGGCAGTTCCCTTGATCTTCTTCTTCGCATAGTCGAGCTCGCTGAACATCAGGATGATGTCGATGCGCGCCAGGAACTCACGGCCCTTGGTGCCGGGACACCGTTCGTGGCAGTGCGTGAAGTGGTTCTGCCACAGCGCCAGGTCGACGGCTTGGCCGGCCTCGTCGACCAGCTGACCCGTGGAGTTCGCCACGCACAGCTTGTCGTTGATGATGGGAAAGAGAGTCGCGGAACACTCCGTGCAGATCAAGAGGCACGTCGCGAGCTTGACCTGTTATCAAAGCAATACTCGTGAGTCAGTGCAAGGTGAAAAAAAAGCGCAATGTAAAAGATGATGGTTGTGAAGAAACAAGAGAAGGCGAACGTGTTTTGCTCGCTGACGTACCTGGGCTGGCTCCTTGACACCGCACCGATGCTTGAAGGCAACGATTGCTCGCTCAAGTTCTTTATCGGACAACGTTATTCTGTGGCCACACGGTTCCACATGCGTGCAAAAGATGAAGACATGAGCTCGGTACATAGATGTAGGTGTTGGGTGGGGGCTCACCTGTAAATGTCGTGATTCTTGCATGCGCAGCCGACACAGGGAAATCTAGATTTTGCAGTATTGACATCGCAGCGAGCTCCTGAACAACGCGTGCTGACGCTGTCCACGCCATACGGGAGACTCAAGAGTTGCTTGTGATTTCTGCAACCTGCAGATTAATGCGTCAAAAAAACACTCTTTATAGTGAAGGATGTGGAAAAAAATCCATCATCGTTAAAGAATGGGATACCTACCTGGGAAGTTGAGAATGCGGCACTGACCGCACACAGCAGCAGTGATTGGGCGAAAGGTCGAGTACTCGACACCCATCTTGACTTGCTGAGGAGGAAGCGAAAATCAAAAAGGGATGGAGATGACGCTGCTGGCGATGGAAATCGGCAAGCAAAATCAGATACTACAGCCACGAAATGTGTCGCTATCCAGCTCTCGAAGTTTCGTTTCCAAGTTTCTGCCCGTTTCCAGCCCGAACTCAAACTGCGCGCTGACGTAAGCCCCCGAACGTAAGAAGATGGAAGCGAAGTCCCCTGAGCAGAGGATTGAAGAATTGGGCTTGCAGCTGCCGCAGGCCAGCAAGGGCATCGCGGTCTACAAGCCCGTCGTGGTGGTGGGCAACATCGCCTACACCTCGGGCCAACTGCCGCTCGATCCTGTGACCAACCAGCCGCGGAAGGGCAAGCTCGGTGATGGGGTCTCCGTCGAGGAGGGCCATGAGGCAGCTCGTTTGTGCGTACGTTCACTCCTTTCTTTTCTTCACTCAATCTGCAGGGTCCTGATCTATTCCACGTCCGAAGAGCACTGACCCTGCGCCACACAACAGGGCCTCTCTATGCTCGCGGTGCTGAAGGCCGAACTGGGCTCTCTCAACAAGATCAAGCGCGTGATCAAGCTGGTCGGCTTTGTCAACTCTACTCCTGACTTTGAAATGCAGCCTAAGGGTGAGTTGAGCCTCTTCTATGGCCTGCTCGAGTGTGTGCTTTCGCTCACTTTCTCCTTCCTCCTTGCCTTCATATGCGTGGCGATGCATGGTCACTGCGGATCAGTGATCAACGGCATCAGCGAGCTGTTCAGGGACATCTTCGGCGAGGAGGCGGGCGTCGGTGCGCGGAGCGCCGTGGGCGTTGGTTCTCTCCCGCTCGGCGTGCCGACCGAGGTGGAGGGCATCTTCGAGCTTCACCCTTGAGTACATGTGTATGTGTAGCATTGTATGCAGCAACCTTGACCATGCAGAACAGGAGATCTGGCCTTGAGTGTGCAACGGACACGTTCTCTTCCCTGAGAATGTTTCCTTACCGGCCAAGGACAGGGGGAACCGCCCCTCGTCTGGGTCTTCTCGACAAGAAGGAGCTGAGGATGAAGAAGCTTTGCGGAAAGAAGGATGCCGCACGGTTGGGGTGGGTCAAGGTGGAGCTGCCGAAGGAAATCTACGACCAGTTGCACGAATTCGGGAGTAGCATCCCCAGCGAATGGACGTGCGACAGTCAAGGGAGGACGAGGGCTGAGGGCGGCAAGGAAGAGCAACACTTTCACGTCACCTTTCTCCTACAGCTCAAAGATGCGCCAGGCAAGGTGAAGGCCCTGCGCGCGATTTTGAGCCAAGAAGAACCCATCGAGCTTGGATTTGGTGAGATGTTTTACAATCGTGTGGCCCGCATTACTCGGCGCGAGGTGCACTGCCTCGGTCTGCCCATACTCGATGACCGCCACAACCGCCTGTTCAACCTGCGAGAAAGATGTGCCACGGCCATAGGCGGCAAGGTGCAGCCTCATCGCTTCATATACTGCTTTTTGATCTCTGCTGACAGCGGTGGGCAGGTGGCCTACAGTGGGCCAGGGCACATCTCGCTGGCCTACATCGTAGGACAGCACGCGCGTGACGGCGAGGCACTGGCGAAGAAGTCCAGCGGGCTCATGTGCGGCCAACAGTTCCTCCTCACCTCCGTCGTGGTGGAATGGGGACCACGCGATGCCGCCACCAAGGAACGAGCAGAGGTGCACTTCCAGGGATGCGGGCCAGGCACAGAAGAGAGGACAACGGGAGCCACCAAGGCGAGGCAAGAGGTTTGACGCCTCTGCTCTTCTGTGCAGGCTTACAGCGAAAAAAAGAGTAGGATGGCGCCAATGGGAATCGAACCCATGATCTCTCCCTTACTAGGGGAGCGCGGTGCCGACTGCGCCATGGCGCCCCAATCCTGCCAACTGAGTGGTCCGAATAAACGGCAACGGTTGAGCATGGAGTGAACAGTTTCCCTGCAATTTTTTCCAGGAATGCTTTCTCTGAAACCTGGCACCACAAAAGAACGAAGAAGAAACAAAGCGAACAAAACGGCCTTGGCACCAATGCTTGTGTTTATAGTGACGCTGACGCAGAGCACCTATGAGGTGGATAAGGCGCTGTACGAGCAGGTGAAGCACCTCTACGATGCTCGCAATGTTGAGAAGCTCCAGGACAAGACAGACACGGTGCTGCTCAAGGGGCGCACCTTCATGCACCTTGAGGTGGAGCCCTCAATGAAAATCCTCGAACTCAAAGAGCTCATCTCCCTCACCGCAGGTAAGCCCACGTTTTTGTTTCTTGTGTGTTATTAGTTATTTGTTTGTTGTTTGTTTTTTAATTGGCCCTTCTGGTGGCAATGAGTGCAGGCATACCGCCCGACCAGCAGCGGTTCATTCACGCAGGCAAGCAGCTGGAGGATGGTCGTACCTTGAGTGACTACAACATCCAGAAGCATGCTGTGATTGATCTTGTTCTTCGTCTGCGTGGTGGTACTTGTCCCAAGCGCTTCTTGCCCAGCCTCCTCATTATTGAATGCTTCTTCCTTCCAGACTGAGCAGGGCAATCGTGTGTGAACCACTCGCCAGAGCTGCTGCAGCGAACAACCACAACTGTAGTCATCATCACTTATAGTTGCTGTTACGAACCCAACTTGTCATCTGTAAAACAGTAACAAGACGTTGTTGAAAAGATGAGAGTGTCCACGTTTTACTTGTAGCGAATATCATCAGGGATGTCAAGCCTCTGCTCCAGGAAGGCGTCGCGTGCTTCACGGAAGGCGTCCCGCACCACCTCGTTCATGGCCGGGTGGATGTGGATGCACTTGAGGATGTCGTCCAGCTTGCCGCCCATGGTCATGACCGGGATCACCTCGTGGACGAGCTTGCTCGCATCGGATCCAATGACGTGGAAGCCCAGCACCTTTCGGCTTGCCTTGTCCACCAGCACCTTGGCGAACCCGTGCTTCGCCCGGAGTGCCATGCCCATCGGCGTTTTGCTGTACAGCGCCACTCCCTGTTGATGGTGGTCTCATCAGATGAAGGAAGTGTGGTAACAGGGAAGCAGGGTGCATGTACCTTGATGTACCCAGTGCCCTCCTCCTTGAGCTCCTGCTCGGTCTTGCCCACTCCGCTCATTTGTGGATACGAGAAGACTGCGTGCGGCATCGGCTGAAGAAGAAGAAGAAGAAGAAGAAAGGTGCTATGAGCACGGTGCTGTGCCGTGGGGGACAGGTAGCATAGGTACGGCGTAGTCGATGGGCTGCTGCTTCGACGTGTCCTTGGGAAGCGCGGCGGAGCGAAGGAGGTACTCGGCCTCGAAGTTGGCCGAGTGCCTGAACATAAAGTTGCCCACGCAGTCGCCCAGAGCCCACACGCCCTCGCAGGTGGTGCGCAGGCACTCGTCCGCCTTAATCATCCCCTGCTCGGTCAACTCCACGCCCGTCTTCTCCACCTGAAGCTTATCGCAGTTTGCCTGCATTGTGTGTGTGTGTGTGTGTGTGTGTGTGGGTTTCGTAACTTGGACAGACCGATTGTCACCGCTGTGTATTATACCTGGACGCCGGTGGCGACAAGCAGCTGCTCGGCTTCGATGGTATGCGTTTTTTGATCGTCGCCGTACTCGACAGTGAACGTACCGTCGTTGTGGCGCACCTTCGTCTGTTGGCCACACAACAGCACACAGTTCAGTATTTGTGAGACGCGGATGATTCATATGTTCCCGGAACGTACAATGTTGACTTCGGGCTTGACGTCGACGATGGAGGTGAAGACCTTCATGAACTCCTCGGCCACGTCCTCGTCCTCTCGGTCGGCCAGGTTGGCCTTGGAATCCAGCACCGTCACCTTGATGCCCATCTCGTGGAGGAAGAAGGCCAGCTCCGCGCCGATGTAGCCCCCTCCGATCACACACGCCGACTTGGGTTTCTGTGTGTTGTGTGGCATAGGCGCGTGACGTCAGCACCCACCTTAGCCTTGGTCCACATACGGTTCTGAGAGGACCTTGGTCATGCGCAAGGCTTCGACGTAGGTGATGTAGGGGGTGCTCTCGAGTCCGTCGATCGGCGGCGCGGCCGGGCGTGCCCCTGTGTGATCCAATTTAGCCCATGATCTACTCCCAAACGTAGTGCGCGCGAGGGCTGGCGCGCTACCGCAAGCAATGAAGATCTTGGGCGCGGTGATCTCCTCGCCGGTGGACTCCACCCGGAGCACCCGCTTGTCCACGAACGTGACGTGGTCTGTGCAAAAAGAAGAAAGAAGAAGAAGAAGAAGAACATAGTGAGCAGAGCTGTGATCGTCTTCGCTCCGCGCTCGGTCGTCTAACCTTGAATGAGGTGGATGCCGTGCTCTTCGACCTTGGGCTTCCAGTTCTCGGCCGCCTTGTCAATGTGGTTGCACACCTCCTCCACAAGCGCCTGTGTGTGTGTGGCGTGAGTGTGTTGTTTCGTGCGTTGTGTGGCTGTTCAATCAACCAAACGAGCGAGCGCGAGAGAACCTGATGGTGGCGCTCCACGCCGTGCGTGCGTAGATGGAGCTTCTGGCACTCCTCCATCTCCTGCGCCACCTCAGCCGGGTGCAGCAGCATCTTACTGCCGCGCCAGCCGTCAGCGTCTCCAAACTCACACCACACCACACCCGCACGCACCACACACAGACTCGCGCACCTGGGAATGCAGCCGCGGTTGAGGCATGTGCCGCCTAGGGGACCCTCCTGGACGGCCACCATCAGTACCCAAGAGGGGGGTGAGGTGGGGGGCTTGGTAGTACCTCGATGAGGCAGACGCGAAGGCCGTTGCGAGCTGAGGGGACTGCGATGCCGGTGAGACCCGCGCCGCTGCCCACAACCACGATATCGAATTCCTTCCTCGTGCGGCTGGCCATGTCGGTACGTCGTTGAGTCGTTGAGTCGTGTCTATCGTTTGTATGTGCTTGCTTGGTGGTCTGTAGTGCGAAATGGCGTGCCCCTCCATGACAGATCAGGTGCGCGGTCCAAAGATCAAAAGCCACCAAGAGTGAACGGAATTTCTCTCGCTACGCGCGTGCACTTTCCCGGAGGCTTGTGTGCGCAGTTATCTTTTTGTGTGTATTTATTGTTAATATTACCTTTTAATCTTACTATCTTTTTCTCATCTCTATTCGGCGAAGCCGGGACACCACACACAAATAAATAAATAAAAAACAAATCTCAAAATCTCAAACATTTCCAACATCTTCAACCCTCTTCCTGAAGATGGAGCAGCCGACCCGCACCTACAGCAACACACGACACGGTACCTACCTAGCGTTTACTTTGCATTCCGTTAATTGTTTTGGGGGGCCACTGACCCAGGCAAGCTGACCGCGGATCCCCCCCCCACCACCATTCAACGCGTTAGGCGCCGGAGCGGATGGCACGTTTAACGCGGAGAGCTGGCTGTGCGCCTTCAGCAAAGCCAGCGCGACCCGCAATGGCGGTGCCCTGCGCGCCCTTCGGTAAGAGCACACACGCGACACACGCACGACACCCGCACGGCACTCACGAGCGCACACGATCGGCAGGGTGGACATCATCGAAGACACGGTGCGGTGCTGCGAGCAGCTGTCGTACCGCCTTCTCACCGGCGAGCAGATCCCGATCACCACCGCCCAGGCCCTCCAGGAGCAGGTCAAGGCGTACGTGCCACCACTGTCGTGTGTGTCGTGTGTGTCGTGCGACTCACCGCACACGCTGTGACGCGCGACGCAGGTGTGAGCTGCACACCCTACGCGAGTTGTCGGTGAAGCAGCGCCGCTTCCCCGAGACGCACTACGAGGTGGTGGAGGGCGACTGCTTGGAGGCGGCCATCGACCTCAAGCTCAATCGCGGCCTCAATCCGGCCGTGCTCAACATGGCCTCCCACAGGCGGCCCGGCGGCGGCTACAAGTGCGCTCACGCTCGCTTTCGTTCTTTCGTTCTGCACTGATCTGCTGGCCTGCATCTCACGCGTGTGCGGTGGTGTGTGCGGTGTGTGCGGTGGTGCGTGCGGTGTGTGCAGGCATGGAGCGGGAGCCCAGGAGGAGAACCTGTTCCGGCGGAGTAACTACTACCAGTCGCTGGAGGACCCGAAGAAGATCGACGCCGGGCGGCGGTGGGGGTACCCGCTGCGCGACTTCTCCGGCGTCTACTCGCCCTCGGTGCGGGTGTTCCGCGCGGCCGAGTCCAAGGGCTACGAGTTCCTGCCGGAGCCCGTAGCGCTGGACTTCATCGCCGTCGCCGCCTATTCCCACCCTCAGCTCGTGACTGCGAAAATCAACGGTTCGCATTCGCCGCACACGCACCACCGCACACACCGCACACATGTGAGCTGAGGCTAGTGGGGGCGGTGATGATGGTTGCAGGCAAGCCGACGCTGCGACTGGCGCCGGAAGTGGTGGTGAAGACGAAGGACAAGATCAGAGTCATCCTCAACATCGCCGCCGAGCATGGACACGACTCGCTCGTTCTCAGGTCTTCTTTCTTTCTTTCTTCAATCCTCTGCTCAGGGGACTTCGCTTCCCCGTACGCTCGAGCAGTGATGCTGACGCCACAGAGTTTGTTTCTCTCTCTTCTCTCTTCGCAGTGCGTTCGGTTGCGGTGCGTTCTGTAATCCGCCGGATCACATGGCCGAGCTGTTCCGGGAGGTGCTCGAGGAGTATCGGGGCTGCTTCAAGCACATCTGCTTCGCCATCTTCAGTACGGCCTCTTGCCTCTTCACTACTGACTTTTTTAATGTAACTGCTCTTCCTTCGTCTGCGCTCACTTATTATTAGATGACCACAACTCGCGCAAGGAGCACAACCCGCTCGGCAACGTGCTGCCCTTCAAGCGCGTGTTCGGGGTGAGCACCCCGGCCGACGAGGAGGCGGCTGTGCGGGTGGCGGCGACGCGGCCGGGCGGAGGTGACGATGACGACGAGGCCGAAGAGGCGCAGGAGGGGCGACTGCCCCAGCGACGTGGCGGGCCGCGAGACATAGCGGGCCGGGGAAGAGGAGGAGGAGGCCAGAGCGAGCGGGGCGGGCCACGAGGTGGCGCCGGTCGAGGCGGTCGCAACGCGAGGGTCAGCCCCGGTGGTCGTGGAAAGAGCTGAAGAGCTCTCGACTGCACTTGCATTGCAAAAAGAAGAAAAGAAAAAAAAAATGTACAAACGCCAGCTACTTGCTCCGGGGCTGGGCGGGTTCCTACAGCGCCACCACCGAGTGGCGGTTGTTGTGCGGTGCTGCTGCTCAGAAGTAGGTGCGGCCGTAGAGCACGCCCTTCTTCTTCCGGTCGGCCTCGCGTGCCTTGCTCTCCTCGATCGCCGCGCTGTCAAACAGCCCCAGGACCGACGTACGCAGGGGTGCTGGCGGCACCACGTTGCCCGGCCTGGTGCACACGTTCGACCGAACAGAAGGTCAGAAGGCGGGCGAGGTGAGCGTGCGTGTGCGGTGGGGCGTGTGTGTGCGTACTTGTGCGCAGAACTGGCGAGCGACTGGGCCTTCCGGGCGTCGACGTCGAACTTGTTGGGTTCGCTGGAACCGATGAACGAGCCCTTGGCATGGAGCAGGGCCATCTTGGCGCCGAATGAGCGCGTGGCCGAGCCGTACATGTTCGAGTTCAAGCGACACTGTCGATCCGACAGGAAGAGACCTGGGCGGCGCACACAGACGCACACGCAAAAGCAGTCAGTGTGTGTCGTGTGTGTTGTGTGTGTCGTGTGTGTCGTGTGTTACCTTTTTTGATGGTCCGCTCCAGGGGCGATACACCGCTGAAGGTGGCGTGGTGGGGCTTCAGAAGGCCCTTGCGGTATTTGTTCAAATCCAACACCAGCGCCGTCTGGTCGTCGCCCGAGCCTTTCGACACGGCTTCCTGCACCAGATACTCGGCGGGTCCAATACGGTCGATGTAGGACGAGAGGTTGATGACCTTCTCCATCACCATATCGACTGCTCGATCCGCCGTCACCTGATAGCACCATACATGCGCGCGCGGCAGTGAGCGCATACGTTGAGAAAGTAAACGCACACGCACACGCACACGCACACGCACCACCGCACACGCACACGCACACGCACACGCGAGGATTATTATGAACGCACCGTGGCCCACACTCCGTCCGAGGCGAGAATGAGGAGCCGGTCCTCCTCGCACAGCTGGAGGATGGTGAACTCGGGCTCATTGGACACCACGTCGAAGCAGCATCGCTTGATGCCGAAATCGCCTGCATGGTCAGTTGGCAGCAGTTAGCACACCAAGTCAAGTCACACGACACACACGACACACACGACACACAGAGAGAAGAAGAAACGCACCAATGGAACGGGTCAGTTGCACGGTGAGTAATCGACCGTTCTCGATGATGTCCGACCCCTCCATGATGTCCTTGACCTGTTCGATCAGCTCCTCCTCCGAGTAATCGCCTGCGCGCAGTGTGACAAAGTTGGGTGAGTGCGCGTGTGCAATGGTGCGTGTGTGCGGTGGTGCGCGTGCGTGGGTCGAAGAAGGGGCAGGGCAACGTACTGGGGCTTGCGCTGCTGGACAGCAGTCCGTTGTTCTTGAGAAACCGAAACCGAGCAAGCTTGGCCTCCACCTCGTTCGTCGCATTGTGGTCGTTCGTGAGCGTTCTGTTGCGTTCACACCACCACCGCCACCACCATCGCCGGGGTCAGCAGAGAACACGACGCCCTGTAGTCGTGAGCGCGCGTGAGCGCTTTGAGTCAAAGGGGCCGTTTGACAGCCGTATCTAGATCAGATATGGAAATTCAGGAGAGACGCTGCCGAGATGATCGGTGACAAACACCACACGATGACCAGCCAATAAGGCTCGCTCTCGCCGGCCACGGCCGAGAACGGTCACAATTTTGAAAAGAGGCCCAACAGTCGACTCAAGCCCCTCCAGCCCAGCCAAAGCCCAGAACAGACCCAAGCATCAAAGATGAGCGACACCACCCAACAAGAAGAGAAGGCCTCGCGTTTCGCCGGCTGGAGAGACGAACTTATGGGCACCATCAAAGAGGTACCCACGCCGGTGGCCACTGGGTTCTCCACCATAAAAACGGATTAACGTGTGTGTCGTGCGTGTGCGGTGATGCGTGTTGTGTCATTGCGTGCTGTGTGGCGTTGGGGGGGGGGAACGGCACATGCAGAGAATGGGCCGTTTGATGAAGAAGCAGGAGATGGAGAGGGATGGCAAGCTGAGGCGGGAGAAGGGCCAACGCGAAGTGGCGGCCGCCAAGGCCAAGAAGAGCGGAGACCACGTGGCCGACGTCACCGAAAGCGAAGGGTACAGGGGCGAGCGGGAGGTGCCCGTCCTCGACTCGCACCGCTATTGAGCCCCCTCCCCCCTTTTCCTCTCGCCCACGCCCCGGATGGTCTCAACCCCAAACGCGTGCGATCTTGCCGCGAGCAGTGAGCCGCGGCTGCGAATTTGTGGCCGCGTCTCGCGTTGTGTACATAAAGCCCCACTCCTCCGTTGATTGATTGATTGTGGCTTGGTGGGTTGGAGTTAGTGGTACCTTGATGTGAGTTGGTGGGTGGACCCGAGGCTGTAGGACCCCAGCACGGCGCGCGAGTCGCCCACATTGGCCACGACCAGCCACTCGCCCGAGAGACACGCCAGCAGCAGACAGGCACCTTTGTTGGAGAAGGGAGATGAAAGCGCGGGCTCGTTAAAGCGCTGCACGGCGGAGAGCCCCCGCAAGCAACGCCAACGGCGTAAAAGAAGAGGAGGAGGAGGAGGAGAGTATTCGAACAGATGGAGAAGGTAAGGGTACCGTCGGGTTGGTCCTCCTGGCGGAACTGGTTCTCGGTCTCGATGATACCGGTGCGTATGGCGGCCATCAGGTTATCTCGCGAGTAGGACTTGCGACTCGGCGGCAGCAGGCTGGGCGCCGAGTTGAAAGAGGAGGAGGAAGAGGAGGATGGAGAAGAGATTACGTCAAGCTAAGGTCTTGTGCGGCGTGTGAGGTGCGAAAGGTCTGTGCGACGTAAGCACGTACGTGTCGATGTTGGGTAGCAGCCTGCGGCAGAGGAAGTCCGCGGCCGCGCTGCCAGAGTGACCGTCGAACACGCCCAGCCTTCGCGCACCGCACCGCACAGCATCATGTGAGATTGTTCAACGCGCGAGGCCGATGCGAGCGAGAGGACCGTACCACAACAGGGAGCGCTCTTCGTCCCAGTAGAAGAGGTGCCTGTCTTGATTTTCTCCAGCATGCAGGTGGTCGTTGCCCTGAGTGTGTTGTGTGGTGTGCGTGCGTGCGTGTGTGTGAGTGTGTCGTGTGTGTCGGTGAGGTTCAGTGTGGGCTCGATGAGTGCGTTCGGCGTAAAGGGGCTCTGCTCACCTGCTGGGTGTAGTTTCCGATCGTCTTGGACTTGACCAGCGGCGAAGAGATTGTGCGCCGCAGGGGCGGAGTGTACGGCGCCTCCTGGCTCGACCAGCTGCCCTCTTCGCCCCATCCGCTGTTCGTCAGCGCCCACGCCGCGTCGTGGAGCCTCTGCTGCTGCCTTCGGTGCTCCTCCTCCTCATCCTCTTCACCACCACCACCGCCGTCCGTCTCCATCTCGTATACAAGTCCCTCTTGCTGTCTCGATTGTCGTTGTTGTTGCTCGAGCCCGTGGTCCCCTTCTTCTCCCTCTTCCTCCCCTTCTTGCTCGTCTCTTCGTTCATGTTGCTGCTGCTGCTGCTGTTTGCGTTGGCGCTCTTGTTGGTACCGCAGTAGTTGGCCGCTATGCTTCTTCTGGAGCAGCTGCACGAGTCGCTCCTCCTCTCGCTTGGCCAGCCGCCGCTGTCGCCGCTGGAACCACTCGCGCTCCCACGGCAGCTCCTTCTTGGCCGCCAGCTTCTGTGTCCCCTCTTCGGCTTGGCTCGCGCTGTAGCACAGGCTCTTGTGCTACGATGGCCAATGCATTAAACGTCAGTGTCGGCCAGGGGCAGAGATTTGAGAATGAAGAATGAAAAGAATGGATTAATGAATGAAAGAATAGGAAGGCATTGCTTTGAATGAAAGAATTGAATTCTGGCCTTGAAGAGGCGCACCTTTCTCGCCTTGATTCGAGCATTGGAGTTGACGAAAAAGTCCTGTTCCTTGTCCATCTCTGTTCACATCGGCCTACCACAGGATTTTCAGTTCGTGCGTAGCGCTTCGAGAACACACTTCCCCTGAGCTCTCTCGTTGGTGAGCTAGCGGAGGGGGTGTGCGTGGACAGCCGCAACCAGCTTCCTTTCCATCAAGCCAAGCCGACCAAACTATGGTTCGTTGCGTTGTTGTGGGCAGCCCCCTTTTGTTTATTAGGAATGATCAGAATGCCACGCGCGTGTGCGGAAGCCATGTAACAGCTCCAGTGAGCGTTCTGGTGTATTGCATCGGCCTGATGGCGATGATAATGGTTAAGAAGAGATAAATACATATATATGGGGGAAGATGGGGTTGATAGATGGAGAGGAGCTGAGTCCAGGTTTAGGCGAGGATGAGGGAGATCCAGGACTGGACCGAGGCCGCGGCAGAGTTGCTGCCGTTGCCGGAACCATTGCCGGAATCGTCACCGTCGTCAGGTTCGGCGTTGTAGCTGTCCGAGGGGTAGGTCTCAAGAGGGGTCTTGATGGTGGAGCCGATGGGCTGGCCGGGGTTGGTGGCCGTGGTGTACTCGTAGGCGCCCACGGTGGGGGTGGAGGAGCTCCTGGGGGTGCCGTTGTAGTCCCAAGTCACGGGGGTGGCGTAGCTCTTGGTGCCAGCGTTGATGAGCGCGCTGGTGTTGGTGGGGTAGTAGGTCTCGCCCACCACGTCCGCGGTGACCTGGAACAGGGCCGAGCTGGCGACGCCGGTGGGGAGCGAGCCGGCGACGTAGGCGTTCTTGAGCCACACCGAGCTGGACTGGGTGCCGACGGTGAAGGCAGCGGTGGAGGACAGGAAGGCGTTGTTCACCACGACGAAGCTGTCGCCGCTGAGCGCGGGCAGGGAGAGATCGGCCTGACCGGACAGGGCCACAGTGTTGTGCACGATCTGGATGTCGTGGTAGCGGTTGGCGGTCTTGAGCTGGGCGCTGGAGACGGCGATGCCGAACGAGACAACGTTGGCGACGATGTTGTTCCTCACCATGGCGCCCGAGCTCACCTGAATGCCGTTGCTCTTGGTCTTGGTCACGGCGTTACCCTCCACCAAGTTGACGCCACGCTGAATAGAGAAGGAGGTGTAGGTTAGCGTCATGCTTCACCTCATCGCCGGCAAATCGAGGGACGTACACCGTAGTCGTCGTAGAGGCGAATGCCTGCAGCGTTGGTGTTGAAGACGACGTTGTTCCTGATGGTGTTCTCTGCAAGGCGAGCAAAGTGCTGAAAGTGAGCTAATGTTATTTTTAGTGGTGGAGGGCGAGTAACGTACTGTAGGAGCCGGTGTTGACCACAATGCCGACGCCGTAGTTGGTCATGGTGTCCACGATGTCGTGGCAGTAGTTGAGCTCGATCATGCTGTCGTGCACCTGGCAGCGGTCGCTGGTGCAGCCGAACACGAAGCACTCGCTGGTGTCGCGGCCGGTGTCGTAGATCTCGACGCGCCTGACGGTGAGATCGGTGTAGACAGCGCTGGCGGTGCTGGCCACGAAGCCGGTCCGGTTGGTGTGGTGGATGACGAGGTCCTGGAAGGTGGCGTGCGAGCTGGCGCCCACGCTCACGCCCTGGAGGCAGCTATCGGCGCAGGTGAAGGTGAGGTTATAGAAGCCGTAGTAACTGCCGGCGACGTTCATGATGTTCTGGTTGTTGGCCTCCTGCTTGATGATGGTCTGAAGGTTGCCCTCGACCACGGTGCCCTTCACAGTGATCGGCGAGCCGGAGCTGCCAGCGAAGTTGAGCGAGAAGGTGCCATTAACAGTGTACTCACCACTGCACATACGCGCATGTGTGAGGAATGAAACCAATGCTCATGACATCACGGGCAACAAAGTTGACGTGGTGGACGTACGGAGCGAGGATGGCGATGTCACCGGCGGTCATGGCCTGGATGGTGGCGACCCAGGTGGTGTTGGTGGGGTAGAGGTAGTGGGTCTCGGCGGCGCAGAGGCCCACGAAGAGAAGAAGCACGGCCAAACAGGCGGGAAGTCTCATGATGGTGTGGTGGTGATAGATAACTTGATAGATAGCGAGTACTACCGCACGATCAAGGCGAGCAGGACTGGGTTGCTTGTGTGCTTGGTGGTGAACGGCTGTGTCTAACTTCTCTGACGTTGCGCCAAGATAAAGGTACACCGGCCAACCGTAGTGGGCGCTGATTGGTCCCAAAGGCCCTGAAAGGGGGATTTTTCCCCTCAACTAAATGAACTTCTAACCACCCAGCACAACCTTCGGGCGAAATCCCCGGGACAACACCCACACGAACAGAACGCTCAAGCGGACGCCCAACAATCCTCCCTCCTGGGTAGAGCACCGAGCAAGTCTGCAATCACGCAACTTGGTCGTTTATCTAATGAGACAAGTGCATAGCCAGGCAAAGTGGTTATCTCTGCTGGTTGAAACGGACAGGTGTCGGCAGTCTGAAAAAAATTAATCAACTTATTATTGCGGACAAAGGCAGCGAAAACTCAGGCGTTCGTCCGCAAACTCGTGCACGAAATAAAAAATGAAATAAAAAATGTCGCTGGCGCTCATTCAACATGTTTGGCTGAGTTATGGGCACAAGGGGTGAGTGAGAGCACATGCTCCACACAGTGATACACATGAGCATGAGAGAAAGGCAGCAGAATGAGGTAGATGCTGGAGCAGAATGACAGTGAGCTTGAGGAAATCATACCTGGCATCAACACACACCACACAAATGTTAGCATCAGGTTCTGCATGGCAGTTTCAAACTCTGTACTGCCATCTTGAGTCATGATCTTCGTGTGGATTCTAAAATAATTTCCGCGGTTTTCTTTCTATGATTTCACGAAGGCGAGTTTTCATTCTTGGTGAGATGAGAGGGAGATTGGGTGGGCACAGGGCGGCTTCGTCGCTTCTCACAAGCCGAGGTACCTACCGCTTTCTGCTGGCCTGTTTAGAAATGCAAGCGCCTAAATTTGGCTGCCAATCATTTGTCAGCATCGGCTCCGCAATTCAGGTCGTTAGCCCTCTCCACTACGGTAAATCAGCATCGGACCTTCACCTCACGTACGGATCCACCCATACGCGCCAGTGCGAGATGGCAACCCAAATTAATTTCTGCCCATTCGACTGCAGATGATCACGCACCACAGCCAGGGCGGGGGCTCATGCGTGGCATCGAAGCCAAGCAGCGGCTCGAGTGGGTGCAGCGTGCTCTGTACGTGAGGCCAGGTACCCATAAGTCACCTCCCGCACAACACCTTGGCGCCTTGCGCTGACACACACCACCGCACACGCTCATGCGCAGGTCCATTGGCGCAGCTGATATCGTTCGCCCAGCGCTCGGGCGACCCCGCCTTTCTCAGCCAATCGCTGGCCGCGCTGCCCAAGGTGCGGATGGGCAACACGATCGGCTACGCGTCGCTGGTCTCCACGCTGTCGGCGACCAACAACCTCGACGAGATGTTCTTTGTCTATGCCCGTATGAAGGAGGAGCGAGTGCCGCTCAACATCTTCAGCGCGGGCGCACTCATCAACGCTTCACTCCGTCACAACAAACTGGAAAGGTACACACACACACCACCACCACCACCACCACCAAGCACGCGCTGTGGCTATCACATCACGGGTGGTGCCCGCTCACGCATGGGGATGCATTGCTCGCCGGCTGCAGGGCGTTCGAGGTGCTACACGACATGAAGCTCTACAACCTCAGGATAGACAATGGGCTCGTCAACAGCTTTGTCACCTACTTTTTAGAGAAGCGGGACGTGGATCGGCTGCTCTCTGTGTTGGACGCCCTGGGCGACAGGAGTGATCTCAGCATCGATCGGTACATCCGCACGTCACCGCACCGCACAATATGCTTCGTAGTGGTTGGAGTGCGTGATTTCTGATGTTGTGGGCATGCGATGCGCAGCGTGTCCATTTTGGATGAGCTGTGGCAGCGGCTGTCGAGCCCTCATGAGGACTCCTCCCTGGCCTATCGATTCATCGAGCGACTCTCGGCGGCCGTCCCTCCGGCTTCCGACGGAACGACACAGTCGACAGCCAGCGGACAGTCACAACAACTACATCAACGACAACAAGGAGAAACAAAGGAAGGCGAAAACGAAGGTGGACAAGGGGAAGAAGGTGATGGGCGACCACAAGAGTCGGAGGCGGACAAGTGGGCGCGGGTCGGCGCGTACTGGCACGGGCGGATGGACCAGCTGCTGAACCAGCTGGTGACCCGGGGCCAGCTCGCGCGCGCCCACGACCTCACGGAGCTGATGGTCTCGCGATGGCGGCTGCAGCCCCACAAGCGGATCATCACCGTCTTCATCCGGGCATGCATCACACGCGAGGCGGCCATCAACGCCAGGGGCGGTGTCATCAGCGGCGACGACCAGCGTCGGCCCGTGCAGCTGCTGGACGAGGTGGGGCGCATGGTGGAGGAGGGCCGGCTCGAGGCCGATCTGATCACCTTCACGGCCCTGATCGACGCCAACGCGCGGCTGCGGCGGAAGGCGACGGCTCTCCGCTTCTTCGAGCTCATGCAGCAGCGGGGCATCAAGGCCGACACGACCACCTACCGCGTGCTCCTCATCATGTGCTCGGTTCTGCGTGATAAGAAGGAGGGCCTGCGGCTGCTGGACCAGGCCGAACGGGAGGGCGTCGGCCTGGAGATGGCCCTGTTCACCGACGTAGTCCGCACCATTCGAGCACTGCCCGACGGGGCCACACCCTAGCCTAGTCGACAAAAAATAAAATAAAAACAAAACACAAAAGATGAGAAACAAAAGAAGTAGAAACGAGATGTCGATCTTGGACGACATTTTGGGATCGATGGATCGGATGGCGGAAGGGGAGGCCGAGGATGATAAGCGCAAGCAGATGGCAGAAGAGCTTCGCCGGAGGCGGCAGCTTGCTGCCAATCAATCATCATCTTCGACTTCGTCTTCACGATCCACAGCCACAAGGCGAACCACCACCGCCTCATCTTCTTCTTCTTCGTCGATCACGGCCAGCAGCTTTGCATCTTCGAATCCATTCGACCTTCTGGAGATTGAAGATCAGGAAGAGAAGGAAGGCACTGGCGAGGATGAAGGCGGCGATGCCGCCGCGAGGAAGAAGCGAAAGCGAAACCGGAGCAAGGGCCAAGCTGGCGACCAGTCCCTCTCCGGCAACGTGGTCATCGTCAAGCGCAAGCGCAAGGGCGGCAAGGAGGCCGCTGCCCTCGCCTCCACGCTCGCCCTCATCCCTCCCCTCAAACGTACACTCGCGCCTCGCTCCCCAACCTTCGCTACTGCCCTGCGCTCGCTCACCTCGCCACCGCACACGCACACGCACCACCGCGCACACACACACACACACACCACCGCACACACCACCGCACGCACGCACACACACACACACACACACGGTACAGTGGAGGAGGGCACAATGCCGCCCAACGTGTTCATCGTCTCGCAGATCGAGGGTACGCAGCCGCGCACCGCACGGCACCGCACGCGTGGGGGCTGACGGTGGTGGGTGGGTGCAGAGTGCAGGGAGATGGTGGCGGAGCTGACCAAGCTTGAGGTGATCGCGGTGGACTGCGAGGGTGTGAACCTGTCGCGCGAGGGCGAGCTCTGCCTGGTGCAGATCGGCACTGAGAGCAAGGTGTACCTGGTGGACGTGCTCGAGCACGGGCGCGCGCTCTTCGAGGAGGGCGGCCTTCGCGCGCTGCTCGAGTCCACCAAGGTGCGCAAGGTCCTCCACGACTGCCGGTACGGCTGCCGTCCACCACCGCCCGGCCCCACCGCCGTCTCTGTTAACTCTCCACTGCTCGCCATGTGCTGTGTGCTGTGTTGTGCAGAGGCGACAGTGACGCGATGTACCATCAGTACGGTGTGGCGCTGCAGAACGTGTTTGATACACAGATCGCCTACGCCGTAATCAAGCGACAGATGGGCCAAGGGTACACTCACGCACACGCACACGCACCACCGCACACGCTTGCGCACACAGCTCATGACTTAATATTGTTTGCACGCAGGACGCCGCTGCCGGTGGGACTGAACACTGTTCTGCGCGCCTACGCGACGCCCATCCTGGAGACCAAGGCGGCGCAGGAGCAGGAGAAGGAGCGGGCCGAGCGGAAGAAGCAACAGCAGGCCTCCGGCGACAAATCGGCGGCCGACGCGCCGTTCGCGCTGGATCTGGTGCGGCGCATCGACGCCATCAACTCGTTCAAGAAGGAGGAGCGGCTCAAGATGGTGGAAGACCCCACCTACTGGAAGACCAGACCGCTCACCTCGAGGTAGAGCGACACGACACGACACGACACGCACACGACACCACGAGTTGCTTACGCGTGCGTGCCATCGGGCAGCATGGTGGGCTACGCGAGCGAGGATGTGATGTTCCTCTGCCTGGTGTACAAACAGATGCACGGCTTCCTCAACGCGCACAACCGCAAGATCGCCTTCGAGTACTCGGCCAAATACGTCGTACGAACATCTCTTTGCACACACCCCCCCCCCAACTCTCCTGGTGCGTGGTGCGTGGTGCGTGGTGCGTGTAAGACTGACTGTGCGCCTCGCACCCACCAAAGGCCCAAGTGCGCGACCTGGAGTCGCTGAGCGACCGACCGCAGTACGACGGGGTGCCCAAGTATGGCTTCTCGTCGTGGGACAGCGAAACCTCCCGCTCGCTCTCCCTCTCCAATGCACGCCGAGAACGCCGCGGCGGCCGCGGCGGACGTGGCCGCTGACCTTCCCTTCCCTTCTCTCCCGCGCAGTGGTTGTTTGCATGTTGGCCAACTGGCATTGTTGTCACGCCGTGCGTGCGGCGAGAGAAAAGTACATTGAACAGGTGAAGTGTCGTGTGTGTTGTGTGTGCGTGTCGTGTCGTGTTGTTTGTGTTGTGTTTAGAGTTCCTGCTGGTCGAGGATCGTGGGCGGCGCGGCGCTGCTTCCGCCGCCAAGCGAGCGGCCCACGAACCAGAGCAGGACGAGGAGGAGGAAGGCCAGGCCGATGATCGGGCCGATGTTGAAGATGTAGAGGTTGAGGCCCTCGAGCTGGATGACGGCCCGCTGGCGCTGGATGACTTCGGCCTCGAGCGGCGGGATGTACTCGCGCGGACCGCACACGAGCCACCGGTCGCCGGCCCGCCGCCTGGTGATGCGCTTGACCTTGTTGTCGTCCTCCGTCACGTCCTCGAAGGCCTCGCGCGCTCGCATCAGCAGCCCGTCCTCCGCCATCAACAGGTAGACTGTTGTTGTGTGTTGTGTGTGTGTTGTGTGTGTGGTTAGCAGAAGAACACGAAGTGGTGGGCGCGGAGAGGAGAAATACTTTCGTTGAGGTGGCCAGCTTGGATGGTCTCTCCCGGCTTGAGGAAGAAGTTGAGGGGACCGCGCCTGAGCTCGCGAGCGCCCAGCTTCGACGCTCCGTCCACCACCGGATTCTCGATGATGCTGTCCATCGATTCAAAATTGCAGACGTCATCAGCATCGGTTGCGTGTGGTGCGTGTGTCGTGTGCGTGTCGTGTCGTGTTGTTTGTTCGGTGTGTGGTGTGTGGGCTCTTACCAGTACTGGCGACTGCTGAGGGACGTGATAGAGCGAGTGCCGACCACCTCCTCGTAGACGTCGGGGATGTGCACCTCGCCCTGCTCGCTGGTCACCAGCCACTCCTCTCCCGCCTTCCGCTCATTCCCATACCTGCCCGGCCACGCACAGGTGAGCATTTCGCTGGACTCAAGAACGAAAGCGAAAGCGAAAGCGACAGAAAGAACGAAGAGGCGCGGCGTACATGTCGGTGAAGGAGGTGCGGGCGCGTAGGTGGAGGGCCTTGTCGCTGGTCAGGATGTAGCCCGAGACGGTGGTCACCAGCTTCTCGTTGACGTCGGGCAGGTACGCGCCGGCCGTGCGCACCAGCCACTCCTCGCCGGCCTTGCGCTCGACGCCCTGCCGGTCCACAAAGTCGCGGTAGGCCCGGAGGTGGAGGGCCTGGTCGGGCTTGAGCACCACCGCGTGGATCACCTCCATCACCGCCACCTCGACCCGCGGGAAGTACGTGTGCGGCCCGGCGAAGAGCCACTCCTCGCCCGCCACTCGCCGGCCGTGGTGGCCCTTGCCCTTCTCCTTGCCCTTCTCCTCCGCCTTGGCCTCGTCAAAGTCGCACACTGTCGCGCCAACCACGACACTGTAAGCGCACGACACGCACACAACCGCACACGCACACACACGACCGCACACACAACGGCACACGCGCGAGAGGGCGAGGGAGCGTACAGGCCTTGAGGCGGAGGGCGGTGTTTTCGGCGACGACGACGAGCGGCTGGACGGGGCCGCTGAGCTTCTCGCCGGGGTACAGCGGGAACGGGTCGCGCTCGAACCGGATCTCCAGTTCGCCGTGGCGCAGCTTGGCCTGCTTGTGCTTGTCCAGCACAATCTTGCCCTCCGCTACACCACCAGACGCCCACACACCACGTTAGTCGTCCGCCTCGCAATTGTCGTGTGCGGTCGTGTGTGTGCGGTTGTGCGCGTGCGTGTGCGACAGTGTGTGTGCGTGTGTTGTCGCACCATCCTTGAGGACGGGGTTTTCGATGGTGGCATAGTGTCGAGGTGGCACCACGATCCTGCACACAGACACGCATGAGATGAGATGACTATGAGACTAAGGAGACACGAGAAGAGAAGAGAAGAGAAGAGAAGAGAAGAGAAGGCCTCGAGGAGAGGGCGCGTACATGGGCTCGGGGCCGAGGATGACCTTCTCGTGACCGAGGCAGGTGTAGCGCGAGGGTCCTTCGACCACGCGCACCACGTTGGCGTTGTTGTCCAGCACGTGAATGTAGTGGTAAGGCGGCACGCGAATGATCTCATATTGAAACCTGTACATTTTAATTATAATCAGAAATACAGAAATACAATTTGTTAGGGATAGATCTAAGTTAAATATAAAATAATTTGAGTTAAAATTTAATTTATGCTTAAATAGAAAAATAATTGGAAAAAATTGGGCTGAAGTGAAGAAAAGAGGCAGGTGCGAACTTGGGGCTGCTGTTGGAGTCCTCGACGATGGCGCTGAACGACTCGATGGCCTCCTGCGCCCTGTCTAGAAGGAAGAAGAATGTCAGGTTTTACCATTCAAGGGGGTGCTTACGAACAGGCAAGTGAGTCGCTACGCACCCTTCCTTCCACCTGAAGTGTTCCTGTTCTTCATCTTCTGAGATGTGTGATATGTATGTGTTAACACGGGTGTTGGGCGCCTGTGTTGTTGGACAAGCGGCGGCAGTCGAGGTGGAGCTGCTGCGGGTCAAACTGGTGTGTTTCGAGTCGAGGAGTGCGTCAGCTGCCCGGACGTTCTGGTTTTATTTTGTGGTCTTCGCGGAACAGATACCCCGCCACCACAAAAAGAAGGAAAGAAACCAGAGGGAAAATAGAGGCGAAAATGCCTTTAATCTTTTGGGTGGCACACGTGGCTTTCAATTTTGCACACAACGCGGCGTTCTCTCCTTGGGGCGATTGCCTCTTCACTCAAGCGGGGCGAGAGGTGTGTATGTCGCTTAACTGAATGAGTCCTAAATTTGGACGAAAGACTGAACGGTTGTGGGGGCTTTTCGACCACTGGTGCCGTGTGCGGCAAGATGCCAGAAAGCCGGCGCCACTTCCCCCGAGTTGCCGACCACTATCCTCCAACTCGCCCATGAGCGCCATGGCCGATCGACTGATCCTGAATCGCTACTCGTTGGACTTTGTGTGCCAACACTCCAGACTAAACCACCAATATACACCATCATCATCATCAACAGCATGGCCACAAATGAACCTAAAGAAGAAGAAGAAGAAGAACGGGGGGTCGAAAGGCGCCGAAAGGAGGAGGAGAATGAATCATCTGGTATCATCCCCTTGACCTCGTCTCACGGGCGCCCGATCGAACGGCCACTCGACAGGGATGAAGAGGACGAAGACGAGGCGGAGCGCCGAGCGGCCGAGAAGCACTGGGAGCGGACGCTGGACCGGCTCAAGTCGGAACTGGTGCCGGTGACGCATGTGGTGGCGATCGACGGCAGCCCGAACAGCGACCGGGCCTTCTCGTGGGCCGTGCGCTCGCTGCCGCGGCACGACCGCCTGCTGCTGGTCTACGGGACGCGCAAGGTGCCCATGCCCGGCCTGGAGGTCACCCTCCTCGAACGCCGGTCCGCCGACGAACAGCGACGCAAGCAACGCCGCAAGGCCCGCACACTGGCCCAGCACTACGCCCACCGCTGCGAGGATGCCGGGGTAAACCCTTTCCTCTTTTCTTTCGTCTTCGTTCTTTTTTCTCCTTCATTCTTTTCCGCCACGCTTCAGCAAAACGGGAGTGAGTGTCCCACAATGGGAGGCGAGAGGGGAGGATTGAAGAGGTGGTGGGCAGGGCGGGTGAGATACTGAATCACCGTAGAATTTCATCTCCGGTTCATAGTCTACATCACTTAAAGTGGTGGCCTGCTCGTCCCTCTATTCCGAGGGGCTGAGCGGTTCCAACAATTAAACAACAAGCCCTCCCTTCCTGTTCACTCTTCTCTTCACACCCATTGTCTTCGCCTGGAAAAAGGTTTGTGTTTCGCACCGGCTTACACCCCAATGTGTGCAGAGGGAATGTTACTTTGAGCGGCTGGAGTACTGGGGCTCGGGCGACTTAGCAGGCCAGATCTGCCGCGCGGCGGATGTCAACGGAGCACACACCGTGGTTGCCGGCTCGCGCGGCCTGGGTCCCATGCAAAGGTGCGCCCGGTGCACCTTTCTCTATGTACTGTGATCGTGCGTGTCGTGGCGTCGAAACACCCACCAACGTCCGTGGACAGGTGGATGTTGGGGTCGGTGAGCACGGCGCTGCTCCACCAGTGCCACTCGACCGTGGTGATCGCCAGGGACGCGCCCGAGCCGGAGCGCGAAATCCAACCCGACCCGTCCCACCGCCTGTAGCTAGAAGCTGAAGGAAGAACGAGCAAGGTAAACGAATTGCACTCTTCCACTTTTCAAAACACCAAACCATCTCATCGTCCAACACCACGCGCTCGCCTGGACGAGCAGCTTTCCTGCTGGACAGTCGCATGGACGAGCAGCTTTCCTGCAGGAAGCCAGCCTTTTCGGCGGGAGCGGCTGTCTGCCTGACCTGGCCTGACGCGGCCCTGTTGGCTTTCCTTTCTTGAACAGTCATTCCTTACTTGGCCATGGGATTCTGAGATGCTGACGTGTCCAACAAATAAAGGGCTTTTTCCGGGTGTCGTTTTAACCAATTCGGAGCTCTGTCGCCCACTCAAAAGCGTTGCGTACTCCGCACTCGTGGCGCAAGGCGCCTACATAAGTTCCAACCGACGAAGAAAGACCATTCTCAACAACCACCTCGCCAGCACCACAACAAGTCGAACATCACTACAGCTACCACCCCCACAGCGGCTAACATCACCATGAGCTTTCTCGTACGCACACTCGGCCGCCTCTTCTCAACCGCTGCCTCAGCTCCCACCTCGACCACCACTACTATCACAACTGCTTCTCGCCCCACCACCACCATCCCCACTACTAAAACTACTACTACTACTACGACGACGAAGTCATGCACCACTCCCTCGTTGAACGTTTCAGACTTCTTTTCTTTTGAGAACGACGATATCACGACAACCTCCTCGACCATCACCGAAGAAGACGACTTCTGCCTCCTCGCCGAGCAGCACGAAGACGAAGCCGAAGAAGAAGATATCGCCTTCTTCTCGAAGGAGGAGGCCCTCGTGATGGCCAACTATTCGACCCTCGCCTACTTCCCCCTGGCCGACAATTGCAACGCTGACCCGAGCTTCACCGTGAGCCGCTTCGAGACCGACCTTTCAACGGCCTACGTGCGTGCCCAGGGCTCGCGCGTCGTCATCACCTACAAGGGCACCGATACCGCAACGGACTTCGCCACGGACTTCACCCCCTGGCCCGCCGCCTGCCCCGAGCTTCTGCCCGAGGGCGGGCGCGTCCATTCGGGCTTCCTCGCCGCCTTCCGAAGCACCTGGCCCCACGTGCGCGCCACCATCGAGACCCACGCTGCGAGCCAGGGCCTCTCCATCGCGGAGCTCGACGTGACGGTCACCGGCCACAGCCTCGGAGCGGCGCAGGCCACGCTGGCGGCCCTCCAGATGGCGCAGCTCGTGGCGGCCGTGGACCAGATTCGCTTGGTCACCTTCGGCTCGCCTCGAGTGTTCACGCACGCCGGAGCGGCGTTCTTCAACAAGCTCGGCCTCGGGGCACGAACGCTTCGCGTGGCGGAGAACGACGTCGATCCGGTCACCATGGTGAATCTCGGATCTTTGGGCTTCAAGCATGTGGGCCTCAATCTTCGCGTGGAGAAGCCCGCCGCCGCCTGGCACCATCTCATGGACGGCTACACGGGTGGCTTGTTGGCGGCCGCCTTCTTCCCCACGTACGCCGTGGGTTCTCGCCGCGCCTTCATCTTCACCTGCCGCCGCATTCTTCGCCTCATCTGATGAGGCTTCTTCTACCGAGGCGATCTGATCTCACCTTGTCAATACAATATCGTTTAATTTCATAATCTTGTCGCACGGCTCTAACAGTGCGCGTCTTTGGGTGATAAGCTCTCGATCTGTTCAAGCAGCCCCAAGAAATCGATTTCCAATTTACGGCTGTGCGGTCCGGGTGAATGCCGAACCCTCGGTGCCGGGCGATGGCGCACCAGGTGGAGGTGATGATGTGCTTTTGGCTGTGAGTTGGGCACGGGCAGTGGGAGGTCCTGCTATAAAGGGAGGAACACACAATCGCGTGATGGAATCCGAAACAGCTTTGTTGTGGGAGGGTTTGCGGCGCTCAGCTCTTGGCCATGGAGAACTGGGAGGCGTAGAACTTGGAGAGGGAGACGTCGATCTTGTGCTTGCGGACAAAGTCGTCGATCTGCTGCTTGCGCATGACCAGCGGCTGGATGGCCTCCTTGTCCTGCCAGGCCACGGCGCGGCTTGCGTTGATTGACGTCTTACGTCGCCGAGCGTGAGTATCCACCGTCATCAGCACTAACTCCAACGTTGAAAGTGCACGTGTGGTGTGTGTGTGTGTGTGTGTGTGTGTGGTGTGTGTGTGTGTGCGCGTGCGTGCGTGCGAGTGTGTGTGTGTGTGTGTGTGTGCACACGTGTTGTGTGTAGGCCGTGTGGAGGAGGATAGTACCAGGCGGACGAGGAAGGACAGGATGTGCTTGCTGACGATCATCTCGTCCACGAGCGGACCCACATCGCGCACCTTGCCGTGCTTGTTGATGATACGCACCCGGTAAAGACCCGACGGCAACGGGTTGATCACGATGTTCACCGCCGCCTTGCACTCCTGTGTACACAAAGAAAAAGAGGAAGAAAACGCGACGACGGTCCCGGTGAGCCGAAATCACCAAAGAGCGAAGTGCGTGTGCGTGTGTGTGCGGTACAGACCTCGAGCAGATCGATGCTGTATTCGGCGACGTCCTCGACCCAAGAGATGAGGACGCGGTCGCTCAGTACGAGGCGACGCTTGTGCACCTGCGTACCGCCACGGTCGGGCATCATGGTCGAGACGTGGAAGATCACCTCCGTGTACAGATCCGCGTAGTAGGGCGTCAGGTCACCTGCAGCGATAGCATCGATATATACGTGTGTTACAATACAAAATCA